TAATCGGATTTATTTCTCATCTACCGCAATCTGCTTTTATAATCATCAAAAGTTGTACACTGTAGTAAACCATTTGGGTTTCAGCCGTTGTGTCTATTAGAGATTCAATGTTAATGTTTGGGTGGTTTTCTCTCCCTAAATAAGATTAAAAAAATAAGTGTAAAATTACTTCATGAGGATGAAGGTTTGAATTAGTAACCCCCGTAAAGAGATGAAGGTGTTGAATTTAATTGACAAAATTTATCGTAAAAAATAATGACAAGAAGCCAAGTATTTGGTGATGAATTCATGTTAAATTTATAAAATAATAGTTTTACTAATATATTATAACTGTTTAATAAATGAATAAATGTCATGTGTAATGAAATTAATTGGAGAATAATTGACAGACACGTCATCACCCCATCTACTTTCTTTTAATACTAGTGATGTCTGGTCGCGCAATGCGCGACCCTGGCCCAGTCTATCTGTAGATCTTAGAAATGTTTATATTTGAAAAAAATAAAATTTTATATTTGGAGCGATATATTTTAGAAATGTTTGAAGGATTTAGAAATGTTTTATAAGTGTGATCATAGAAATATTTGTATTTCGCAAAAAAAAAAAAATTGTATTTCGTCATGTATGTTTTAGAAATGTTTTATAAGGTGTTACTTATTAAATATAAATAGCTTAATCGAATATATGTGTTGAAGTAAATGTTAGATAAAATATAAAAACATCCTAATAAATTTAAATATTAGTAAGATGATTTATTGATGTTCTCCATTGGTCGCGCCAAATCAATACTTAGTTTTGGAGATTTTTAATAGTTTTGTAATAAGTTTCATCCAAAGGGTATACGCTTAAAACAAAATTGACACTTTGTAACAAAAAACCTAATTGATCAATTCAATTTAAAAAACCACTCTAGTTGAATGAAAGATAAAGAAAAAATTTTAAAAAAAAAACGTGTCACGTAAAGTGCAAATGTAGATTTAGTAATTTAGTTATGGTTAGACAAAAGGGCAATTTAGTATTTTCTACATGCCACGTGGCAATCATATGAGGTGTTTGAAAGGGAAGTTTTTGTTTCTAATATAGTAGGATATACTAGTATGTGTCCCGCGTTTTGTGCGGATTTGTCAATATTGAAAATTTATCTTTCAAAAGAATTAATTAGATAATGTAGTTACTAATATTTCTTAAAGCCACAATATTTTTTTGATTAATCAATTTTAGATCAAATGAGAGGTATTGATACTATTTATGAGATGTACATTTGTAAGATCTGGTCAAAGATATTACAACAAAAATTTTCAAAAGTTGTATGATAAAAATTGTCACCACTAAATAATGTTATGTTTGGATTAAAAAATATATTTAAAAAATTCTTAACTTATGTCTAGATGCCTATGGCTTATTTATAGGCAAGGAGACTTTGGAGATTAGACACAATTAATCGTCCTTGAAAATGTAAAATCGATAAACTTGAAGACTAAGTAACACATAAATGGAACTTTAAGGGCTAAAATGATAATAAGTTGAAAATGAGACTTGATTGTCTCAGAAAACGACACGTGTCAATTATCTTTCTTTCCTTTAATATATATAATGATATATAGGATTCCGTTAAAAAATGATTGTCCAACTTAAAAATTTATATATAATACAATTTTTATTTAAAGTAAAAAACTAAAACAATTACTTTGGGACAAAATGAAGTTATTAATAGACAAGTTATTATGAGCGGCGCAACACTTGGGTCCCCTGAAAAGAAAACAACTACGTACTCCATCTGTTTTAAAAATGAAAATTTAAAGTACACAATAATTTTGGGCGGAAGATATATATAGGAAAATTCTACGATCCAGTCATTAGATTTTGACTTAATTATTCAGTTAATACACATCCAATCAAAATATAACATGTCATATGCAATGATAGGGTGAGAAGTATTCAAATAAATTTCTTTTTGATCCTTAACTTTGTTGTTAATTAGAAATTAATCACAAAGTTTTAAATAATCAAAAGAAAATAAATTTTTTTTAAACCATGTCATCGGAAGAAACCCTCGGTGTTAGAAAAATTTTCATACAAGTAGCCAAAGAAATTTGCAAAATTAATAATATATCCACCGTTGTTGTCTTCTTTAAAGTTTCGTTTTTTCAACCCAATGTCATCGGAAAAACACTCATACAAGGAGTCAAAGAAATTCAGAAAATCAATGATTTATCCACCATTGTTGTCTTCTATTCAGGCCCAAAACTACTAATATTTTTGAACAAAAATCATTTTGAATTCAGTTCTGAAAACTAGAGAAGGCCATTTAATAGTTTTATAATTGAAGGTAATTCCACTGATGGGAAACTAGACCCATTCAATTTTTGGAACAAACTATATATAGATTCCTAAGAATTTTATTCACGTTTTGTATCTTCTCTTCTACTCAAATTAATTTAGCAGGGATCGACGAAGTCTTCAATTGAATTAAATGTTGGGAGAATTAGCAAAATCAAAATTGGGATTACTGGGAAAGGGTAATTTCCGCATGGAGGATAATGTTCAATTATTGTTGAATAGTTTTCCTAGTATAAAAAAATATACAAGGTGAACATTTCAGAAGTAAAAGTGCATTTAACATTGAAGATGAGTAGGAGTTGTCGAAAAATCATGTGGGTTTCCAACAACATCGTAGTGATTTTGAGGACATGGGAAAATTGGGTAAAATTCTGAAATTTTTAAAACATTTTTTTGCTAATGTAGTGAAAATGATCTAGTACAATAGGTACCACCATCTTCTTAAACACAATTATTTTAATATAATGGTTGTCATCTGTCCTATTGCATCCAATAATTGTTAGCATATAACTAAACTGTTTAGTCGACTGGACCATAATCGCTCCTATATATATATATATATTAAGAGAGAGATTTGACCCAAACACTTTGCTTAGATGATCTTCCCGAAGAATTTCTTAGAGATTTGGTATAAATATAGGAGGGGCTTATTGCTTCGTTTCGAGCTCCGCAACCGATGCAAACAAGGCGGGTATTACTACATATTTGTCCGACGAAGAAGTAAGCATATCCTTCTGAAAGTAAAGTACTACTAGTACTACTACAATAAACAAACAAAATTCAAATGGTGTGAGTACGTAAATTTAGTTTGTACGTATACGCAGCATTAAATCATTATTAATTACTTGCATCCATCAATAAATGAATAATGTTGTTGATCCACAAGAGCGTGGCAGCAGGAGAAGAAGCAGATCAAACGTGGGAAGATCCTAAGGAATTAAGGACAGATGATGAGTATTGTTTGGAAAGTTAGGACAAGTTTGGTCATGACTCCCAATCACCAACTTTCAACATCAAGAAAAAGATAATCAATCCCTACAAACTACATTAAATTTGTTTATTAAACTAAATACTATTATATTTTTTTGAAAAAATTTAATTATTACGACAAAGTTTGAGTTGATGATTATCAGGTACACGGCGTGTTCTTCTGTGATTAACTCCCTTGTCCTTTTGCTTTGCTTTTGCCATGCTGCTGCTGCCCATCAATTCTTCCTTGTTCAAAAAATATTCATTTCTTTTCCTTTTGATTAAGCTACGTATCTCTCCGGCCTTGTGTTCTTTTTCTTGTTGCTTTACTAATTGTGGCTATGTACAATGCAAATTTTCTAACTTAGGTAGCTAGGCTATAAAGACCCTCGTACCATGTAAATGATCTCATAATCAAAAGGAAGAAAGAACACTTGAATATGATATAATATGTAGTGGAGGGTAGGGGGAAAGTTGGGAGAGGGGAGGACACGTATGTACCAAACTCTTGGCCTTTTGCAACTTTATAAATAACCCCCCAAAAAAGTATATAACTTAATTGATCATGATGTGAAGAGGCTCGATGACAATGGTCACAATCTGACTTCGTTCCAAAATTATTATCGAGTTTAAATTTTTTACTTTCAGTTTAATTTATATTAAAATTAAAAAAATTTAAATTGAAAATTAATTTGGAGACAATGGCAGTAAGTATTAATGTATGCGTTTTTTTTTTCTAGATTAGCATTTTTTTTATACAAACATGATCAGATAATATTTAAGTGTATTTCATATTAATAATGAGATTAATCTACATTCAAATCCAACAAGTCTTTTTCGAAAATTATATTTTTCTCGGTGGTTTAAGAAGAAGTGATGTAATGAAACACGCACTGCGCTTATGTTACTCTAGTCTACTGCTAACAAGTGTCAATAGATGATTATGGCGAGTGTTTACTTGGATCCATTGCGTACCCATATTTCCAAAATTGATTCCAACTAAGCATTTGTTTATTATCACTTTGTCTCGAAAGAGAAAAGTGATGTTCTTAATATATTGTTTACTATCTCGCAAGAGAGCCCCTTTTCACTTCTTTAATTGATTTCATTTGATAGAGCGTCAAAGAAATTTTTTACTCTTATGTATCAACAGGTGTGCTTGGGCGCGACTTTTTTTTTAAATTTTTTTTTATTCAAATTCAAATGACAAAAACACACTATGGATAGAGGTCAATCACCTGCATATGCTAGGTTTAATGTAGTTATAAGTTCACCCACATCTCTCTTCAATCTTTGGAAAGAATTACTTTGAGTCATTCAAATAGAGGGGAAAAAAAAAGAAAACAAAAATGCTACTTATGTCAAAAAAATTTACATTTGAGTTTTAAAATTCATAATTAAAATCGTACAAGTTTGAAAACTAAATGTAATTTTTTTTAATTACTGGATATAGGGATCAATATAGTTTTACAGTCTAGATATGACATCTGGCCGGACAGCATTTTTCCTATCACTTTCATGTGAAATATATTTTTTGTTCATAATTTTTCTTTTTCTTTTTGATTTATAGTTTGTTCGATGTAGGTTGGCCCCTATCAATCATTTAATAATTAAATAAATTAGTAGTGTATTAGTTAACTTGAAGGCGCGCCACATAGCGAGGGAATCAGATAATTCGGCAAATACTAACCAAAGAAAAAAAAAAAAAGAGAGGGTATAAATGCACTCTACACAGTACGGTACAGTAGTAAGTATTACGTGTGTTAGAAACCAAACAGATAGAAAGCTAACTTTTTTTTCAAGAGTTGGCCACAACACAACAAACAAAATTGATCCCATCAAGACAGGAAGAGAAGGGAAGCTAGAAGAAGAAGAACACAAAGTTTGGTCTGGTTTGGTTTGGTCACTGGTCAGGTAGAGAAGGTATGAAGCAGGAGGATGTGACATATTTACCAGAGATTAAAAACGACCAAGTTGCTCAACAAGATTTTAAGAACTCCAATTATCTGTCCATTTTGTTCTCAGAAGATCGAGATTTTCTGATTTCTCCCACTGGGAATCCGGTTAGTTCTATTCCTTCTAGGCTCTAGCTATATAGCTGACTGACTGATGAACAAAACTTGGGTGTAGTACTTGTTATTCAGTTTGGTTTCGCATGATTTTCTCACATGATTTACATTTATGAGCTAATTTAATAAAATATTAGGTGCCCTCCTCCTCCTCCTCCTGCTTCTGGGTTGAGGGGAAAAAAAACTCTAGATATTAATTTAGAACTTACAACAAGCTTGGAAGGAGTAACATATGAAGTTTTGAAAGTAGCTCGCTATAGTATACATAATTGTTGAAGAAATATTGTTTTCTTTTTGTTTTCTGGGTAGATGTCCCTTGACCATGAATATATAGGCTCTGAAAGTAGTAATTGGGTGCTTGATCTTGGTGGGTTTTTTTTTTTTTTTTGAAATTTTTTTTTACGTGATCATACGTGATACAGTTGCTGAAATTATAATTTTGCTGGTCCAAGTATGTATAAATCATGTTCCTACGGGCGATGTGAAGAATAATCCTAATCAAATCGCTAGTGCGCAGAATGTTTTCATGCTTCAGTTTGAAATGATTGACGATCTTCCTTTTTGCAATTTTTTTTTTTTTGATTATGTAACCATATTTTTAATGGTATAATAGTATATATCTTGAATACCGAAGAACGGGTGTATAAGTTTAATGCAATGGAGCAGTTCGTAATTTGATCTCGTGACTTTTTGACAGGTGTTCTGGTCTGTATAAATGCATTTTGTTTTTATGTAGTAGTTTTAGTTTGACTTTAATTCAACGATGTTAAAAAAGATACTCCCTCTGTCCTATAATTATTGTCCACTTTGTCCAAAAATTTTTGTCCTAAAATTATTGTCCAATTTGACTTTTTATGGATCAAGTTACACATTTGTCCTTAGTAAAAAACATTATCCATAAAATCTTAGTGGTTAAACAATTATTTATGTAGGGGTATATCCGGTTGTTTAAGATAAAATATAGTTAAGTTTGACCAAAAATAAAATCTTTCATTTTAGTAAAACTGGACAATAATTATGGGACGGAGGGAGTACTTATCATAGATTTATGAAATTAAGAATGTACTAGTACAAAATTATATATGTTTGGTTTGATGCAGGTGAAAATTTCTGAACTCCAAGGCAAAGTTGTTGGAGTGTACTTCTCAGCTAATTGGTATCCGCCATGTCAAAAGTTCAATCAGCTTTTGGTCAATGCCTATGAGCATTTTAAGCTCACCAATCATCATAACCGGAATCCAGGGTTCGAGGTAGTTTTCGTGTCATCCGATGAAGATTTGGATGCATTCAACAATTTCCGGGCTGGCATGCCTTGGCTGGCTATCCCATTCTCCGATTTGAACACCAAGAAAACTTTGAATCGCATGTTTGATGTAGAGGGAATTCCCTGCCTTGTTATTCTTCAACCTGACAGTAGTTACAAGGGCCGCGATGGCCATGGAAATGGAAATGGCGAGGGAGTGATTCACGAAGGAGTCGACATCCTCCATCGCTATGGAATTCAAGCAATTCCATTCACTAAAGATAGGTTACTGGAATTGCAAGAAATAGAGAGGGAGAAGCATGAAAACCAGACGCTGACAAATTTGCTGACAACCCAAAATAGAGATTTCTTATTGAGTCAATCTGCACCCCAACCGGTAAGTAAATAGTCCAGCCGTTATAGATGAAGATTTAGGCTTCACAGTTGTGCTATTGATATTGTTCGAATTTGTTTTCTGTGGAAGTTGGCAGAACACTCGGCCTTAATGTTCCAAGTTCTGCGCACTTTTTTCCTAAGAAGTTTATGGACTAATAATAATAAGTATGTGGACATTGTGTTGCAGGTCCCTGTTGCTTCTTTAAAAGGGAAAACAGTTGGACTTTATTTCTCAGCACAATGGTGTTTACCTGGGGTCAAGTTCACTACCAAATTAATCCCCGTCTACCAAAATATCAAGCAAGTGATCGCTGAAAAGGGGAATCAAGACGAGGACTTTGAAATCGTGTTCGTGTCTACTGACCGTGACCAGTCATCCTTCGACTCTTTTTTCCAAACAATGCCGTGGCTAGCGCTTCCCTTTGATGACATGAGCGTCAAGAGCCTAACCAAGCATTTTAACATCCAGTGGATACCGAGTTTGATCATATTAGGCCCGGATGGCAAAACTGTGACTACAGAAGGAAGGAACCTGATCAATTTGTACAGAGATAACGCTTACCCGTTCACAGAAGTACGGACAACATTCCTTGAGCACCAAATGGATGAAGCAGCCAAATGCTTGCCCAAATGGCAGTCTCATGCCAGACATCGACACGAGCTTATGTTAGTCTCGGAAGGGAGTGGTGGAGGCGCCTACATTTGTTGTGACTGCGACGAGCAAGGGCTCGGATGGGCTTACCAGTGCATTGAATGTGGCTATGAGGTGCATCCCAAGTGCATTAAGCCAGTCACAGCAGCTGACCGAACTGTTTGATGATTTTGCCAATTAGATTTGGGGGTGTTTCTTCAGTGATTCTCTGCTTTATAATGGCCCGGCATTCACGTGAATCGCGACTTTGCGAATGCAGGAGTTTCTATTCAGCGGCCGGGATGCTTTCTATATTAGTTCCTAATGGTACAAATCACCGTAAGAACTTGATTAATTGATATACTAGACATTATGCTTTAATTAGGGGATCCAATGTAAGGCATTACAGTACCCTATGTGTCTTATCGCTGGTGCCGCAGAAAGCTTTATGGTAGATTTGTTTTCCTTCATTTTAAAGGAAGGTTCTCCACGTACGTAACTCTGACTTTATGTTTAGATGGATTTTAGTAGTAGTTAACTGCTAAATTTTAGAATCACAATAAAAGATAATTCCAAATGGCCAAATGGAGGTGCCTCCAGAGTCGATTCATATTGGGAAAAAAAAAGAAATATGAAAGCAATTATAAAATCTCAATCTTCGCAATTCATATTGGACAAGTTCATAGAGGTCAACTACGGAACAACCATGTCCATGCCTGTCTTCATCCTTGAAAAACATCTCAATCTTGCAATTCATCAAAGCCTCGCATATCTTGAACGAAGGAGCAAATAGAAAACTGCTAGCACCAGGAAAAAGAAAAAGAAAAAAAAAAAAAGATGATTCAAGCAATGGAAACTGAAGTTATAGTCTTACGTAGCTTGTAGTATTTGTGAGGCGAAAGTCCGGAAGTACAGAGCTCTGACAAGACTTGGACCGAATATTTTACTGCTTCTCTTAGATTGTTGGAGTCTTCATACAATCATCAATCGAGTAACATATCAATCAAAAGTTCAATGATGTAGCTTCCATTAAAACTTGAAAATCACACCGAAGTAACAAGATTTTGATTCAGCATTAGGGGTGCGTGGTGATACTTTAATCTCTGAATAAGCATTTAGGCTACAGATCTTTGCAATGCTATTAGGGGTGCGTGGTGATACTTTAATCTCCGAATAAGCAATTATGTTTGGTTCATTTTTAGGAGATTTTAAAAAGTGAAAAGAAAAATCCTAAAATCAAAGAAGATAAAGAGGATTTTTACTACCCATCTCAAGGTTGATATTCTTTTTCCTTGTTTATAGATTTTAATCATTAAATGAGTTTATTATATTTAATTCTTCCTATAATCATTTTTTTCTTCCTATCATCGTTTTTTTTTTTTAAAATCATCCTCTTTTTCACCATTCACTTTCTTCAAGAATTTTTCCACCTTTTTTTTCCTACTGCATTTAAATTTTTTTTTTTCCATATAGGAGATACACTTATTCAAATGGGTGAATTTTCTATGATGATCTCTTATATTTTACTATAATTTTCAATTTTAAGAGATCAAAATTATAATAGGATTAGTGAAAAACGAAATTATACGACAATAATTTGTTTTAAATTGAATTGAATGGTTTCATCTCTAACAAATTTTTAATTGTCTCAAATTTGTAAAAAAGAATCTGGAATTTAAAGTAGAATTCATTAATGGCATCTTTAAAAACACGTTAAGAGTACGTTTGGTAATAAAGTAATTAGACTTCATTTTTTCATTTATTAATAAACATGAAAAACAAGAATTTCCACCAACAACTTTCTTAATTAAACCCAAATAAAACAAAAACCTATTTCATTTTACTTTTATTAGATTTAGATTTCAGTGAATGTTAACTTTATTTTCTCTCACTTTCTTAACAACCAAATATGCCATCAAACTAGACGTTAAACCCGTCTGTCGTACGGGACAAACAAACTTAAATGGAAATCATAAAATAAATTTTGTGTAAAACAGCAATGGTAAGTATAAACATAATATTTCCTTTTTCGAACATCAAAATAAAATATAAAAAAATAAACATACATGTTATGTTATTGAAATATGTAATAATTTATTTAAACATCAAATTAAAATTAGAGGAAAGAAAGTAAAACTATTTTCGACCTCAAGTTACATAATCACATATCTTGCAACACTTTTTTGTAGACTAAATTTGTGGTTTTCTTCCTAATATTATCATATCAATTGTAGATTAGGACTTTGATTCCTCCTCTCAAAGTAATCTTAATAAGGAAATATATATTGACAATGACTGAAACTTTTATTTACTAGTATTGCAAAATAAATGACCAAAGAAAACTATTTTCTTTTTATTTTAAAAGGATATTTAACATCAGATGAGCAAAGTGTCATGCAAACAATATCACCCACGTTAGTTACCAAGATCATTTTTGCTTAAATGATACATTTTCCTATCATAAAAATTGGAAATCTTGTACCATTACATAGTCTAACTTGTTGATCTATATTTTTGAGGAATGTGACCATAATACCTACTTTGAGCATTAGCTTGCATTGTGGCGGACCAGAATATTTAGGCCTTGTTTGGATAATAGTTTATTTTAGTTTTTTGTTTAGTTTTTTATTTGAGTTTGAGATGTGATTTAAAATATGATTTGAGAGAAAATTTAAAAAGTTATTCGGAGTAGTATTTTAAATAAAATAATAATATTTTTACACCACCTCCACCACCGGCGCCGCTGCCAGACCGCCCATCACCGCCGCCGAGTCCCGACGAGTTGGCCAGAAACTGGCCGGCCGGTCACCGCCTGGAGGCGGCGATGGGCGGTTCAGCGGCGGAGGTGGTCCGGTGGTTGTGGATAAAAATTGTGTGAAATTAATGTTTGAAATAAATTTTAAAAAGTAAATTAAAAAGTCATTAGGATAACATTGGGTTTTGTATTTGAGAGGTATTTTAAGAGATAAATTGAGACAAAATACAAAACAAAATGATGGCCAAACAAGCCCTTAATATTTTAAAAAAATCGAGAGTGAACGATTCTTCAATATTTTCACTATCTTTTGAATTGCATATGACATCTTAAATTAAGTACATATTCTCCTCTACACCTAAAATAGATCATATATGATCATTTATGGGTTTCATATCATCAGTCGTCGATGTCAAAATTGCTCTTTGTTGGAGATAATCAATAGTTTCAAGATTGTTCAAAAAGTCAACATATGTTGTATTGACCACGATGACAACAAGATTGCCCTTTGTTTGAATGAACATTTCTACAATTATTCCAATTATAACTTTCCCGGCTGTTACTTCTGTAATTTTTCTTTGCTGATCTTCAAAAGCCATTCGAAAATCCCTAACATCTTTAACAGTTTCAATAGAACCCACTATCTGAAGACGCATATTGGTTGTCAACTTGAGTACCTCACAATGTGACTATAATTATAATTAATGTATCAACAATATCGTGCTTGCTCCCCTTGAGTACTATTGGAAGAATTTTCTTGTAATCACCTCCTAGGATGATAACTTTATCACCAAAAACTCTTTTGAAATTTATTTAATTAATTTATTAGACGATATTTATCAAAAGATTAAAGACCATACAATCTTTGTGAACCATAAGTATTTCGTTTATATTATAATTATCACCCTAGTACATTTCCAGACATCATAGTACATTCCCGCCCGCCCAAGCACTAAAACCCCCCAAGAAAACTTTACCACAATCACCATAATGGATCAACCGTGCCTCTTTTCCGCCTTGGATTTCAGAGTCCTTAACAGAGTGTCAGGCAACCCTTTGAAGGGCAGCCCAGGAATTTTCATAAGCCACAGGAAAAAGGTATTCAGGGGCGAGCCTGTACTCAACTGAGATTGTCACTGCATTTTTGGAGACTAATTGATTGAGATATGGGGAGTCTAAAAGGGAGAAAGCAGATCCGAAAAACCCACCACCATGGATGTAGACTAAAATCGGGAGCCTTTTGTTAGGATCAGTGATTTTGGGAAGGTAAATTCTTGCAGAAACATTTGATAAAATATTGATGTCTTTCGTGGAAAATATGAGTGATGGAGGAAATTTGTACACTTTAACGTATGGAGGAAAATCAATCTCCAGATCTTTGGATTCAGAAGCCATGATGATGATTAATCAAGAACTGAAACCACACAAGAAGATATAAACTTGTTGGGAATGGAAAAGGTAAAAGACTGCCGAGGTGGATGAAATTCGACTATTGAGGAAATTTCAAGAGCCTTATTTGACCTTCTACATGTTTTAAAGGAAGTTTCAGAAAGGGTTGAACAATTCGACTACAGAGGTTTACAGATCATCACCATTCACCGTAACAGAACAGCCTAATTAGACATTCTTTGTCCTATTTTGGTTTTGTTGTCTAAACTCTATATAATCATAATATATATAAAAAAAAAAGAAAAAAGAAAAAAGAGTGATACATCAACGGATAGTCGCGCTATAACAATCTCTCGTTAATGCCTAATTTAACGATAAGTAAGTTTGTCTATGGCTACGGAGAAAAGAAAAAAGTATACTAAATCAGAAACACGTGTACAAAAGAGGATTAAACTATGCTACTGATTAATGTAACTTTTCCTGATCCATATGGCTTCTAGAATGTTAATCAACGGACAAACAGAAAGAAGAATTTAAAAAATCAAAAAATGCAGAAAATTAGTACTATTGACATTATTAAAGTCTAAAGAAGGTTGCTAAAAAAACACTATTTGTCCTTAATAAACATATATAATGATGATCAGAAACAAGATAATGATGATCAAGGTACTGCAAGCAACAATTTTGCTTTCGAAAAGAAAAAGATATGCCCCAGCCCTTCTGAAGCGTAACGGAGTGGATAAGAAACTCAGAAGCAAAATCGATGGCTGCACAAGAAACAGGGTTTCTTTGAGATTAGCAAAGCCAATCCTGTTAGGGGAGCTGGAGAAGGAAGCCATCTGCGTATTCTCACCATTGTGCCTCCAAATTTCACTGGGCACGAGCGGTTCCGTGTCGTCTTCCTCTGTTAAAGATGTGTTCCAAAGTTTCGTCAAATTCTCGACCACTGATGATATCTGCTTCTTTGCTAAAAGATGCATCGAATCTGTACTTGCTGATGGCAGCCCGTTGGATGGCCCTTTCTTGTCCTGTGCTTTCTCTGTCTGGATTGATGACCCTATGGGGCCTATTATTCCGGAGTTCGACGGGTGTATCCGTCATTATTTTCGGGCTCCTGCCAAACTAGCTATTTTCCAAAACAAGGTTAGTTAATTGTGCTATTTTTCAATTGTTGATTGCTTAAAGACTTCTTTACCATTTGATATTTCACAATCTAAATTTTGCCAATTGGACTGTGTCTGCTTATTTGTATTCCAACAATAACAACTTTTTCTTGATTGCCCTAGCGTTGGCCTTATTTATTATAGAGAAGATCAAAACCTTGTAGATCATTATTGTGTCCCGTCAGTTCCAAAAAAATGGTCCAAATTGAGTTTTTAGTTTCTGTACTAATAACCGTATAAAATCTCAAAACTCAATGCGGACTAATTTTTTTTTGTGACAGAAGGAGTATGTTTGACTTAGTGACTTAAGTCGCTGTGGTTGGTGTTCCATATGCAAACCATAGCAGAACTTGGGAGTCATATGTGACGCGGATATAATAAATCTCTTTGTTTTGGTTGCAGCCCGTCGAGGCGGCCAGCGTAGTGAATGCCTGGTTTGAAAAAAGAACAAAAAGGCCTCATCAAAGATATTCTTTCGCCGGATGCCCTCAACAAATCAACGAGAATAATTCTAGCAAACGCGTTTTACCTCAAAGGAGCTTGGGGCTGCAAGTTTGTTAAATCACGGACTAAAGAACACGAGTTTTACCTCTTGAATGGCAGCGTGGTTAAGGCCCCTTTCATGACCAGCGGGGATCGCCAGTATATCCGGGCTTATGATGGTTTCAAAGTGTTGCGCCTCCCTTTCGCACAAGGCAGAGATAACGAGAGACATTTCTCCATGTATTGGTATCTTCCTGATGATTCCAATCACGTTGGGTTGAATGATTTGGTGCAAAAACCCACTTCTGCACCTTCTTTTATAGAGTCTCATATACCGCATATCAAAGTTAGAGTAGGCAACCTCCTCATTCCAAAGTTGAAGATGCCGTTTCAATTTGAGGCTTCGAGCATTCTAAGAGGTTTGGGGTTCAAATCGCCTTTTAAGAAGCATTACGGGTTCACCGACATGGTAGGTCGAAAAGGTATACGCGCGCTTCGTATTTCGAACGTTGTCCAAAAATGTTACATTGAAGTTGATGAAGAAGGTGCCGATCAACCTGCTGCTGCTGCTGCTGCTGCAAGTAAAGTCATCATATTTCCAAAGTCTAATGTGGCAGCTGCACCAAAAAAAGTTCAAAAGCGCAGGATAGACTTTGTTGCTGATCACCCGTTTCTTTTCGTTATAAGAGAAGATGTGCGGTGGAGTAGTGGTATTCATGGGCAGCGTCCTTAATCCCGTTGAAACTTGAGTTCCCCTTGGTAGATTTATTTAAGGTTTTATTATAATTCCATCATTTTGCTTCATCTTATGTAAGTTGATATTTCCTGAGGGAAAAAAGGCACCCTCACGTTGACAATTTTTGAGTTATCTTTTGATCTTATTATTTGGTTTGAAGAGGTGATGTTATTAGTAGTTTGATGAAATGTAGCAGTTCGTGACTGATCTCGTGACTTTTAGCAGCTGTTTTTGTGGTAGTTTTAAGACTTTTTACTTGTAACCTGAAATACAAAATTTACTACTACTCTATAGTAGTATAGAAGTATTAAATGGCACCTTTTTGTGTCAGTTCCTAATGGTGCAAATTGCCATAAGAACTCAAAAATAGAAAATTGATCACCATCATCTCTTGCATTCCCATAATTCTTCTGGAATCACCAACTGAATTATTATCCAGATGAAGATTCTCTTACAGAAAAAGTTTTAAGGGATGAACGGATGGAAAGGGTCATTCGATCCAACAACCTTAAGAAAGCTGCTTTCTTGAGCTGTCTCAACACTTCTACTGCGACCCTCTCTGAAGCTAAACAAGCCCACACCCATGTCATCAAGGAAGGTCTTTCTTCACAAACCCGTATTGCCACCAAGCTTCTCTCTATTTACGCAAATCACCAGTGCTTCACCGATGCATACAGTCTCCTCTGTCGTATCCCTGAGCCGGATATCCTCTCCTTCGCGAGCCTCATCAATGCTTGTTCTAAGTTCGATCGGTTTTCGGACGCCCTTAAGGTGTTCGTTAGAATGCTTGGAAGAAGCGTTTTTCCAGATGCCCGCATCCTTCCTACTGCGATCAAAGCTTGCGCTGGATTGTCAGCCCTTGAATTGGGTCGACAAGTCCATGCCTTTGGGGTGACTTCTGGGCTTATGTTGGATTCATTTGTGGAATCGTCTTTGGTTCATATGTATGTTAAGTGTGATGAATTGAATTATGCTCGTAAGGTGCTGGCTAGAATGTCCGAGCCAGATGTGGCTTCTTGTAGTGCATTGGCTTCTGGGTATGCGAAGAAAGGTGACGTGGGTAATGCCAATGTGTTAATTAGGGAGATGGAAAAACAGGGCATTCAACCTAATTTGATCTCCTGGAATGGTATGATTTCTGGGTTTAATCAGAGTGGGGCATTTTCCGAGGCCATTGGTGTCTTTAAGGTGATGCATTCTGGTGGGTTCAAGTGTGATGGGGTTAGCCTTTCTTGTGCCCTCGCTGCGGTGGGAGATTTGGAGGATCTGATCGTGGGTGTTCAGATTCACGGTTGTGTAATCAAACTTGGATTTAGATCTGATAAGTACGTCGTTAGTTCCCTGTTAGATATGTATGGAAAATGTGGATGTGCGTCGGATATCATTCCCGTGTTTGAAGAAATTGATCACAAGGATGTTGGTGCTTGCAATGCATTGATTGCTAGCCTATCTCGAGCCGGTATGGTCGCTGAGGCGGTCAAGACTTTTAAACAATGTCAGGAACAAGGGATAGAGTTGGATGTAGTTTCTTGGACCTCTTTGATTGCTGGGTGCATGCAGAATGGCAATGATATCGAGGCTGTAGATCTTTTCAGAGAGATGCAGGTGGCTGGGATAGAACCAAATTATGTAACTATCCCCTGTTTGCTTACTGCTTGTGCTAGTATTGCTGCACTAGCACATGGGAAAGCAGCTCACTGCTTTTCTCTCAAGAGGGGTTTCTCTGATGATTTGTATGTGTGTAGTGCTCTTATTGATATGTATGCAAATTGTGGAAGGATCCAAGCTGCTAGAAGATGCTTTGATTGGGAGCCTAGTCGCAATTTGGTCTGTTGGAACGCGATGATTAGTGGATATGCAATGCATGGGAGAGTTAAGGAAGCAATTGACATCTTCCACTTGATGCAAAGCAGTGGACACAAACCCGACTTTGTTAGTTTCACAAGTGTTCTGTCTGCTTGTAGCCAACGTGGGCTTGTGGAAGAAGGGAAGAGATTCTTCAGCAGCATGTCTGCGGACTTTGGAATTAAACCTAGGATGGAGCATTATGCTTGTATGGTTAGCCTTTTGGGTCGCACAGGTAAGCTTGAAGAATCTTATTCCTTGATCAAAGATATGCCATTTGCGCCTGATGCATGTGTGTGGGGCGCCTTATTAAGCTCTTGTCGCGTTCACCAAAACACCCGCTTAGGAAAAGTTGCAGCCAATGCTCTATTCGAGCTGGAACCAAACAATTCTGGAAATTATATCCTCCTATCAAACATTTACGCTGCTAAAGGAAAATGGAACGAGGTTCACAAAGTTAGGGATATGATGAAATCGATAGGAATAAGGAAAAATCCAGGATGTAGCTGGATTGAGGTGAAGAACAAAGTGCACACGCTTTTAGCTGGAGATTCTTCACACCCTCAAATGAAGCAAATTTTAGAAAAGGTAAATAAGTTAAGCATGGAAATGAAAATGGCAGGTTATTTGCCGGATACCAAATTTGTATTGCAAGATGTTGAAGAACTTGAGGAGAGGGAACACATATTATGTGGCCACAGTGAGAAACTGGCCATAGTTTTTGGGATTTTGAATACAAATCCAGGGACTTCTTTAACTGTGATGAAGAACCTTAGAATATGTGGCGATTGCCACACTTCAATCAAATTCATATCAAGTTTTGAAGAAAGGGAAATTTTAGTTAGGGACACAAATAGATTCCATCACTTCAAGGATGGCATGTGTTCCTGTGAAGACTTGTGGTGACGATAGCAAGATGGAGATCCTCTGTCCGACTTACATATGACGTTGATGCCGGTTCCATTAGATCAGGATGAAGGCACTTTTTAGGTTAGAATATGTAGTATACGATGTTGTTAATTCCGCGAACACGATTTGATATTACCATAGTGATACATGATCTGATGTTTTCAGTTTACCCCCTTGATTACCAAGAGAAACAGGATTTGAGGTTGCCCTTTTTAGGCTTGCATCTTGTTTTCCAGTACAAAGCTGATGCGTAAAAGTGAGGAACGCTGAAAAGAATATGGTATGCTTTCGTCTTCATTCCTAACCTGTTTCAACAACCGTGGGTTTGCTATATGAAATGCTGATAATTAAACCCAGGCATCATTCTTCAATTATTAAATGTTACTTTAGGTTTCCTTTTCTCTGTCCATTTCATAGTGGTAGAAGAAATCAAATCCCTGGTCCTAAAGATGGAGTCATTGAGTTCTAAACGCTCGATTTTATCCTATGTATCATTGAAGACATTTACTAAGGGCAAGCAATTGGAAAGAAGTTATCAATCTAAGACTGAAAGCACATTCTCCGAGTCAGTAAACCCAAAGAAATGAGGGCAGTCAGAATGTGCCTCTGGTAGCCGGGTGGTGTTGTCACCTAAAGGGGGGAAAATCCCAGTTCTTTTTTGTCTCAATCCGAATTTTCACATATTCTACAGCATCCATTTGTATGCTATGATCACCATGTTAAAGACAGGCCCCATATGCTACTATTCTACAATGAAGTTGTCTTAATTTGTAGTTAGTTTCTAAGAGTAGGAATTCCATTGAGAAAGCTTATTTAAGCCAATGAAGAGTGTGACACCAAATACGCCCGACACAGCAAAAGCAAAGCATCTGACACCAAAAAAGGTTAGCAGAAAAAACAACCTGACCATCCACAACTATCCAAACCAACAAAAAGGAAAAAAAAAAAAAAAAAAAAAACCCATCAGACTGAATGATCAGAACAACATTCTGCTATAATTCCATTCCAATTTGATCACCATTCCAAAATGTTTCCATCACAAACTCCAAATGAGCTCGGGTTGTAGTTGTTTCCCAAGATCAGTAGAGATCCCAATTTCATCTCGTGATATCATCAATTTCACCCCATCCCTATATTTGTAACATCCGAACACTCCCCAATAGAAACTACAATCCCATCACCGCCACAACCAGAAATCGGACCAATTCTCTCGGCAAACCGTACGTTGACATCGCAGCCCTTTATCATCTAGACAAGGAATCAGGAAGGGGGCCATTTTGGAGTCACGTATGTTAGCACAGCAAAAGCCACAGGGTTGAAGTATGCATGCAAGTCAATATCAAGAAGAAAGCTGATGAGTAAGAAAGACATTGAACTTGTTGATGGGTGAATAAGGATGATGACTCTCCATTGAAAGCTCTCTGCTTTCATTGAAGAAGGTGAATCCAGCTGCCAATTTATAACTTTCTTCTTCTTTGAAAAATCTAATTTCATAATTCTTTGTGATTTTTCTTGTTTATTAATAGTTTTGAATTTTCTCTTAAATGTAACTGTAACAAAGTTTGCTTGCGATAGAAACTTTTGCGCAAGTAATACGTTTTTAGGGATGAAAAATGAACTTGTAATCATGATTGTTTGATGCATGGGTAAAGTTTTACCAAAGTCAATGGTAAAGTGTGAAGCTAACAGGGTGAATAATCAAGTCAACAGAGTCAATCCTGAATTTATCTGGTTCATTTCAGAGTTAGAATTCCAAAAAAACACAAAAAGCCACCTTAACAACCTACCAAGGGGAAGCTCGCAGGCTGATATAAAATAAGTACTCAACTATTTTTCTTTCATCTAATATCCCTATGTTTCACTTTAAGATCACTCAATTTTCAACTGGATTAAGAATGCTACCCATGAATACAACTACGCCACGCACATCTTCTCTTATAACGAAAAGAAATGGGTGATTGGCGACAAAGTCTATATGCTGCTTTACTTTTGGTGCATTTGCAGCTGCCACTCTAGACTTAGAATGACTTGCAGCAGCAGCAGCAGCAGCAGCAGGAGATTCAGTACCTTCTTCATTAACTTCAATGAAACATTTTTGGAAGACATTTGAAATAAAAAGGACCTACCATGTCGGGTGAACCCCCAATCCACCTTGAAAGGCAAAAACAACCCGTAATCTTTTAGAACACCTGTTCCTCATCAAATTCCTTGAGCTTCTTGACGGAAAGAGAACCTCTTTTTTTTTTTTTTTTTTCTTCTTCTTCTGGAAAATAAACCTCTTTTTCTTTTGTTGGAAAGAGAACTTCTTGTTTTGGTGACTGAATCCATATTGACAAAAAATATGGTGGTGGGAAGTAAACTGTAAAAAACAACAAAACCAACAAATCAATTTCCAATTTTAATGATGATAACATCTCACAACACAACCTCCAAACCCTAATAACCGAAAAAAAAAAAAAACCCAAATACAATATGAAAGGTTTTCAAATAATTGTGTCATTGGAGAGACCAGAGCGAATCGTTGAGGGCTTTAAATACTCGGTGATGGTGTCGCTTTTGACCCGCGTTCACCCTCAAAACCTCTCTTCTTCTTTTTTTTCTTTAGTTTTTTCAAAAACTTTTTAATTTATTATACCTTTTTAATCATTAAAAAAATAATTCCCCATATTTTAAAATTATTATTATACCTATTAATCTTCAAAAAAATAGTTAAGAAACGTGTATTATACCATATATTAAATTAATCTACATGACGAGATTTATTTATTATCATCCGTGAATCATATTTTTTCTCCAATAAAAATTCAACTTTAGATCATAAGTAGCTATTCTTAACCGGTTTGATTGAATGACAATGCAGGACCGTCTAGGAAACATAAAATGTTTTTTAGATTGGTCACGTAATAGAATGAGTGGAAGGTGGTGGTGGTTTTTGGTCCTTTACATTTGATTGATAAATTTTTTAAAGTCCCAATATAGAAAACAAAAGTTTGTAACTCAAATCGTGGACTTTCACATTTCGATATATTGAGCATCTTAAGAGATTGATAAAGGGCAATAAAATTATGTTGTGAGAATGTTAGTGGCTAAAAAGCTTGTTTGATGAAAAATGACTGAATGTTGTTTTTATAGAGGAAAAAAAAAAACCACGTATCCAATGGAGATCCCACAACGTAATCATATATATTAAAACAATGTTTTCTGCATATTTGACACAAAATTATGAGTTGATAAAATTTAATTAAATTTTTTAATTTAATATTTTTACAAGTTTAAAATTGATAAAATTATTCAACTCAAACAAGTTAGTGAAAACGTGATTTTCCTTTTGCCAACACAATTAGTCATGTTTTGTTATATTAAAATTAGTATAAAAATTGGACAATCATTTTGGGACAGAGAGAGTACGATTTTGGTGAAAACGTGATATTTCTCTTGCCAAAACTTAACTAAATAAGACTTGTAACAGTAACTGTTCATATTGGTACATTCACACAAGGGAATCAAGATATAACTAATATATACAGTATATGTGCGTATTTTCTTTTAATCCCTTATTCATACTTGACCTGTTCACCGTTCAGAATGCTCGATTCACTATTGTTCCATAGATTATAAGTCTTTGTTGAGGGCAATTACAAAAATGAAGTCCACAAGCTATTTGCCTATTTCCCTTATTCCACCGACTTTTAGTGTGGTCTATGGGTCATGACCACTTTTCATGACTGAAAAATAGAACGTCAGAGTCAGTAAACCCAAAGAAAGTGAGGAAGAAACTTTACTTAGATTGAGATGGTTTTTTGGTGGTGTTGTCACCAGAAAAAAGGATAAATCTCAGTTCGTTCCTTTTGTCTCTCTCTCTCATCACTCAAGAATTTTTTCACATATTCTGCAGTATCTTAAAGCTATTACTTACCTTGTTTCCGACTACAAAAACAACCCACAAAAGCCTTTGTAGTTTGGATTAGTAATTCCCATTGAAAGCTTCTTTAATCCAAAAAGTAGAGTGTGATACCAAATACGCCCGACACAGCAAAAGCAAAGCATCTGACAACCCCCAAACCAAAAAAAAAAAAAAGTAGCAAACCTCAAACACAATTAGCAAAAGCGCAAAAAACAGATTCTCTGCAGATATATAGTTCCATTCCATTTCAACATCGAAAACAACTTTGATCACCAACTCCAAAATGGGCTCGTGTTGTAGCTGTTTCCCAGGATCATCAGTAGAGATTCCAATTTCCTCCGCTTCAGATTCATCCCGTGATCATCATCGTCATCAATTTCATCCCATTCCAATATTTGTCCCCATGGAATCATCCGAGCAGCACTCCCCTGTTGAACCTACGCCACAACCCGAAATCGGACAAATTCTCGGCAAACCGTACGTTGACATCACAACCCTTTATGCTCTAGACAAGGAACTAGGCAGGGGACATTTTGGAGTCACGTATCTTTGCACTGAAAAAGCCACAGGGTTGAAGTATGCGTGCAAGTCGATATCAAGAAGGAAGCTGGTGACTAAGAAAGACATTGAAGATGTGAGGAGGGAAATCTCCATAATGCAGCATCTGAGTGGGCAACCGAATATTGTTGAGTTCAAAGGGGCTTACGAGGATAGGAGGCACTTGCACTTGGTGATGGAATTATGCTGCGGTGGTGAGCTTTTTGATCGGATTGATGCAAAAGGAGGAGGTTATTCTGAGAAAGAAGCTGCGAGGATTGGGAGGCAGATTGTGAATGTTGTTCATGTTTGTCATTTCATGGGCGTGATTCATAGAGATCTCAAGCCTGAGAATTTCTTGATGGTGAATAAGGATGATGACTCTCCATTGAAAGCCATCGATTTTGGGCTCTCTGTTTTCATTGAAGAAGGTAAAACCGGCTCCGCAATTACTCCCTCTGGCCAACTTTCTTCTTCTTTGAAATCGATTTTGACAATTCTCTATGATTTTTCTTGTTTTAATAGTTTTGAATTTTCTCTTAAATGTAATTGTTGTAACAAAAGTTTGGTTGAGATTAAAAAAATTTGCGTAAGTGGTACGTTTACAAATGAAAACATGAACTTGCATGGTGGATAATGGTAGCAGGATTGTGGGGGTAAAGTTTTACCAAAGTCAATGGTAAAGTGTGTGACGCTAACAGGGTCAATAGTCAAGTCAACTCAGTCAATCCTTAATTTCTCTGGTTCGTTATTTCTTTTCAGATTTTCAATTATGAGGTGAAAGAATTCACAAAACAATGTAAAAAAAATTACATATTTCAAATAAGCTCCCATCCTAAAATATGTAGAAGATTTTATTTATTTATTATTTATTTATTCCGGGACGAACTGAGTGTGAATTTATATGGAACCCAACACAATGCTTATCTTTACATAGCATACTAACGTTCTATTTTGCTGTTTTTCTCTGTTTATCAATATGCAGGGAAAATCTACACTGAAATTGTAGGAAGCGCATATTATGTAGCCCCAGAGGTACTGGGGAAACGATATGGGAAAGAAATAGATGTTTGGAGTGCTGGAGTCATTTTGTACATTCTTCTCTGTGGATTTCCTCCCTTTTGGGCTGGTATGGTTTTATCCTACTTAGAACATTAAAAAAGTGACAATCAAGTCATATTTCGTATTTGAGTATTACTTGAAACATATTATTAAACATGCCATTTTCATACTATACTCTAGTGGTATTTATACTTCGTGTCACAAATGACAACCTCACAATACCCTTACTTCTTACAACAGAAATAGTAATGAATGATGGATGATTATTTATGAGAAGGAAAAGAATGCTAATGATCATTGATATTGGTTCTGTAATTTTTTCAGAAACGGAGAAAGGTATTTTTGATCAAATAAGAATGGGACATCTAGATTTCGAAAGCTCTCCTTGGCCTTCCATCTCTGATGGTGCAAAAGACCTTATCAGGAAAATGCTTACAATGGATCCTAAGAAAAGGATTACTGCTGCCCAAGCTTTAGGTAATTGCACTATTTTTCTTAAGTAATTGAAGCTTGATTCTTATGCATTGAATAACGCGACAAATATCATTGGGAAGTAGTAGAATTAGTTATTTTATTTTTCATTCATGTCATACTATCTCAATTTGTGTATTCCTTCCATAAGAACATGATAATTCTTCTTTCATAATTCATGCATCAAAAATAACCCGGGGATCATGTCCATGAATCAGAACATCCGTGGCTCAAAGAGGGAGGTGAAGCATCTGATACGCCTATTAACAGTGTGGTCCAAATCAGAATGAAACAATTTAGAGCAATGAACAAGCTCAAAAGACTTGCCCTCAAGGTACAGCAAATTTGACTTGATTCATCAATGTACATTTTTCTGGATTAATTGAATGCTAAAAAAAGGCGAAATTACTGGAAGATCATTGCAGAGAGCCTTTCAGAATCTGAAGAATTCAAGGGATTGAAACAAATGTTCAACAACATTGACACAGATAGAAGTGGTTCCATCACGTACGATGAGCTAAAAACTGGACTGACCCGGTTGGGGTCCAGACTTCCAGAAGCAGAAATTCAACAGTTAATGGAAGCTGTAAGACTCTTCTAACTACAGTTTCGGTATCTTCATGTTACTAGAACATACTCAAAGAACAACCAGATCTAAATGAATTGCAGGCTGATGCTGACAAGGATGGAACGATCGACTATATTGAGTTCATCACTGCTACCATGCATCGTCATAGACTCGAAAAAGAAGACATCGTGCGCAAGGCTTTCCAACACTTTGACAAGGATGGAAGTGGGTATGTACTAATCATGCATCTAGTAAGCCCTTTCAGCTGGTCCCAAAAAGTTTACAATTTACAGATCCCCTAACTAATTTCCTTCCTGTACATTTTTCAGATTCATTACAAGGGATGAACTCAAAGATGCAATGACAAAGTATGGAATGGGAGATGAAGATACAATCAATGAAATCCTTAACGATGTGGATACAAATAAAGTAAGTGCAGTACATTTTGATTTCAAAGTTCTCATTCCAAGTGAAATTCTTGACTACACTTATCACAGTGACAACTAAACAGAAACTTTTACATGATCACACAGGATGGCATAATTAACTATGAGGAATTTGCGAATATGATGAGAAAGGGAACAGTGGATGACGAATCCAAAATAGATGTGTGATCTATTGATTATATTTATGGTGAATCATTGTGGTGGTAAAAGCAAAAGAATACCAATCAAGTACATCATGGTTCACTCTCAGCTTCAAGTATTGAATGAAATAGGGGGCAAATGTAAATTTACACTAGCAGCGACCTTGCATATCTAGTGTCTCGTCCAAGACTTTCAATCTCTGTAGTCCATCACTCATAAAAAATCGTATCTTCTGCTTGTCATGGCAATTTCTGTTGTTCTCTATTTCTTGTCTAATTATACCTCTTAACTCAGCTGCAAGCCAGCAAAGATACCAAGACGATGTTATTAAAATTCCATGGAGGTGGACATGTAAGTTGTAAATATAATGCAAAACTCATAAAGCAATAAGTCCAATTCTTAATGCTTTCAAAGTGGTTATATTAACATTCCACATATCAAAATTTCGCAGTATAGATAAACATTACTAACATTCCACAAGAACAGAATGTAGACCTTATCATCCAGGGTCAGGACATTGTTCTTTTGGTATTAATCAATCATTGGATTAACATAGTGATGCCAAATTAATGAAGAACTGAAATTGAAGACACCTTAGATTTTGGTATCAATAGTTAATTAAAATTCCTCTGATAAAAGCTTTTTTAAAAAAAATAAAAAAGTAAAAAATCATGGCATTATTTACCACGAATATGTTCCGTGAAACCATAATCAATGGAAAATTTAAGTTGCTGAGAATCACCTCTGGCGTCGATCGGAGCTCTCCGAACAGTCCTAAGAGCTTGTCGGTAAAGCTTAAGCACTTTTGCTCGGAGGAGGAAATCCCTCAAATCCAAAACCATTCCTGAATTGGCCCTTTCTCGCCGAAGGATTTGTGATTCGAATCACCAAAAGAACTAGCTTGAGAATTGGATTGGGATGGTATTCGGTGGTATTCAGTAATCAGAAATAAAAAATGTTCTCTTCTCTTACCAAACGAATGAATCTCAGGCAGATCAGCCGTCCATTTCAGGAGGAAGACGGCGTTCTTCTGGGTTTAGAATTTGGGCCATTTTGAACTGGGTCCAATAATTGTTTTCATTAATGGGCCCAAGTTTGTAATATGTTACATACATGGTTCTTTGAGCTTTCCCAATGACTTCTCCACCTACCTACCTTTCACATCCCAGTATCCCACCAAAATGGAACGCGTCTAAATAATAAGTAAATTATTTTGTGATGTATGAATTACAAAAAAAACAAAAAAAAACAATTACACTTGACACTCAAAGTGACACTTTACAAATATATTTATAAAAAAAACCGTCATATTCCCTCCATCTTAAAATTATTGTCTTGCCTATTATATTACATCAAGATTATTTTTCTGTTTAGTGTATTGCAAAGTTTTGTGACTTTTTCTAGTTTAGTGCATTTTATTTATTTATTATTTTATTTTTGTACATCGTGCACAAGAGTAATTATTTCAGTTGAATTCAATTCGAATAGGTTATATCAAAAAAATAAAAATAAAATAAATCGGATAGGTCTCTTTTTTAGACAAAATTTTCTAACAAATATTCTAATCTTTGCTACACAATACTGTCTCCGGTCCTTAGTATAAGGCATTTTGATTTTGTCCTAGGTTTAACTTAAACGCACTTTTAATTGACGAAAAAATCTTAAAAATGTATTTTTACATTCGTTGTATTCTCTTGATTGTTATGAAATATTTTTTAATATTTTTTTGTCAATTAAAAATATGTACTAGATTAAACCTAGGACAAAACAAAATGACTTATATTAAAGACCGGAGGGAGTATATGCTTAACCCAGGCTTTGTGTTCTATTTTGATACATTAACAATAATTTTTGGGGCGGAGCATTGAGTATGTATTCAATATTCTGCTTGAGCTGAGGATTTCTGAATTTCTAATATGATCAGCATTAAATTAATGCTAACTTTCAGCTCACATGTTTTGTATGAGTTCGATATTTCTCATTTCCCAGCCGGCAAAGTTTACAAATAAAACAGTTTTTAAGTCTGTACGTAAATACGACGTCTATAGATCGTTTTATGTTAATCGTCCGACAGTGTTCAGTGTTGACTTTCCAAGTTCCAACCCATACGAAGTGTTAGAATATCGGTATTATACCCCAGAAACAAAAAATACGGGTGATATAACGTGTTTTTGTTTTAGGTACAAAAAATAGGCCGTGTTTAGGTAAATACAGTTACATGAAACCTTCAAATATTACATGAAACAGTACAAGTCAAAAACAAGGCTTTATGGTCACTGCGTGGCTGCATTCAAAACAAAGGCTATGCGAAACCAGTTATAATAAGGAGCACTTAGTACATTACAACTAGTACATTACATCTATTCAAATTGAATAGAATAATCGTGTTACCGTTGATAATCAAAGCATTTTCCATCCGTCTCAATATAAAATCTCAATTTGAGTCGATAATACTAATATAGATAAGGACAAATACTCACTCAGCCCGCCATGTTCATAAATGATTCAACTTGTGTTGATTTCGTCACTTCTTTTAATATATTGGCAAAAATTTTATTTTCATTTCAATTAGTAGTAGTAAGTAGTTAGCTAGCGTGGTTACTTAGACCATTCCTATTAATTTTTGGGTACCAAACCAAACGTTTCTGAAAGTTAGTTGTGGAATTAATTGCCCAATTAAAAGCCCTTTAGTCCCCTACTTTGAATTGACCAATACACACATACAACGACCCTTTAATTATCTCACTTTTTGCATGAATTCTTGACATTTTCTTCCTTGCTGACTCTTTATCATTTATAATACGCCATTTTAGAGACCATTCACAAAGGTCCTTTCTTTTGTCTATTCATTTCTTGCTGTATCCGCATATATAAAGGGAAAGGGGGCTGATTATTCATTTTATTGTAGGAATAGAAAAAAGAAGAAAAAAAACATACAATAGAAGATTTGATTTTTTGGTGAAAAGTTTTTGTTCAAAAAATGGAGAAGCAAGCAGTAGCAAAGCACAAGCTCAACTTCTCAATGTTTCTTCCGAAACCAACAACAGCAGCAGCATCAGCTGTAAACCTATTCAGTCCCAACAAGGCTAAAAATGCAAAGAATAAAGGGTTTTCTGGTCCGATTACTTCCGCAGTTTTTCAAGAGGCTAGGGAAAGATCCGAAGCGGGTTTGGGTTCCAGTTTCAGATTTGGTACCAAAGAGCCGACTTCCCCTAAGATTTCATGCATGGGGCAAATCAAGCACAGGAAGAAGATGTGTAAAAACAAGATCATGATGATCAATGGTACTAAGAGCAGCAAAGAATTGTTGTTGGGGAGTAAAGAAGTGGTTTTGATGAACAACTCCAAGCAGAAAAACAAAAACCCTGCTGCTGGTTCAGGAAATGTTTTCAGCAGGGGATCAAAACAGGGGAAGAAGAATTCTGAAACAGAACAAGAGAAAAGAAACACCAAGCTCCCTGATCGAGCGCCAAGTTTGAGTCAAATGAAAAGATTTGCGAGTGGGAGGGATAATACTATTTCCAGATTTGATTATTCCAAATCACAAATTGCCCCAGAAGATTCAGATGATGAAGAAGAAGGAAATGATCATCCACAAGTTGTTATTCCTTTCTCTGCTCCAATATTAAGATGTGAAGAAGCTGAATTGGCAGCAATAGATTTGCAGCCAAAGAAGGAAATCAATTTGTGGAAAAGAAGAACTATGGCTCAACCTAAACCTCTTCAATTGAATTCCATGGTAGCATCTTGTTAAAATTATCGAGTTTTAATTTGTGGATTTTGCTCTCACCAAAATTTGTTGGTTCTTCATCTGATTCTTTTTCCCTGTTCTTCAGAAAGCCTTGATTGTAAATATATATACGGTACGGTATCTTGTAAAGTACCACAAAGACTTTTTGTTTTTGAAATGTATAAAGTATAAACTAAAGACTAGTATTATGAACATTCTGTGCGTTCTAATGATAGTGTGTTTTTTTTTTTTACTGCCATTTCTTTGCCCCTAGAATTGCAATGTTCTTATGCGCCAACAGATAAGATGGAAATGAATTTTTCTAGTTACTTGATCCAATTGAGTTCCAAAATCACATCTTCAAAATGTTATTGTGACGGAGAAGAACATTGCCCATTGCCCAGAATATACAAATTCCACATTTCTAAAGCTTAAATCATAAGGGATTAATTCATCTTACACTCAGTGTGTTGCATATTTTCAGAACAACGAGGAATCGAATAATAACCATAGTAATCCCAAACAGTTAATACTTAATAGTAGTAATTCATTACTAAGAAAACTGGTTTGGAATTACTAAGAAATTCCAAAGTTTAGCACAAATAATAAGGTCCTTGGTATTTAACTAACTCAAATCTATGTAATGTAACCAACAACAATCCAAATATAATATCTTTAATTAAGAGAAAACTCCTTGGTATTTAAGAATTTCTCCAATGAGCTCTCCTTTCCCAGATCCAACATACCTTCCACGAATCTCACCATTTCTGATGAACAAAAACGTAGGCACCTCAACCACATTCTGATCCTTCAAGAACTGCATACAGCTGTCGTTCTCATCTCCATTCATTCGGGCAAAAACAACAGTATCCATCATCTGTCTGGACAGCTTGATAACCGTCGGATAAACCTTAACGCAGGGCCCACAGTGCTTCAATCCCACATCCAGAACAATCAGCTTATCATCGATTTTGTGGTCTTCAATCAGCTTCTCCACGTCCTCCCTGCAATGGAGTTGTATCACCGCGGAATGATTATCCCCGTAATACAACACGTCCCCTTGCAATTCCTCAGGCCCAATCCCTTCTTCTTCGTGGATTTTCTCCATCGATTTGTAAAAACTGAAATGGGGCACTTTTTCGATGTTCTCCCTCTTGCATAACGCTTTGGTTTCTTCCGATTCGTCCCCCATGACGAGCAAGAAGTCCACGTCGGTACAAGTCCGGCTGAGCTCCACCATAAAAGGGTAGATTTTCCGGCTCCTTGCGCTGTGACTAGCCGCGAACTCCACCACCACCAGCTTGTTCTTCGCCGCTACGAGTGCGTCGTCGAATTCCTTCGCGCTGTGGACTTGTTGCACTCTCTCGTCGCTTGGTGGCGCCTTCGCCGCCGGTTTCTTGACGCCGGCTGCGGCGGAGGAAGGGGAGGCGGCATTTATGGTGAAAACTGTAGGGCGGGATTGGAAGATTCCGGCGCCGCGCTTTTGCTTGAATGAGAAAGAGGAGTTACAGCAGAAAAGGGTTGCGTTTGGAAGGGTTGGGAGGGATTCAGAAAGTGGTTTGGCTAAGAAATTGGTGATGGCAGCCATTGGTGTACCTTTGCTGGTGCTGGAGAAAATGCAGGGGAGCTTGGTGTTATTATTCTTATCATTTTGAGAAATTACACTATATGCCCTTAATTCTTGGTCGTACTATGTTTTTGGTACTCAACATACCGATTTTGATTAGTCAGCCACCCAAACTTTTAGAACACATGGATTATGGATAAATTCAAGCCACCAAAGTAACAATAGTAAAACAGAAATATACAAGCTGTCATTACTACCTTTTGTGAAGATTAATGTTCAAATTCCCCCCTTTTCCTTTTAAGTAATTTGATATCAACAAAAAAGGAAATAATTTTTAGTTAGAAAAGATTAATTCATGAACATCAATAAAATTATAGTTTAGTTTATCTACTTTGCATCTAGGATTTATGTATAATTTTATCAGTATATATTAGAATGTTTCAGCTTTGATTTATTTTGTCAGGTAGTGATTACTAATTTATAAGGGGTGAAATTGAGAGTTCATCAATGTGTGAGTCTAATCCAAATATAAAACAAAAGTTGAGGAGCTGAAAGCATAATTCATACAATTATCCATTATTATCTTCTCAAGTGAAAAAGTATCCAAAGAAGAAGGAATGATATCCACAGGTTAGTGGTGGAGTGGGACTGTGGGCGATGCCGTCCACATATAACAATTTTCCAGCAGATATATTTTTTTTTTTCTATTTGAATAATTGATTTTACCATTTGTATTTTGCAACCTCAAGATCATAAAGATTTTTGTTTTTGTTCTATGTATGAAAGAAGGATTTGCAAAGAAAATTTGCATTCCTGTTGGACTTTGGAGGATGACAGGAGGAAAATATCAACTTCTCTTCACACTGCGACTGATACAAAAAAGGGCATAACCGCTTAAGTTCCAAACTGATCAAAGGTCCCCCTTTCAATCATATGAGTATATAGAAATCTCTTCTCTTGGCACAAAATATTAAGGCTTCCTTATCATCCAGATATTTACCTCTCAACTTGGTATCCTAGACTGACTGATTTTTATTTTTTATTTTTTTGTTATCAAAGAAAAGACAAAATTAACTAATGTTGATGCTTTGATTGTTGTCCAAGCCAGCACCGGCCAATTACCACTAAATGGCATTCCTACATCCCTACGCAACCATGCATGGATCCATTAGAGAAAAAAAAAACAATCGGCAAGTTGTCAATCTCTTATGATAGTACGTGCAAATATCTAAAGTTCCCCGCCTTATATGATAGAGCTAAACTAGTGTAACTAGGTTGACTACTCACTTTAGTTTACACACAAGTGATGTATTTAATTTACACTTTAAAACATTGGGACTGAATTAGCATCTTGCTATGATAGATTTGAAACTTATTATTAATCATAAGTTGTATATCACGTAAAGCTGAAATAAGAACCTAAAAAAGCATCAAGCAAGTGAAAAATGTGCAAACCACATTCAAATCACATTCTTAAGTGATATTCTTAATCACTTAGTTCGATTTGAATCTCTAATTTTCATACAACATAATCAATCCAAATCCAAACAACCTTCAACATTCAACAACCAACTCTAGCTTGGATTGGATTTTAAATTTTCATTCTACAAATTCTTTGGCCATAGCTAACTACTAGAAAACTAAATAAACAAGTTACACATACCATATACCATCTCAGGAGACCTCTTCGTGTTTCTAAATCCTTAGAAAAATTCTCTCTTACCACAAAATATTATTAATATACAAAAGCACAAAATAATACTGCAATATGGAAGATTGCGTATGGCCAATGAAACCAAACATCTTCACAGAAGAATGAAAACACGTATTGCCAAAAAAAGAAGCATAATTATGTGATAAAATAAATGCCGATCAAATCAAAGTAATCGATTTCCACCATTCTGGTTCTACAAGAGAGAAATGCTTCATGATAACTATGTAAGGAACATAGTGTGTCTGCCTAATGAAACACTTGCCAAATGCCCGAGAAGATTAACAGCTTAAAAATGATTCTTCAGTTCATACTTCATAGCATTAAACTTGCTGGCTAATACCCCATAAAAGGAGGAGGACTTCTATCTTCCCAGGGACTCCTCATTGGAGTATGAGTTGGAGTGCTACTGTATGGATTCCATGCTCTATCACGCATTGGTGTCCTCATTCCACTATCATGGACTGGCGTTGCTCCTCCCGCAGCAACATCCCTCATGGGTGTCATCATTCCACATCTCGGATTTTCCCGGAAGATCGGAGTCGAAACATTGACAATGTTCACACTACAAATCTCATTGCGATTGACTAAAACCTCATGTGTCAATGCTTCTACCTCCACCCATACTTTGTTCTCTTGAACTCGTTTCACAATTCCACTATACCCCTTATGACGACCCATACGAATCTTAATTCTAGCTCCCACCAAACTATTCTTTTCCTGGGAGGAAAATCTTCCTCCAGGCTTATGCATTGGTCGTGGTTGTGGCAGTGGAGGTGGCCGTGCAGCTCCAAAATTTCCATTTCTTGATGTAATAGCGACATTGGTGGTTGCTGGTGATCTGCCAAAAACCGGTGCACGAGCTTGTCGATCAGATTCATCAGGTTGGGTACCCCGGCGAGTTGATACTACTTCACAGCTTTCCACAAGATAACCAGCAAAAACAGGAAGAACCTCCTCCTCAGTATTATCTGATACGATGTTAACAACATGATCTTTGATCGAAACAACTGTTCCGGTTGCGCCTTCTGCAACACCAGCAACTACCTTCACATGGTTTCCAGGGAGAAAACACTTGCAAATTTCTTTTTCACTGAAAGCAATACTTGCCGGGAGTAGGCCAAGGCCGCCCTTTTCATGGTTTGGTTTGATATGAACAATATCCTCCTCAACTTTCTCAACCCACCCTTTCAAACCCTTCAGATCACCTCCAACAACAAAAACTCGATCACCCTTGAAAAATCCACACTTATGCTTGTTCAAGGAGAGCGTAGACAAATCAGCCCCATCATCTAGTTCCCTAAACTTATAAAGCTCCTCAAATGTTGGCTGAATGTCTTCAGTACTGATTGATTTTATAGAATATGTTTTGTAACAGAATCCATCTTCCTTGAACATTATCTCCTCTGGATCCTTAACTTTTGGTGGAATAAACTTCAAAGTTACTTCTCTCGCCACATCATCAATGTCATCAACCTTGGCAAGCTCTCCTTTAAAAGTTCCTCTTTTAATCCTCACCCAACTATCCCTCAAAATCTCCACACCTTTACATTGAACTGCAAGGACATTGACCATTTCCTTGATTGGAACAGGGGATAGTTTGCCCGAAGCAAATAGATTGCGCATTCCCCTACAAGCCTCTTTCACATGGGCTTCTTTAGCAGCTTCAATATAAATAAACTCCTTCAAATTGTCAAGGGCAATTACGGATCCTATTTGTAACGGCTGACCCGAATTACTTCTATCAATGGCTTTCTGCATCAAACAAACAGCTAATTTCCTTTCATGACCCTTAGCACATTTCACCTTCCACAATTTCGGATCCCTAATTGACGGCAAAAGGGCTTGCTGGTCCATCTCCATTACCGCCGCCTCCTCTTCTTCGTCGGGTTCATTGTCGGAAATTTCTCGGTCCTCACCGAATCTTTCCTGCATTTTCCTCATGTAATTATCAAATTCCTCTCCTTCATCAACATCGAGTAGCGGCCGGCGGCGGTCCATTCGCCGGTAAACGTTATCATCTTCCGGAATTTCATCAAACTCATCGTCGACGGGCTGATCGTCAATGAAAGGATCCCCGTTGGTTTCATCATCATCTGTTAATTCTTCCTCACTGTCAGCCTCAATCGCGTCAATATCAAAGAATTTCTCAGCAGACCTCTTCGCCTTCTTCTTCCCAGACTCGTCGTCAGATTCTTCATCCTCCTCCTCCGACGAATCACGAATCAACGGCTTGGATCTCATTCGTTTCTTCCGGGGCCTTCCACCATCATCTTGTTCTGGCGCCGCAAACTCGCCGTCCTCAACAACATCTTTTCTTCGAGGCATCCAGGTATATGAGAACCGTAATTATGAAACCCTAATTCTATGTCGTTGCAAATGAAAATGGGATAACCGATCAAAAATTTGGATGAAAGCGTTTATATATAGTCTTTTGGTTGAGAGTTGAGACCGACCTTAACCCGGAGTAGGATATGGGCCATTATTTCAAACTCGGGCCAATCTGTTTTTGATGTTCTGAGCCCAACTCAATTTGACGCTCTTGGAAATAAATAACACTACCTACTGTAATCTTTAGACAAAAATAAGCAATAAGTTTTTTTTTTTTTTTGGACAAAGTAATAGTATTTTCGTACATCATAATATAATAAAAATATATCAATCTTTTCTCAAAATAAAAAAAAAAAAAAATATTACGGGTTCCTTCTTGACCCAAATGTAATAAGATTATTATTATTTCTCCTGGTCCGTTTAACTTAGTTCATGTTTCCTTTTTCACATTCAAAACTCTCACTTAAAATTGTTATTATGCTTAGTTGATTGTACGAAGGATCTAATAAAGATGAAGTGGAGGATATAGTGTCTTGTAGTATATCATGCGCCATTTTTTAAAAAATAATTTGCCAAAATAATAAACAGATTTTTTTTCTCTTTTTTTTTTAAAAAAAAAAGATAAACAGATTATAATTATAGGTCGACATAAAAGTAGTAAATAGGAGTAATAAACAGATTATAATAAACAGAATGAGATGGTAAGCGGTGGAAGGATTGAATAAAATTTAATCCTAGCTAGGGAGTTAGTTAATGAAGGTTCCTTGTCGATGGTGGCCAGGGAATTTTGAGAACAACGTTTATGCAAGAGACTTGTACGCCTAAAAGCGTAATGAATTAACGCACGCTTCCCTCCTTCGGTCCCAATAACAAAGGAGCTAATTGGGCAATGAGATTGAATTTTTTCTTTTTCATGAACTTCCAAGCTACGCATTCTTTCAACATCGACCACGCTTCTTTCGTTAACTCTTTTTTGACTAAGATGGCAGCTCATTAGATGCTAAAATCAGTTTAAGATGCGAATTTTCAAGCTGAAAAAGAGAAGTACAGAGAACAAAAATCACTTTCCGTTCATAAGTCATCGTCGCATATGTTATACATAATATAATACAATAATAAAGATATAACATTTCTTTCTCTCAAGGTAATAATCATATTTGGAATTGAGGTAGTAGGAGCCAAGAAATTAATAATACTACATGGGTTTTGATCCATGTACGAGCGTTTCAAGTTTGCCGATCGATCTCGTGCATGTATGGATTGCTAAGATAAAACAGTATGGTAGGATGATTAATAAGTTACTCTAGATTAAAATGAGTAAATTACATAATTATCTACTTTTATAATAGATCAATATTCGGGAATTGAATGATGGTTTAATGATTAAGTTACTGTCCTTTTTGGTAATAGACCAGGGTTTGATTCCTACCGAGAGTTATAGGAGGTTTTACCCATATTTAAGTGGGATCCATTGAGGTAGATTTTTTTTTAAAAAAAATAAAAGATCAATATTCGAAGTGTTTTTCATTGCCCCTAAGTTATCTAGTAAATATTACTCCCAGTGCGTGACAATGAGGTGCAGTTTAGTGTTAAGACGCCTCACCTGTTGACCAATAGGTCACAGGTTCAAGTCACGCCGGGACAAGTGAGGAATCACTATTGATCGTTTTAAAAAAAAAAATGAAAAAAGAAATATTACTCCCAGTGTTTACCACTAATGTACTGTCATATTTCATCCATTTACAAGGGGGAATATATATTATACTTCTCGTACTACCATATCGGGTCTTGATGAAAGTATGTTAATTTGTCATTCCATGCTTCAAAAATTTTACATTTGAAATCCACATTTTCAATTGTTACATTTCTTTTATATACAAAGAAGCAATCCCCAGCTAGCTAGCTAGTTCATCAAATACTTACATTGTGTTGTTTGAAAATACCGATCATTTCATGTTCCAACTGTAAATAATTTCCAACCCAGTGAAATGTATATCATATCCACATAAACCTGTTGGTCAAGTGGTTGTAATATTATATACTCATGATATTCATTATGTTGTATAATAATTACTTCTTTTATTCTAAAATCATTGTCCTCTTTGTGGTAATAAAAATAGTATCCCTTCTATCATTTAAAAAAAATAAAAAAATATACATGATAATTATGGATTGTACTAAAAGTAATATTACATAAATTTAAAAATTGTAATGTAGATCGTTTTTATAAGACGGAAAGAGTACAAAAGATTGGACAATTAACTCGGAACAGAAGAAGGAATCGGTCTATTTGTAAAATTAAAACATTTCAATTGTTATAGTTTTCACATTTGCATATGTATCTTTTAAACACTAAAATAAAATTGCAATAGATCAGTATATCTGTACGGGCCCTATTATGTGGAGTATATACTCTCCCAAAGACGAATGAAATTTTGGAAAGCAAAGACACATTTGTATCTCTCTCTCTATATATATATGTGGACTGACAAGTATAAGGAAGAAAGTGATCTATTAGATCATCATCATCATCTCCCCTCCCCATTTGTTTGTTGCTCTAAAAGAAAATAAAAATTAGGATTAATTAGTGAGACAGACTAGACTAGAGAGAGTGGTGTATTGTAAAGTAGTACTACGTAGTGGGCAACAAAACACTTGGAATCCAAACTCCAAAGCTTTTTTTTTTTTTTGGTTAATCTCCTTCTCTACATTTTATATATCACAAGCTTTTGAATTTAGTTATTTAGGATAAAGAAAAGATCAAAAGGGCTGGTTGATGATGATGATGATGGGAAAGCTGTCGAGGCTGAGCCACCTCTTTGTCACCGTCTTCCTCTACTGTTTCTCCTCCGTCATGGTGGTTCCGGCCATAACCGACGTCACCATGGCGGCGATTTGTCCCGGACAAGATGAGTGCTCATTAGCCATATATCTCTCTGGAATTCAACATGCGGTATGTTAAAATCTCCATTAATTTCTTCATGCTTCTGTTTGTGTTGTGTTGTGTTGTTCAGTCCTTTCCGTGTGAATTGCATTTTGCTCGAAATTAAGCTCGCTACCTTGCGTATAATAGGCTTCTTAGAACAAGCTTAACTTCCAAGCAAGAGTTTTGATTTCTTTGGTTCACCTTTCTTTCTTCCCGTCTCTGTTTGTGTGTTTCTACTTTATTGGAAATGTCCATTTACCCTCAAAGCAAAAAAAAGAAACTATGGAAAGAAAAAATGATGAGATTTGAGCTTCCTTTTTCTTACTTTTGCTACTATTTCAGCTCCTCAATTAATTTGAGATATACGTGTTAATATGTTCTTAATTAAAATGTTACGTTGCCACTATGATGTTTGGGCTGTGGCCGAATCAAGAGTCGCGCTTTTCGATTTTTTTAATTAGTACACATATGATGAAGCTTTTAATTAGAAAAAAATCGTATTTTAACTCATCTTTGCACATTTTTGGCTGCGTCCTTGGGGACTTGGAAGTTGGAAAATGTGGCCATACTTCCTCTAATTTCATTGTTTGATCAAGGAAAAGATAAACTTACATGGGATCCTAATTAACAGTAAGTACGAATATTAGCTTCGCCTAGAGAATATACACAGTTTAGAACTTTAGATCCACGACACCATAATAGTAATTTTAAATGACTGAGTTTACATTTTCAGTTAATTAGTTGCAATTAGAATTAGAATTGACGTTTAGGTTTGGCGTTGAATGTTGGGTTTTGGGTTAATTAGTTTGCTTCAAGTCAAAGGAAACTGGAAAAATAAGGAACAAAACTAACGAAAGTTTCGACCCAACCAAAAAAAAAAACTAACCAAAGTTACATTGTGTGGCCCCTAATATACAGATATGTTGACCTTCTTTCCACTAATTTCACTTTCATGATATATATATACAGTACACCCCATCCATGGTTCGGTTAATTGCATCAACAAATTATCTCTGGTGATTATAGTATTCCATTCGTTCCAAACTAACGTTCTTGTCTGTCGAATTAAAATACCACTCCTTCCGATCCTTATTATAAGGGATTTTGATTTTGTCCTAGTTTTCACCTAGGATGTATATTTGATTGAAATAAAAACTTTAAAAACATTTCCTGATTGTTAAGAGAACGCAACGAATGTGAAAATATATTTTTAAGATATTTTGTTCAATTAAAAATACATCATACGTGAAATCTAAAACAAAATCAAAATGGCTTATAATAAGTAACGGAGGGAGTATATCACACTGGTTTTTAAACTACATGAAGAAGAGAAATTTTGTTCAGGAAACAAAACCTCATTGGCCGTGTTTTCTACATTATAGTGTAATAGATAAGACAGGTTGTGAAGTTTCCTTCAGGAGAAAGTGAACGGAAATTGTTTTGAGGGGTACAATTTAATTGGTACGTGAATGAGACAGAAAAATAGGAAATTTCGTGTCTTCCACTACTAGCTAGCTAGCTAGCTAGTTGTACATATGTAGTTCTTATATATTGTCCATTTCCGATATTAGCTGCTCGATCCATATGGACATATGGTGCCTAATCTCTCCCCCCACAATATTATATCATGATCCCTCTAAAAGACTAAAATTATTATACCATAATACACATGTTTAATTTTTTTTTTCCTCTCTTTTGACCCAACCGGATTTGGTTGTGAAATTCAGAGTTAATGAAATTAATGGGTGCAAAATGTAAATGCGCAGATAATAGGACTGGGATCCCTCGTGATTATGCCTTTGGTAGGGAATTTGTCGGACAAATATGGGAGGAAGGTCATGTTGACTGTCCCCATGACTCTCCACATTTTTCCACTTGGTACGTTTTAACTCCTCTTCTCTTTCACTCTTTTCTCCGTGATACCACAATAACCAAAAAAAAGAAAAAAAGAAAAGGACATGCATACCACAATAAAAACGTCAAAAATCGATATTTTTCATTCTCAAAAAAATTAAAAAGAAAACCTTGGTTAGTTCATGATTATTATGATAAATATGCCGATCATCAAATACGTACTGTACATCAATTAGACTATGTCTCCATGATGTATGTACTTAAAAGATGTCAAATAAATAGAATTTCCCTATATGAACATGGTCAGATAAATAAAAAGCTTTCACTTAAAGGACCTGCAAACCAATTAATCTTCCTTACCTGATGACGATTTTCTCTTTTCAAGTGTTCCTATCTCAGGATCAAATCTGGTAAAGTGTATAAGCACTTACATAAAAGTGTTCGAATGAAAAAGAAAGCTACCAGAGTTGCACTATAATGGAGTGTATGCATCAAATTAACACTACGTTGGTCCATTAATTTGAAATTATCATTACACAACACATAACACTGTGGATCAACTTTTGAAGGAGGGAGTATAAATAAAAAATGAATCCACTGCAGCAAAAAGGAATGAATTCAACTTAATAAATCCGCATGTTATTGTGTTTCGCAAAATGAAGAGAATGGTAAACAAAGTATGGATTCCCATTCTTTTCCTTTTTTCTTTTTTACGTTTGACATTTAAATGGAACCCACATTAAAGTTCAAAAATAAGAAAACATACATAAGTTTTTTTTGTACCTTTTTTCTTTTGTATTTTTTTGGTTATTGGTTAATCTGGATCACTTTGTCCGGAAATTTTCTTTATTCTGTTCCATTAGTCCGAACGGAAAATGGTTCAATACTTCCAGCCAGCAGCCCATTTGAACATATATGATGATGAATCTGATCCAGAATCCAGATGGTTGAATGAGAAACCCACAAAAATAAAACTGGATTGAAATGTATGTATAACATTATTATCGATGAATCGTGTAAAAAATTATGAAAAAAGTTTTATACAACACACACACACACACAGAGAGAGAAGAAAAGGAGAAAGGCATAATATAATCACAAAAAAAGCAGGGGAATTATAGTGACAAGGGTGAAAATTGGATGATTATGTTGGCAGCCATATTGGCATATAGCAGGACAACAGAATACTACTATGTGTACTATGTGCTCCGAACAATGATTAGCATGATCACCGAAGGCAGTGTCCAGTGCCTTGCTCTTGCCTACGTTGTAAGTTACCAAAATATTCATTTCCTCTTTTATCCCAATACAGATGATAATATATTGATGAGCCCTGTTTCTGATGTACATTTTTGGATGGTATTTTCAGGCTGATAATGTAGCTGAGAGCCAACGAGTTTCCGTGTTTGGTATTTTGTCCGGCATTGCTTCTTGTGCATTTGTTTGCGGGAACCTCACTGCTCGTTTCCTTCCCACTTCTGCCACTTTTCAGGTTCTTCCATCTCGCTGTTTCTCTTATGCACATTTTGTTGTACTTCCTCCGTCCCAGAAAAATAGATCATCTCACTGAGTGGACTAATACAAATCTCAAAAGTCGATATGAACTATTTTTTATATGACAAAGGGTGTAATTAATATTCAGACTGTTAATAATAGTTGTTGTGGTTATTACTTCTTTTGGTGCTTTTTAGTTTGCTGCAGCTGGAAATGTGGTGGCACTTGTGTACATGAGAGCATTTCTTCCGGATTCAACCATTGAAAATGTTTCCACAAGTACTGCAAAACCAGATACTGTCACAGAGACTGATAGCCTCCTGGAAAAAGCTCCCCAAAAGGCCTTAAAACTGTTCAAGAGATTGCCTTCGTTCCGTGACACTGCTAGTTTGTTAGGAACTAGGTATAAATAGTTATCTTTGATGTTTCTGATCATTTGAAAGTTGTAGCTAAATAGCTAATGAGGCTTTTCATGTTTTTCTCTTTTTTTTCAGCCACACATTTTCTCAGGCAGCTATGATCACCTTCTTCAGCACAGTTGCAGAAGTTGGTGCTCAGTCTTCACTCTTGGTATACATTTATCATGTCTTTTTCCATGATTCTATAACTACATTTTTTTTGAAAAAGTACTCAGTTACTTGTCACAATGTCTGAAAAGAACATGGGTGTTTTTTTTTATTTTCCCGATGTTTGCAGTACTACTTGAAGGCACAATTTCACTTTGACAAAGATCAATTTGCTGATTTGATGATCATCAGTGGCATTTCTGGCACTGTATCGCAGGTATCAATCTTCAGAAACTATTCCATTCATTTATTTGCCATAGATTTCTTTTTTCCTGAGGCAGATGATCTAACAGTTATACAAATTTCACAGCTACTCCTGATGCCCATATTGGCTCCACTTCTGGGAGAAATGAAGCTGCTTTCAGTCGGGCTGTTTTTCAGCTTTGTCCATGTATATAGTTGGTTCATTCTAATTATATCATTAACCACATTGATGAATTTCTTATACGAATTCAAGAGAGATTTATCTGACCAAAAATTTGTTTCTTCGAACAGCTGTTGTTGTACAGCATTGCTTGGGCATCTTGGGTATTTATCTCCATTTTTCCTTGTCGATCTGACGAAATCTACATTAGTTCTTTTACATAAATCTGATGTATTTTTTAACCTGCAGGTTCCATATGCGGCAGCTTTAATCTCTATTGTGGCTATTTTTGCAATGCCTTGTGTAAGTCTTTTTCGTTTTTGTTTCAAATGTTTCATTGATTTGATATAAGTTTCAATGCTCAATGAACTTGCCACATTTTTGCAGTTACGGAGTATTGCATCAAAAGAAATCGGACCTACTGAGCAGGTAATTGATAACTCCACACACAATGTTGGACTTCAATGGTTCCGTCATTCACAAACATGTTCCATTGCATCCTAAAATCACATTTCTGTGAATTGCGAGCGAAAACAGAAATACTTGTCCAGTAATTGCCCCTTCATTCAGGATAAATGACATGAATGTAAATCTTATTCAGGGAAAAGCTCAAGGATGCCTAACTGGCATATGCTCCTTCGCGCACGTCATTTCGCCATTAGCTTTCAGTCCTTTGAGTGGTAACAGATATTTCTCTTTTCATAAACGTTACACTGCTCCTTTGGAAAGTTGATTGACTTACAGAAATGTGTTCATTTTCTTCCTTTCTCCAGCTTGGTTCCTTTCTGATAGTGCACCATTTCGTTTTCCTGGATTCAGTATCATGGTAGCTGCATTCGCCGGGGTAAGCGCTTCATTTTTTCGCGATTATTACTAGTTGAATTGAGATTGGATTATATAGTTGATGATATTTGATCACACACCAATTGCTGAACTCCTTTTTTTTGGGCGCAGATGATTGCATTTGGGCTGAGCCTCATGATAAACAAAGCTGAACCTATGACTTGTTGCAGTTCCGCAGATTATCCCTTCTCTGTGGAGCCTTAGCATATGTACCCTTAAAAAAACCAAAACCATGTGAAAGATAAGCTAAAAAAAGAAAGCTCTGAAAGAACTAAAGTCGTAGCTGCAAGTTGACATTCTGTACAACTTGCAGAATGAGGGTTAATTTTCTTTCTCGGAGATTTTATCTTGTCTGAAAAACAAATGGAACTTCTTCCCTAGATTTTATCAAAGATTGGTGAGTTGTTTCAGGTCTGACGTTTGCTTTAAGTTGAAGTTAGTAGTCAACTCATGATGTATTCATATTAATATTCGCTATATTGAGCCAAATATTTATATATGAAGATGGTAGAAAAACACCATATTTCATCTTCAAAGGCTAATTTTACTTGAGGCGATTTTACCATTGTAGTAGTAGTAAATGGAAAGAAAAGGTTATGTAAAAGTGATAAGGACTCCTCCGCCCTTAACCATAGGTCGAGGGTTCGAACCTCGCAATGGGCATGTAGCAACCTTAAATTCTTTGGCCAGCTCTCCCATCCATCGAGGTGTTTGCCATGAGCGAAGAGGATTAATCACTGTTATCGACGGTGGACACCCTGTAATAATATGAAAAAAAAAAAAAGTGTTTTCAGCAAAATGTAAAACACAAAGACAAAATAATAATGTAACTATGGTACAAAAGGTCTTAACTCTTGATTTTGACAGGGAATGCCACCTATGGTACAGAAGGTCTTAGTTTTACATTGTTTTTTTAAAAAAATATGATTCAGAAAGTAAAAAATTACCATATGACTGCACGTATCTAACTACCTCACCAGTATATACCTATATACCTAGCTGATGAAATATTTTAATAGCAAACAATTGAATGCCAAATGTGGGGTGCATTTTGCAGCATTTGCCTGTTTAGGCCACTTGCGTCGGGTCAAAACTCTCAAAAGTTAAAATTAAAACCATTGTTCGTGATTCCGTTCTTAAACAAGTTTCAATTGGTGTTACTAATAAAATTAAAATAATTGCTAGCTTGCTGCCATACTTTGACTTCTAAAATGGTTAATTTGGATCAAAATGAGAACCATTACTAGCGTAATATGTATATATAATCGTATTAGTGTTACATGCGCAACAAAATAAAGATTCCTTGTGATTTCATACTCTGAAGAAGAGGAAATAAATCATCAGATAAATTTATTTGTTTATCAGTTTGGAGACTTTAAGTGGATCTGCCGTCATCGTTTGTTCATCAATTCAATCAATCAACAGAGTTTGACCTTTTGACCAACTTCACATCCCACGTGTACCGTCCCTGTCCCCAGTAATCACCTTTTTTTAGCAAATAATTTTATTTGTTTATTACTATATGAAATATGAACATTTATCCATAACTGACAAATAAACGAATCCCACCACCCTACAAGGCGGCCTGCTCCGACCCCATTTCCCCAAATAACCCATCCAGCTACGGCGGAGAAACCCAACCCATTTAAAACCTCTTTTCCCACGCCTTTCTCCATCCCCGCCCGTTTCCTCCGTCGCAGCAGCCGCCGATCCATTACTATCCCGTTCTCTGTCACATATATATGTACATATATACAAATTCTATAAGAAAATATTAAGGGGAAAAAAAAAACACGTACACACACAGTCACGCGTTTCGTCTCGCCGGAATATCATAGTTCAGGTTCTTTTTTATTATTACCTGCATTTTTCTTGTTCTGGGTTCTGAATGGCGGAGGATAATTCACAAGATAATGCTGTCATTTATCTTCACGGAGACCTTGATCTGAATATTCTGGAAGCTCGGTCCTTGCCGAACATGGACTTAGTCTCCGAGCGTCTCCGGCGATGCTTCACGGCATTTGACGTCATCAAGAAGCCGTTCATGCGTCGACGGAAATCCGCCGCCCACCATCATGCAAAGATTATTACCAGTGATCCTTATGTCACCGTCGGCCTCGCTGGAGCTACGGTGGCCCGGACCCGCGTCATTTCCAACTCTCAGGACCCGGTTTGGAATGAGCATTTCAAGATCCCATTAGCCCATCCCGTGTCCCAGGTCGAGTTTCAGGTGAAGGACAACGACGTTTTCGGGGCAGATTTCATCGGGGTTGCCACGGTTCCGGCTCAGAAAATCATCTCCGGCGAGTTAATTGATGATTGGTTTCCTATAATCGGATCCTACGGGAAGCCCCCAAAGCCGGACACCGCCATCCGATTAAGAATGAAATTCACCAAATGCGAGGACAACCCGGATAGCAGCCGGGGCATAAAAGAGGATTACGGGTTGAAAGAAAGTTACTTCCCTGTTCGACCAGGGGGAGGAGTGACCCTGTATCAAGATGCACATGTGCCGGACGGGATATTGCCGGAGATACCTTTGGACGACGGGAGAGTGTTTGAGCACGGGAAGTGCTGGGAAGATATCTGCCATGCGATATTGGAAGCACATCATTTGGTATATGTGGTGGGATGGTCAATATTTCACAAGGTGAAATTGGTTAGGGAGCCAAGCAAGCCTTTACCTAGTGGTGGGAATTTGACACTTGGAGAGCTGCTCAAGTATAAATCACAGGAAGGGGTTAGGGTGTTGTTGTTGGTTTGGGACGATAAGACTTCTCATAGCAAGTTCTTCATTAATACAGTAAGTTATTGTCTCACTCTTTTTATCTTGCTACAAGCGAAAAAGATGGATGAACAGAGAGGAACAGTTGTGCTTTGTTTGTCTTGACTTGGAAGTTTGTAGAATATTCCAATTTCTTTTCTTTTAATTGCAGAGAGTTTAATTGTGCAGGCAGGAGTTATGCAAACTCATGATGAAGAAACTCGGAAATTTTTCAAGCATTCATCTGTCACTTGTGTTCTGTCACCGCGATATGCTAGTAGTAAGCTCAGCATTTTCAAACAACAGGCATGCTTAAATTCTTCCATTTTTATCCGGCACTCACGATCCTTTTTGTTTGCATGATGGACATGTTTTTGTGATTTCTGCCAAAGACAACATGGCAAAAACCTACTAATTGATAGGAAAGAAAATGTTACTATTGCTCCAATTATTAAAAAAAAAAACATTTGCTCTTTAATTTGAAAAGGAAGAAGCTTCTACTTTCCTTAGGGGCATAAGGGCCTATTCTCTGATCGTTGCCTTTACATCTTGCTCAGGTTGTTGGAACACTTTACACACACCACCAGAAATGTGTGATTGTGGATACACAAGCGCATGGAAATAACAGAAAGATAACTTCTTTTATTGGAGGTCTTGACCTCTGTGATGGACGTTATGATACACCTGAGCATCGATTGTTCCGTGATCTTGACTCTGTCTTCTTGGATGATTATCATAATCCCACCTTCACTGTAAGAATTTCGAATTTCACTTAGTGTACAGTTTGTTGATTTGCATGCATGTACGTTTTTTAAATTAGAAGCTTAGATTTCTTGATTAAGTGCTCTTGAATGCGGCAGCTCATAGTTTGCCATCTGTTTGTACCCAGAGAGGAAGCAGTCAATTTGTTCTGTTGTTTGTTTATCTCTTAATCATCCAAGTTTGGAGCTGGCTAGGATGATATATATTTATACATGAAAGTTTGGGGACCTTAGAATACTCATTACTGTCTTCTATACATGTATGATACTCTTATGGAAATGTTGATTTTATGTACTTGCTTGCACTCTCAATCACTAGAAAACCATGCCCGATTTTTATGTCAACTTATTTAAAGTTCTAGTTCTTCGCAAGGGTGTTTATTCTAATCTCATCTGTTCTTTTGTAATAGGCAGGAACTAAGGCTCCTAGACAGCCGTGGCATGACTTGCACTGCAAAATTGAAGGACCTGCTGCTTATGATGTTCTCACAAACTTTGAACAGCGATGGAGAAAAGCCACAAAATGGTCAGAGTTTGGAAAGCGCTTTAAAAAAATAACTCATTGGCATGAGGATGCTCTTATTAAAGTTGAGAGGATCTCTTGGATAATTAGTCCATCCTCATCGGTTGCAAATGATGATGCGTCATTGTGGGTTTCCAAGGAAGATGATCCTGAGAACTGGCATGTGCAGGTGCAGATGTTAGCACAGCTCTTTAATGCATGAAAGGCTGATTTTATGTTCTGTTCCGGGGTCTTGATTTGGTTGTAAAATTTTTTCCAGGTTTTCCGTTCTATTGATTCGGGATCTCTGAAAGGATTTCCCAAAAATGTTCAAGAGGCTGAAGCTAAGGTGCTGAATGTTATATATTCCTGATTCTATTTTTGCCTGTAAAAATGTGTTTCATTTGCCATTGGACTTCACTTTTGCATTTTAGTGATCTGTCCAATGTCTAAATCTGTAAGTCCTGTTTGGCTGCTACTTGCAGAATCTAGTGTGTGCCAAGGATCTTGTAATTGACCGAAGCATTCAGATGGCATATATTCAGGCAATAAGATCTGCTCAACACTTCATATACATAGAGAATCAGTATTTCGTTGGGTCATCTTACGCTTGGCCTCACTACAAAGCCGCGGGTACGCTTTTTATGCTATTTCTTCGTACGACAGCATCAATGATTAACTTGATTTAATCTTTCTTCTGCATTTCACTACCTGCTATCAATATGAATTGGAAGCATTTGTGATAGGGATTTTCCCCCGCACACACAGTTTAAGTTTTCTAAACTCTCTTCCTTGTAATCATCATTAGGCGCTGATAACTTGATTCCGATGGAACTTGCATTAAAGATTGCTAGTAAGATACGGGCCAAGGAGAGATTCACTGTTTATGTGGTTATTCCAATGTGGCCTGAGGGTGTCCCCAACTCTGCCTCAGTGCAAGAGATTTTATATTGGCAGGTAAGATGTATGAAAAACTTTTGTGCTCAAAAAAGAATTAGAGTATTTAACCCAACAAAGTTGCCTACTTATCTATGGAATGTTTGATTTGTGATGGCGTTAAATAAATAGAAAATACTTCAGTTTCAAGAGTAGCAAGGGGTACGCATGCTCATGTTTCTTGTGCCCGTGATGAGATTCGCCTTTCTAATAGAAATAGCTAACTGAACTTTTTGATCAAAGTTTAAACCTTCACAATGAGTATCATGCTCTGATATTCCAAGCATGTAGGACATTCTTACGCATGCTAACTCTATGATCTAACCACTTTTCACTTGCATAATTCAGGGGCAGACTATGCAAATGATGTATGAAATCATTGCTCAGGAGCTAAAATCTTCGCAAATTGAAAACGCACATCCTACTGACTATCTGAACTTCTATTGTCTTGGAAATCGGGAGGAAGTTCGTGGAGAATCACCCTCTAAAGTTTCATCTGGTACTGAAGTGGTAAGATACCCTTGCTTGCCACTTTTATTTCTAAGCACACACTTTTAGAATTCATGTTCTGCATTTGATCCTCTTGTTAATCTTAAGTTTAGAAAGATAATGCAGTACATTTAACTTTCACCATAGTAGTCATGTTGCTGTGCTGCTAGAAGGGTGAAACAAATTGAGGCCGTAGGTTGTTTTGAATTTCAGCTGCAATGAACCTTATCCAATGCTTTCCAATTTCTAGGTATCAGCTTCTCAAAAATATCGGCGATTTATGATATATGTGCATGCCAAGGGAATGATAGTGGATGATGAGTATGTGATATTGGGCTCTGCCAATATTAACCAAAGATCTATGGCTGGTTCGAGAGACACCGAGATTGCTATGGGTGCATATCAACCTCATCACACATGGTCAAAGAAACAGAGACATCCACATGGACAGGTTAGTCTTGCTCTGTTTAGATTTACCTATGACATGAACTTCTCACTTGGGTTCATTCAATCTGACAAGTGATAAGCTTTGTGTTTGAGTGCTGATATCGGACTAGAAATATTTTGAGAAAATTCATGCAAATGGAAAATCAATTATTGCAGATACATGGGTACAGAATGTCCTTATGGGCAGAACATTTGGGGGATTTAGATGAAAGTTTCATGAAGCCCGAGAGTTTGGAATGTGTGAAGCATGTTAACCAAATCGCTAAAGATAACTGGGAAAAGTTTACAGCCGAGGAGTTCACTCCACTAGAAGGCCATCTCCTTAGATACCCTCTTGAAATTGATGCTGATGGGAAAGTAAATTCCTTGCCTGGACATGAAAATTTTCCAGATGTTGGAGGAAAGATTCTGGGAGCACACACCACTCTCCCAGATGCCTTAACTACATGAGCTTCTTTTGTGGGTTCTTTTTCCATGTTCATAAAAAATAGTGCTTCCACTCATCCATTCTTTTACCCCCTCCAAAGGTAAGATACAAAAGCTTGTACACTGTAAACCATTTCATAACATCTTTAACTCCCATCTTGTGTTGGGCATACTTGAGTTAATAAAAGTCTATCATTGTTCTTGACAGATTATTGTAAAAAAAAAAAAAGATATCTCCTGAACTTGTATGTAATATAGAGATATATTTGTATACAATTTGTCTTATTACAGCACAATCCTTTTACGGTCAGCTTCCAGCACCAGTTTCATAGCCGGCTACATGAAAATGTAAAATGTTTGTTGATTCAGAAACAATGGAATAGTTCAAGTGACAGTTTGCTAAATTGGCGCTTTCTGCGGCCAATTGTAATAGCCCGACTTAGAATATCATTCTAACTTCTAAGTTGTAACTATGAATAACTTTGCTTTGATTAATAGGGGATCGCTGGTGCCGAAAACAGAGCAATAAGAAGCAAAATGACTTTGTCAAGCTATATTATTAAAGGTTCTTAGTCTCGTGGCTCAATACATAACATATTATAGAACTCCTCTAAATAGAAAAACCAAATGGTAAGAAGAATCGGCATTAAGAATTGACAAACAAGTAGGTAGGTTTTTTAGAAAAGGAAAAAAAAAAAAAGTTACAAAGTTTTAGCTGACGGTGACTTCACCAACCATGCCAGCACCCTGGTGAGGAGAACAGTAGAACTTGTATGTACCTTTCTCGCTCAATGAGACAGAGTACTCCTCACCAGGTCCATTAAGTAAGTCTTCCTCGGACATGGAAATCTTGGAGGCGTCGACACCCGCAGGGATTTCATCCTCGTCGAAAACTACATTGTGGGGGAACCCGGCATTGTTCTTGAAAACAATCTTCTCACCAGCAGCCACCGAGAATTTATTCGGGACAAAAGCCAATCCTCCATCGTCACTACCAAGCAAGACTTCAATGGCCATTGCATTGCTAGCAAGAATTGCACTTGCAGCGGTGGCGACAACGGCTGCTCCGATTTCCTTCATTGAAGCCTTCACCACAAGCTTGGGGGATGCAGCAGAGGAGACTTTGATGCTGCTCACTCTTGAGCTGGAGGATGATGCACCTGCGGATTTCAGACCAGTGAATGATGGGATGGAAACAGCTGCGGAAGTAACGGTTGCCATTGGAAGAATTGACGGAGGATGAAAGAAATGGATAGATTGATGGAGTATTCTTCTGTTTGGACGTGGAAAATCAAGTAGCAAATGTGAGGGTGAATGGGATTATAATATGAGGTGTTGAAGGATGAAGATTTTTGCAAGTTTGGATGTGTGGTTTAGGTTCATTTCAAGTGTCAGTGAGAAAAGATAATACAACTTATGGTATGGATGTCTGCGCAATCCAAATGAAGTTATCTGATGAGAATCTTCTTCATTGATTGGCTTCTACTCTATCTTCTGATGTGGCATTGATATTTTCTCCCTGTAAAGGGGAAGAAATTTGAATAAAAATAAAAAAAATAAAATAAAAATAGTTAACTTGCACTAGGAAATTTTTATTTTTTTTTTGGTGGAGTGGCAAGCACAAAATTTTATAAATGGAAGAGAACCGGTTTTTTTTGCTACATAAAGTCATCTCAAGATGAAAATTTGCGGCGAGGTGATTCACAATTGGCTGAATTATAGCCTGAATATTTTGATAATAAGGTATCTGATTTCTTTCCCTCTAGTAGGAATTAACGTGTCCAGTAGCACCAAATTTGTGTTAAGAGACCATGATATTTGTGGATTACTGGAGGCCACGTTAGGGGGAGTTTTAACAAAGCAGGGCTACTGCTCCATAACACAAGACAGACTCAATTAAGTATTCCATAATCCATACTACACCCTCAAATATGTAGGTGCGGTCCTGGAACCCAGAAAACTCCATTTTAATGCTTAGGACAATGGTGTTAGACTGACAAGTCCATTCTAAAGCCTAAATTCAGAGGAAAACGGCATCATACTGTCAGTTCACAGAAGAGTAATAGAACACTTCATTGTATTTCATGAAGGTAATAGGTTCTACAAAGGAAAAATAAGAATTGTATGCATACATGTCGAGGTCACCAGAACCCACAGACAAGGAAGCATACCATCAGAGACAACATAGAAAGAGCAATGTGCATATCTAACTAGGAAGAACTCCCCAAGTTCTACAGCTATAAATTCGGCGGGCATCAGATGTAACTGGAAATGCCTTAAGCTGTCAAAGCCCAAAGAAACTCCCTTTCTAATTTCTACCAAACGAAATTCAACCCATAAAGGAAAAACTTGCAGACAATTCGATCGGCATTTGCATTAACAAACTGAAACTAGAATTACAAAAGAAAAATCAACATCATTCTGTAGAACTACTTTATATTTCCCTCTTTCAACTACACAAGTGCCAAAGCACGGTCTAAGCAACTTAAAGATTAACCTTACAGGTAACATCATAAGCCTAAGCCACAACCATTTGCTATAGGTATACAATCAGTAATCAAATACCATATTAACATTAGATCCTAAGATTATCCATATGCGAGACTAAACAAGTTTGGTCAACCAAGAAGGTAATCTATCACTAGTGAACCACAAGACTTCTGAGAGAAGATAACCAAGAAAAAATCAACCAAGAATGCATCAGATATGTACACTTAAACGGCATCTTTAAAAGGAAAGAACAATAGAGGGATCCTTCATACAGCTTGCTTTCGCATTAAGAATATCATCTATTCCACAAAGATGAGATAACTTCAACCTATGAAAATACATCTATGGAGCACTAATTTGTGTGACAACGTTTTCTGCAAACAAATCAATAACCAACATGTAGCAGGATCAAAAGGGCAAGTAATATACACACAGCTAAAAATACAGCGGTGGCAGTAAACACCACATTTCCAATACCAAAGCAAATATACATACATCTAAAAATAACAAATCATGTCCTACCAGAAAGTTACAGAACTACATTTGAAAGCACAATACTGATATAATTACCATGTTCCAATTGCAACTCTCAGTTACATTTCACTTAAGCAACTCATTAAGAACGAATACATTCCACAATCACAATTACAGCTCACAAAATGAAAGAACAGAGGATAGGTATAAAGGCAGCCGTTTCAGCAACTAAATAGTTTAGATAATTAGATTTATTTATAGTTATATACATGTAACCTAATAACGATTTGTATATATGTTCTGAAAAGCGTATGTACAAGCACAATAAACTACAAAGGTTAACTATTCAATGATCCCCCACATAGAAATGAACATAATGTACATTACACCCCAATTCCTAATCTTTCCAATCACCTCATAACAGCGGTGGGAGATCATCACCATCGTTTACGTCATCAAATTCAAGATACTTGAAACCCATCAAATTCGCGTTTGCATTTGGGTTGAAGCTCGGATTCACATAGCACTTCATCTCATGGAAAAGGTTCAGGTTGTCCACGAGCTTGTGAAACACATTGCATCCACAACACTAAAACAAAAAGAAACGAATACAGATTAGCCGAAGACAGTTTTAAGAAGTTAAAGTAAGAAACTTTGCAGCCCGAATTCAATAAATTAGAAACTCTGCAGCTCGAATTCAACAAGTGAAAATACCTGGACGAAGACAGTGCCATCAGTGTAGGCATGGGGATTGATGGCCCGAGTGGTCCGTTGGCCGCAGACGTTGCAAGTGAAGGCCACGCGCATGCGTCGACGAGGCGATTTGGTGAAGAGCGACCAGGGAAATGTGGAGATCCGCTCCGAACTTGATTTGGCGTCCGAATCCGCCGGTACCGGCGGCCCTTCCATACCCGAGCCGGTAGTCCAACCCCTAACATTTGCGGCACTCAGAACCAAGCCCATCGCTGCATCCTACAAAAACATCAAAGACAAATTTTTATCTATTCTTCGGGAGAAAAAAATCCAGAATTTCAAAATTGAGGAGTAATAATTACTTTGGAGAGAGTGCGGTTGCTGAGCAACGGAACGATGCTGCTGGATTCTTCGTCGGTGGAATCGGACCGAAGATCCGGCTCGTTTCCATTATCTGGAAGTAGAAGAAATCATTTATTAGAATCCAAAAAATTTACAAAAAAAATGTAAAAAAATGAAGGGAGGAAGGTTGCGGTACTTTTGGGGGAGGTGGAAAACCGGATGAATCTTCGAGAGGAAAACGATTCTTTCGGTTTCGGTGAAAAATTGAACGGAGGAGAAGACGATGCTAGCGTCGCCGCCGTTGAGCTGAGGCTCTCCATTTTCCGGTGATGATTAATTGAGTGATGCCGGGGCCCCGGGAAGGAGTGGTTGTTGGTTATATATGTTTTGTGGATCGATAGTTGGCTGGTAGGCCAGATTTGTTTGCCTTAACCGACTTATTTGACTCGCCCACAGTATTTAAACGAAAAAATCTCGGTTCTGGGCTAGATTTTTTTTCCCAACCTTCTATTTGGTCCATTCTTAAAACTGTAATATCTGGGCTTTGCAAGCTCTAAGGCCTGCTTTTGAAGGTCTACCTCCAAGGATTCTTCATGCATTTCGGCCCACAAACTAGTCATTGGGTAGTAATTGTATTTTGTCAACATTTTTGTTGTTTGAATTGTGATTAAGTAACCAAAGGGGTTGTGGTGAAGTGGAAGGAACTCTTCCACACCTAATCGTAGGTTAAGGGTTCGAATCTCGTCGTGGGTATGGAATAACCTTAAATATTTGTCTACAATTCAGTGAGGAGGGTTACTACAATGTGGTGGACTATTTTTGTGGGACGGAAGAAGTACGATCTATAGTTTGAGATCTATACATGTAATGTAAGGCTAAGTTTATATAAAACTACTTTTTTCTGTGTGTGTATGTGTGACGAGAAATTATTTAGAGATTATTTTGCTTGAACGAGATAGATATTGCTATATGATTATTTAATGGAGGGAACCGAATCTTGGTATTGGCTACAAGCCTACAACATTTAAGCCGGTCACGCATAAAGGCAATGGTCCGTTTGTCGATTGACGATAATAAAAATGCTTTGCTGAAAAAAGGAGAGATTCTCTTTTATTTACAACCCCATGCATTACATTAAATTTTTAGTATTTAATATTGTCAGTTAGACATTTCAAATCTTCACATTTACTACCCCTTTCAACCACAATTTTAGTACTCCCTCCTTCCCATAATTATTGTCCAGTTTGGATTTTTATTTTTAGTTCATATAGTACTAAAAGTGAAATCTCAAAGTGGACAATAATTTTGGGACAGAGAGAGTATTTATTATTGGAAATACGTACATTACATGTGATTTTCTCAACGTGGAAACAAAAAAAATCAAATTATAGTGAACCAAATGGAAAAGAATACTTGGAGAATTAATCTTACAAGTATGCAGTAAAAGAAAATCATCTTTTCGAACATTTCTCATGATTCATTATAATTCCCATAGTTCTTGTTTACATTTGTTTTGACCCTCAAGTTTCTTGCCCTCTTGATATAAGCTACAAGGGTTACATTTGAGCGCACTTAATTATACTCATATCATCTTCTTCTTTTTCTTCTTCTTCTTCTTCTTCTTTAAAAAAATAAAATTATGAGTCATTTTAGTCATTTCATTTTGAAATTTGGTAAAAAAAAAAATTATCCGTTACACTTTATTGTCTGTGAAACATGATATAATTATCACGATCATCATGCGTTTAAAAATCACGTTACAAAAACACTTGCGATATTAGTAATAAGCATTACAAACGTTATATTTTATTTGTAAGTTATTCATCCGTTATACTTATTGCGCATTAAACGTGATATGGCTATCACGATTATCATGCGTTTCACCTTTATGGATACGTTAAAAGAATCATTTATGACGTTAGTAATAAGCGTTACAAACGTTACATTTTATCTGTAAGTTTTTCATCCTGTTACACATTTTGCGCTTTAAACGTGATATGACTATCATGATCATCACGCGTTTCACCTTTATGACTACATTAAAAGAATCATTTATGACGTTAGTAATAAGCGTTACATTTTATCTGTAATTTTTTCATCCGTTATACTTTTTGCGCGTTAAACTTGATTTGGCTATCACGATCACCAAGCGTTTCACCTTTATGACTACTTAAAAGAATCATTTCTGACGTTAATAATAAGCGTTACAAGCGTTACATTTTATCTATAAGTTTTGCATCTGTTACACTTTTTGTGCGTTAAACGTGATTTGGCTATCACGATCATCACGCGTTTCACCTTTTATGCTACGTTAAAAAATCATTTCTGACGTTGTAATAAGTGTCACAAACGTTACATTTTATCTATAAATTTTTCATCCGTTACACTTTTTGCGTGTTAAAAATGATTTAGCTATCACGATCATAACGCATTTCACCTTTATGGCTACGTTAAAAAAATCATTTCTGACGTTGTAATAAGCGTTACAAACGTTACATTTCACCGATGACAATATTCTTTTTTTTTTAAAGAAAAAAAAAAGACAGTACCAATAATCTTTAGACAATATTGGATATCCGGGTGTGTTCTCAACATATACGTGTTGTATTCAACAAACAGAATCGACGTGTTGTACCAGTAATATGTATTCGACATGAAATTTTTGCAGGCTCAACAAACAGAATCGGATGAGATGCCTAATCTAACTACAGATCGAGATTAAAAATGTTACACAAAAAAGAAAAAAAAAAACCAGAAATGAAGGGGGGGAAATATCATCAGATTCCTTCGACTTCTAAGAGGAAAGGTCTCATCAAGTCTTCTGGTAGAAAGCTGTGTCATACAGAGTGAAAGAAGATTCATGTCTTTTATGTCTCTGCCACCTCTTCTGAATCATCAACTTCCTTTTGCTAAAATCCTTTCCTGTCAATGAACCAAAAACAATTAAAAAGATCACCTACAAAGCAATCAAAAAGTTTCAAACCCGTGAGATGAACTTGTGAATAAAGAGGGATCCCACAATCACAGAATTTTCGCCTGATGATATACCAAAATGTGTATGATATGAAATGATAACTAAGATATTGGCACGGCTCAATCAGAGATGATAGCAGAGTACTCCATAGTTCAAACATATCTGAATGAACCGAGCCAATATCAAAGTAACCATTTCACAATTCCCTGAAATAATATCATTCAAAGGCTCTTGCTTAATTGATAAAACAATGAGAAGAAAGTGGAAGAAGAAGGAGAAGCAGAGGAAATTGAGAGTACTTAAAAAAAAAAAAAAGAGGAGAAAACAGGGGGAAAAGGGAGAAGATGTTGATTTGGTGAATGATTTTGGAGGGATAGAGTGAGGGGCATTTATATTGATCGACCACCAAAACCAAAAGGAAAGCAAAAAAGAAAAAAGACCATCCCATATCAGACTCATTTATTGCAATCTACAATAATCTCCAAAATTAAAAGCCACAATACATTCTCCCCCTCCTTTTATTAATTTCTTTCTGCAAGCAATGAATGAACGTATGCAGAAAGGAATCTCCCATAACTCCTTTCCTCCTTTCCTCTCCTCACCTGCACCCCACAGCCTCTCTCTTGAGTAATCCGATTACTATCTTTTCCCTTTTGATTGTTGATTCTGAAAATCTGAACCCTGTTTTTTTTTTTTTTGGTAACAGTAACAGTACACAATTAATTACTGATTTCTACAAGTGGAGATGTTTTGTCCATTGTTGTTGCCCCCATCATTAAATTCATCTCTTCACCAAGGCAGCAGGCATTTTTGATACGGATGATTCCCTCTATTAAATGTGATCTGTTTCCGTTGCTGGTTTTGAATTTAAGGCAAAGTACTGTAATAATAATGTACATACTCCTTTTTCCCTTCACTCCGTCTCAAAATTATTATGAAGTTTTAATTTTCATATATTTAGTTCAAACTGTATTAAAACTAAAACTACAAATTGGACTGTAATTTGGGATCGATGAAGTTTTTTTTCTCTTTTCTTTTTCGTAAAAAGTTTGAATTTGCATGTAATACTAAATCATTCCCTCTGAAATTGATCGGCGAAAAGTTTAAATATACAGATCTTTCTATTATCGTGCAAACTAATTCAAATTCAACTTGAGTAGTCATCTATCGTGGCATATATGACTATAGAGGTTCTCTCTAAATTTGTTTTGTGTAAAAATTGCAAAACGTTCAACCCAGTTGAGACTAGAGAGTTTTCACCTAACAATGTGCTAGGAATTTATTGTAATAGAATTGAACGACTTGGAGGCAATGGAGTCAAAAGTCAAATATAAGTGAAAACCAGTAGGTTTGTGCAATTTTCATGCAGTTCACGTAACATCAAGTCCTTTTTACTTTAAAGTTCTGAAATTTCGTGGAACGTAAGGCTCGAGTGGGGGAGTGTAATAGCTAGGAAAGTTAGCGATCTTAGGAGCCAATTAGCCATTACAAAACATTACAAGCGTTCAAAAATTGATATTATCATTAATTGAACACGAACACCCCCCTCTCTTTGTGATTTATCCATCTCTATGGAGTTTCTGGCGTTACCAAAACAAAAATAAAATAAAATTATTGTCCAGTTTTGTCTTTTTATTTTCGTACAAATTGAACTAAAAGTAAAAATCTAAATTGGATAATAATTTTAGGATAAGAGAGTATTTTTTTTGTTTTTTTTTTTTTTTGAAAAAACAAAGAAAAAGAAATAGGGAATGTTTTGTGCAAGTTAGCTGATCAACCCATCCCTACTTCCAAACATTATTAAATGGATGCAGGTATCTTGACGGTGGGCAATTTACGTAAATTTTGGTGGGCATGTTACGAAAAATCTAGTAATGTATAGTATATATGCGTCATTTCGATGTTAATTATAAAGTATAACTAAGTTAATATTAAATTTACGTCATATTTGTATCCTTTAAACAGTACAGGAAGTGTATAAATATTATTCTTTCTGTCTGAAAAAATAGTCTACATTAAGTTTTGAAATTTGTACATAGATTATTTTTTTTGACGGAGGTATAGTACTTTATGGACGATACCAGCTGAATTTGTTTAGTACAAAATAAACAAGTCATATCGTCCATGAAATTGCCTTGTTTAACCACCAAGCTTTCCAAAAACGCATTTTCCATGAAATTGTCCCAATTGTTTAGCAGTGAAATGAGGTGAAATATTCAAGGCCAAGAAGAAAACGTAGAATTGAGGGTGAAATATTCAAGGAAGCATTATCCTTAGAAATAAAATTCCAAGCGTACATCCAAAATTAACTTCCTCTAAATAAATTCCGAATCAATATGGTTGTCTGTCTTTTCCCACACGGAATCTTCCATATTTACATTTCATAGGTTCTATCCGTACTGCACTTTAAAAAAATAATTTATTTTGATCAAAATTAGGTCGTGACTTGTGAGAGTAGATTTAAACGAAGACATTATCTAACCTTTACGTATATAGAAAGTGAGACGAATCTCTATGTATCTCACCTTTCATTTGTTGGAAAGATACCAATTACCAACTTAGTTATAATCAAATTCAGTATATCTTAATCCATTTTAATTAGAGCCACACATTAATTTTATAATGGAACTTAGCAAAGACCAATAAAACAAAGTCATTTTCTAAGCGAAATTAATTTATACTTAAAAAAAAATTATTTTCAAGATTCAAATATACCAGACAAAACTCGTCACTCTATGGGCAAGAAAACAAAATCTGGATCGAATTTTTTAATTCGTATTCCTAGCCATGGTTGGTTATTTATGAAACAAGCATGCTCAAGATTAAATCCTTTTGATCAAATTTGCAATATTTGCACCCTTCTACAAAATTAATGATTGTAATGTTAAATTAGTAATCAAAATTATGGTATCGAATAATATGGAAGATGGGAGGAGGAGTTACATCGGCAAAGCATACAATCAAGTGCTAGAACGGCTTCAAGGATATAATGTTGAAGAAGTCAACCGTCCCGGTTTCAGGGACGAGCTGTGGAATCACTTCCTCCGCCTCCCGGTCCGGTAAATCATCATTTTTATTTTTATTTTTTTATTTTTTTTTCTTTTGATATATTACTTATCCGGTGTCTGATTATTTATCTATTTTCCTCATTTTTTACCTTTATCATGGTTTGTTGCATAATCTCTCTATATATATATACATCAACTATAGTTATGCTTTGGATGTAAACACTGAAAAGGCAGAAGATGTTCTTATGCACAAGAAATTGCTTGAATTGGCACATGATCCCAACATCAGGCCAGTCTTTGAAGTCCGCCTAGTCCAGGTAAATTAAATCCATGATGATCTCATGATCCTTTTCTTTTTTGCCCCGGATGAAAAAAAGTTTTAGGGTTTTGGTCAATTTATATAATAACCTATTAATAATTAATCAATGGCATGTTGAATATTTCGTGTAGGGTTATGCATTTCAGGACAATATTGATCACGATTCGGACACGGTTGAAGCCCGCGAGCTTCATACTTTACTGCACGAGATTACGATCTCTACAATTGACCAGCCAAAACTCCTCACTCGGGTAAACAATATAATTAAATTATTATCACAGGTGACAGAAAAATAATATATATATATATATATTATTAGGGACCATTAAGCTGAAGTGGTTCGGTTGATTCTCACAGATGACTGCCCTGCTTTCTGAGGTTGGTTTGGACATAAGAGAGGCCTATGCATTTTCGACTTCAGATGGTTACTCCTTGGATGTCTTTGTTGTTGCTGGTTGGCCTTATGAGGTATAACATATATTTAATTATATATTATGGGTGTTAATTACATATTTGGATCGATAATAATGACACCCTTTTTTTTTTTTCGTGATTTGACAAATTGCATCATTTGATTAATTAATTATTTATATTTGTTGGATAAACGTCACGAAGATCTTTGAATATGTATGGATGAGTATTTTATTTTTAACTAATTTCTTAATTTTACCGTTCCACTCTAATAATATGTTAAATAAAAGTACAAAAAAAGTGGAACCAATGGAGCATCATTTAGTCCAAGAGAGACTAATTTATTAGTAGTTCTTCAAATATCCAAGATTTTTGGCTTAGTGCATTAACTAACGAATCACTGGCAATTGTTTTCATTCTCTTAGGAAACTGACAGGCTCATTCGCGCATTGGAGGCGAAAATTCCAAAGCTGAGAAATTTGGGGAGCTTTTGACTCACCTCCTTATATGGTTGCCCGGATCAAATAATATATATTACTTGCTGCACATAATAAATTTATTTTATTAAACTAAAACAACATAACACAGTGAGTATTTTTCTGATTCTTATATGATTGCTGCAATATGATGGAGGCAATAGCCTGCAAAATAAGCACGCATGGTTGAGCCACTGTAAGTTGTAATTGGTGTACATGTTTTGTTCAAGAACTGTTTCCCATTATATAACATAGCTTTGAGTATGTTAACAATTTACACTGCGGAGTTTGGAACATGAAGGTGAAAATCCTACCGTCAAACTACTACTCTCAAAAAGGCTCTGTGAGAAGAAGTTGGACAATCAAAATATAACGTATCTAGTACTAATGTAGGGGATGTTGCCAAAATATGTAACCTTTTTCGCTAAAAATTTATGCCTTGTAAATAAAGTCGGAAAGGATTTGTGAAAATTTGCCTTTGGTGGGCCGAGCTCGGGCTCTGAAATGCAGCACCCATAAAGTTGGGAAGGTACAGTAGAGACGTACAAAGATGTAGTACCAAAAAAACAGAAGCAACCCACGTAAATAAATAGTTAGTCCCAAAATTCGCAAAAGGAAATGTGACAGTTTGAGACATCCTCATCATTTGGTGGGTTTTGAGACATTCCCACAGGGCTGTCTCGTCTCCTATTCGTCCCGAGCCCCGACCCCTTTGGAAAACTGTCCACTGTGGTTTTTGAGCTTATTGTTGTCCACTCTCGAAGAAAAATTTATTGTACAGCCGCTGTATAATATAGAATTATACAATACTACAGTCAGAATTGAAAAAACGGCAAAACGATGTAATTTTATCGGAAAAGTTAGGAATAAATTTGTTATATTGTGAGTGTATGTTCGGAAAAATTAGGAATAAATTTGTTATATTGTGAGTGTATGTACTTCTGAAAAAAACACAAGAATAGCAAATTGTATGAATAAAACAACCTTAAAGTTAAGGGAGGCCAATTGGTTTTGCCAAAACAATTGTGCTAAAGTTGTAGTAACACACTAGTACTACTACTACTATTAAAAAAAAAAAAGGTTCAACAAAAACATGATTGGGGTAGAGTGCCCCCCATTCCCTTTCAACACCAAAAATCATTATAAATTTATCCAATTCTTTCTTCTTCTTCTCTTTCTCAGTCATACTGAAACCGATAGAAATTCATAAACTAATGACCCCAACCCGAAAAAACAAAGCGTAAAGTTACATTGGTGATATAAGCAAAGCCCAGCATCATCGTTTGAATCCACGTCTGATGCACATCCAAATCTGAATCCCCCACCAAAAAAAGGGAAAAAAAAAAAAAAAAACTATGATCAGTAAATTCAGTAGTTGTAGACTTCACCAATCCCTTTTCTTTTTTATTATTATTCTTTTTCTTTAATTGATTTTTAGCTTTTCGCTATCATTGGCTTTCAGTTTTCATGCAAAAACAAATAGCAGAGGAAAGAAAACAGCAGGCCAGGCCAGTTTCCACAATACTTACATTACATTCGTTACTTCCAACCATGACCCTTTCCTTTATTTAACTGGGTTGAATTAGGAATACCCATCTTTTTTTTCTTAAAAATCTTTTCTTTTTCTTTTCTGGGTCATGATGTAATAATTTTTTTTAAAAGGATTAGAATCTGAATCCAACTGCATATTCCTTATAATTTAAGTATTTGGTGAGGTTGTGGTGGAGGAGGAGATTCTTGTTCTACTTTGGATTGATTCTGATATGCCCAGAATAATAATCATAATTGATAAAAAACCAGAGTAATAAAGTAGTGGGTGGGTAGGATTTTGGATTATGACGAAGATGATAATTGATGATGACACGGAGAGTTCTAGCAGCAGAGCATCAGAGTTTTCGCCGAGCCCCGGCCGCAGGCGGCGGCTTAAGGTGGAAGAAGTATACCGTGACGTCCTCCAACGGCTCCAAGAATCCGAAATTGAAGAAGCTTACCGACCCGATTTCAGTGACGAGCTTTGGAATCACTTCCAACGCCTTCCCCTCCGGTAAATCATTTTAAATTCACCTTCCAAAAAACTCCTACTTCTCCCGTGTTATTTTTTTTTCCTATATTTGGCAAGTTAAAATTTTGACTTGTTTCCTGTATGTGTTTGTGGATCATTTCTTTCTTTGTCTTTTAGAAGAAGGGATAATCTTAAATCAGACTACAGCTATTTTCTTCTCAATTGCTGTTTATTTTGTTGTCAATTTTTCTATATTTAGAAAGTTTTTGACTTTTTTGGTTTGTGGATAATGTCCTCCTTTATTTTCAAATTAAATAGACAGAGAAGACTCCCTTAATTTTGCAGCAGCTACTTGCTTCTCCAATTTCTTTCTTTAATTTTGATTATGTGGTTATTTTGTGGTGTAATATGGTTCTGTATATTTGAAAAGTTCTTGCCTAATGTTTTTCTGTGGTTAATTTGTTTTTTATTTTTCAAATCAATTGATATAAGAAGGGAGTTCTTAATGAGTCACACATAGCTGGAGAAGAACTACGAATTGATTAAATAAATTGCTCTTGGGCTCTCAATTTTTTCTTATTAAACTTTTTTTTTTTCCTTTTTGTTGGTCTGTTGGACTGCATAAACTGCAGGTATGCTTTAGATGTTAATATTGAGAAGGCGCAAGATGTTCTAATGCACAAGAAATTGCTTGATTTGGCTCGTGATCCCAAGACCAGGCCAGCATTTGAAGTTCGCTTTGTGCAGGTAGTATCCGCTAGTCATCTTTGCTTTTTGTAACAAAAAACCAAAAATAATGAAATCATGTTGGTAATATCTAACAATCAGACCAGATATTGTGTCCCAAAATCTCATTTCCCTGGGATCATGAGCTGGTTGAATGAAATGATGTAAGCTAGTCCTGTTGAAGTTTTCTTCATTGCTCAACAGCATGCTAAATTGCAAACACATGCTGTAGATAGGGCTTTGATACTTGTGTTTACTTTGTTGTCTGTTTGTTTGTTTGCTGTTGTCAGTGAAGTCTCATGCTCATTGACTTCTGGTCTTAACATAATTTTAATGGTTAACTACATTCATAAAGTCTCATGAATACGCTGGTAAAGTTGACATTTGTCTAGGTCCCGTTGTTCAGTTTTGCTAAACCATGTATGCTTCTCTTGTACATGCGATCTTTTCTTTTTTCTTCTGTTTCATATTTGATTCTTTCGATGTGCTTTGAAGACCTTTAGATGTCCCCCCAAAAGGCAAGTAGCATCAAAAGAATACTTTAATAGAATAAAGAAGAAATCCAAAATAGCATGATTTATTCGAACCTTAATGAAAACTGTCTATGTTGACAGCAAATTTTTCATCTTCAACAGAAAGTATATTGTGGCAACATATGATCTATATATTTGAACCACATGGTGGGATGAAAAATTTTCCATCGCTGTTGTTGTTTGATCTTTCTTTTGCTTCTGTTTGGCTCAGCATTAACTTTTGGGTTCATCTTTTACTCTCTCTTTCCCGCAGGCGCATCCATTCGATGGGAATGCTGATGATACAGTACATTCGAGCTTAGTTGATATAAGGGACGATGAAAATTACAGGTACAGAAAACAGTTCTTTAGGTTTGTTTTTCCTTTCTCTCTATCTCTCACCGTTGCATTGCTTTGCAGACTTCATCCTCCGCCGACTTTCAATGCGCTATCTACTTCCGAACTTAAATCCAAAGAAAACAAACTACTTCTCCTACATAGTAATAATTCTGTGAGTGGAAAATCACAATTATCTCGGTAATACTCTGAAAGGTTTGAGCAAGTTGAACTTTACATTTTGAACTGAACAGTTTTGGGCTCTTATGAGCAAACTTGTTAGTCTAATTTGAGGTAACTTTGAACATTTTACTGATTGCAGCCCTTTGCATGAAGTTACAATCTCTACAAATGACAAGCCAAAACTTCTCACTCGTGTAAGCTACTTAATACCTTAGCCACTTTTTCTGTATGTGAAGTATATCTTGACGGTGTCTGTAAAACTTCTTGGATGGCACTCTTCCACTTATTGCATTTCTGATGTAATAGAATTTCTTTTAATTATACCTTACTTTGGTTTCTGTCCTCTATTTTTTTGTGCACGGCTCGATCATAAACATGATACAAATTTTCCATATAATTTTATATGAAAAGTGTTGCCTAATCAGTTGTATCATAAGTAGTTGATATTTCAATTTTTGACACTATGGGGACCAGTTTCCTTTGCTTTTTATTCCTCGTGGTATAATGTACAATCTTTAGCGCCTATTACAGTTCAGTTGGCATTTCTCTATAGTCCTTGTTATGGACTTATATCTCCCCTTCTCTGTTTATAATTTCTACTTCCAAGTTATACTTCGTAGCGTAATTGTTATGGCTAAGTACGTGTATCCTACTCTCTCAGTTAACTGCCTTGCTGTCTGAGGTCGGTTTGAATATTCAAGAAGCTCATGCATTTTCCACTTCAGATGGTTACTCCTTGGATGTCTTTCTTGTTGATGGTTGGACTGATGAGGTACTTTCCTTCTGCCTTTTACCTATTTAATTCTAAGTGTTAGATCTTGGACTCTACAACCCTTTTCTGGTGCATCACATCTGCCGTGTTTTCTTATGAATTACTTGTTGCCGCTAACTCCAAAATGTCACGAGAGGACATTTTCAGGAGCTTAATCGCAACAATTGACCTTTTATCCCATCGTGTTCTCTAAGGACATGTGTCCTAAAAACATGTGAATAAGCATAGAAAAACACGTCCTTATCCTTATCCTTTACTAGCGCCAAATATCATACATTGTTTGGCAAACATCTCTTTTTGCATTTTGATTTAGTTTTTGGTTTGAAATTGAGATGTGATTTAAAATGTGTTTTGAGAGGAAATTTAAAAAGTTGTTTGAATAGATTTTTTATTAAAATAATATGTTTTTTACCACCACCGGCCACCTCCACCACCTACCTCCGCCGCCACCGCCGGTCCGGCAGTGGCGGGTGGCGGTGGAAGTGGTCCTGTGGTGGTGGACGAAAATTGTGTAAAAATAATTTTTGGAATATATTTTAAAAGGTAAATTAAAAAGTTGTTTGGATAGTATTGGGATTTGTGTTTGAGAGGTATTTTAAGAGGTAAAATGAGACAAAAATGCAAAATAAATGTTGGACAAACAAGACCTTAGTAATCTCTCTGCTTTATTTTATTATTATAAGTGTGTTTGGAATGATAATAAGATGTCTTGCGATCCAACATTCTACGTAATCCTGCGTTTCGTGGTTGTTGGAAATTGACTTAATTCTTCAGCTTATGATGCTGTCGGTTTTGTCCCTTTCACTTTCAATCTATTTGCTGAAGATTCATTATTTATAATCGTATTCCTTTTCAAAGTTCCAATTGTTCGAAGATACTTATATCTATCCGACTCATTAACCAGCGATTGAATTCCTATTAGGAAACTGATCAGCTCATTAACGTATTGGAGAAGGAGATCCCAAAGATTGAGGTAAGTGACACTGAAACTTGTTCTCAGTGCGGTGTTTAAACTGAAGTATTCTGGGCCCGATCACTGACTGTTGTCTTCTGGGTGAAGTTGGAACAGATTAATACTGAAGCTCCCCCAGGGCAAAGTGGCACCGAAGGGTGTGGTGACTGGGAAATAGATTCTAAGCTGGTCAAAACTAAGCAAAAAATTGCCACAGGATCAAATGGAGATCTGTAAGCGACCTGATACTAAAAAGTAGAATGTGACTACTAATTTACAATTTTTATGGTCTTAATATGAACTTAATAATTTCAAACAGATACAAAGGGACCTATTGCGGTCAGGATGTTGCTGTGAAGGTTCTCAATACTGAGAACTTGAATGATAAAATTCAAAAGGAATTTGCTCAAGAAGTCTACATATTGAGGTGGTTGTTAGTTTTCTTACACTTCATATAGTTTTTGATGTACAGCTTTAGTTTGACAACTTATAATGTTTTTATTATATGTCAATACCACCTTCTTAAATGAATTGAATCCATGAGTCACTTTGATGTTGCTGCATATGCTCAGTTTGCTGCACATTGTTAGTCATGCCGTTTCAAGTAAAAGAAATAGTTTCTCCTGATTTTTACGACAACAACAAATTTGTTTCACTTTTGCTACATTAATTGGTCACTCTCTACACTTCTAGAACAAATTTTGATCTGTAATCATGAGGAACATATCGGTTGACGGTTTTCTTATGGAAAACAAAAAACACTGGTGGTGCATGGAGATAATATTTTGCATAACTATATGCAAAAATGTTTGTGCTAGTTAATCCTGGTTTCTTCTGTATTCATGTTATTGCATAGATTACTGATATTATGCAAGTGCTATTTTGTTTAATAGACTGAAGGTTCAGCAATTTACACTAAAGAAGTGATTTTTACATTCTAGGAAAGTTCGGCACAAGAATGTGGTGCAGTTTATTGGTGCGTGTACCAGACCTCCACGCTTATGCATTGTAACTGGTAATCTGGTTTTCTAGGCTTCCATCTTTGTCGCATTTGCCATCTTATGATTTGACAGCCTCATGTCAACTTCTCTTTTGCATAAAGTGTTATTGTTTTCTTTTTCTTTCACAGAATATATGCGCGGCGGGAGCATCTATGATTATTTGCGTAAGCAGAAGGGTGTTCTCAAGCTTCCTGCTGTATTGAAAGTAGCCCTTGATGTTGCCAGGGGAATGAGCTATTTGCACCAGAACAATATAGTCCACCGCGATTTAAAAACGGCCAATCTTCTTATGGATGAAAATGGTGTAAGGCTAAATATCTTGAGTGTTAAAAATTTCTCTGATGGTTCTTACATTTTTATTGCAATAACAGTCATTCCTTGTCTAAATTGTGTAAAATGTTTTGTTTTACTTGTTTTCTTTCCCTTGAAGTAGGGGCTGAGCCAGAAATGATGAGTAGGTTTTATTCTTTAGCTTAAAAATAATACATAATTCAAATTTTCCATATATCAATGGTAGTTTAAAAATTTTGTGGTTGTGGCCATTGGCCCGCTCTAGCATTGAACCGCTGCCTGCATTGAAGTGTCTATTATACCGGACATGGTTTTTTTCTTCTCTCAGTTTGCTTTTCAAATAATGGAATGTGTTGCATTTCTGTGAGATTGCATCCATCCTTCACTTGAATGTTTCCACTTTATCTACATCTTAATTAATTATGAGTGTGTATTTTTAAGCTGACAGGTAGTGAAGGTTGCAGATTTTGGAGTAGCTAAAGTGCAAGTTCAATCTGGAGTCATGACTGCAGAGACAGGAACATATCGCTGGATGGCTCCTGAGGTTTTATCCTTGACATTCTTCACATAGTCATCGTAAATGCACCCATTCTAATTCTGGCTGCTTATGATACATGTTCTTGACTGCTTGAAGGTGATTGAACACAAGCCCTACAATCATAAGGTTGATGTTTTCAGCTATAGTATAGTTCTCTGGGAACTTCTTACTGGAAAGGTATTTAACCTGCATGTATACTTCACCACTTTTGGTCATTTTGTCAATAATTCATTTTTTTTTAATATAGATTTAATCATTGTCAATTCCAAATAATAATTCGGATACGTGCTGAAAAACAATTTAAAAGTTTATAACGAGTTTCTACGATTCGTACATGCCAGCTTCCTTACGAGCATATGTCTCCATTACAAGCAGCAGTGGGTGTAGTTCAGCAGGTATGTGGTTCTTTTTTTTTTCTTTTGGTCCATTACCCTGCATTGCTTATAAATCTTAGTTACTGTTATTTTTATAACATAACAAAAGCATTTTACGGTGTTGGTTCGCCTTTTCTTTATGTGGCTCTGTCCTGCACATTCTTAGTTAATGTAGTAATACGACCTGGCTGTCACCTCCAGCTATTGCTGTGTTTCATTCTTCTTACGTCTTCGAGAGAACTCTTGATACCCGAACTGTTTGGAGCCTTGGATTTTCCAGCTTTTTGAAAAAGAAAAAATGTCCAATCGATCTCAAAGCAAGCACAACTGTTGGAAACAATCACTGCAAATGAATTTCATTTGATCCTTCTCCTAGAATTACAATTGTATCATTAAAAGTTTGTTCCACTGCTGCTAATTTCTAGGGTCTGAGACCTGACATACCAAACCACGTTGATCCATTGGTGGTTGAATTACTTGAGAGATGCTGGCATCAAGATCCAAATCAGAGACCTGAATTTTCTGAGATTATTGAGATCTTGCAACACATACCAATAAGGGTACGCAACTTAAATCCTCAACGCCTAATACATTGTTGGTATGGTGAAATCTTCTGCTAGGGTCGAAATTGGTCCGTTTGTCATATTTATGGTTTAAATGGGATCAATTTTCATGTAGCAATGTCAATATTGCTTTCAATAGATGAACGGGTTTACCGGTCACACTTTTGGTTGTATTCGTGTTATCTTCTCTGATATAAACAGGTCATATTTCTAGGGTATTACTACAGAAGTGTAGTTTATTTGATTGTGTCAAATTATCACACCTTCGTGGAATCTTTACTCATGAAAATTGCAGCACGAAGAAAGGACTAGCAAAAGGAGAAGCATTCGAGGACAACCCTTACAGCTCATCGATGCATTGCCTGCACACAGGGAAGAAGCTGAAAATACTGCATGACTTGTATAGGAAAAATTTACCTGGCAAACAAAGACATTTCCTACTACCCTTCAACAACCCCAAGTCAGAAGGATTTTGGCACATTAACATTGTACAAAAAGTAGCTTCATAGTGGTTGAAGGAAGGAGGGAATTGGGTAACTCATCTCATGTTCATGCCTTCATGGGTTTGAAAAGCCCATGTTTCATGGACCAACTAGATAAAAGCTTTTTGTGTCTTTAATTTCATTTCTTTCTTTTCCTTTAGGCTTTGTTGGCCGTTTGTTTCTAGTAGCTTATGTAATAGTTTTGTACAGTTAGTCCATCTTCATTTGGTAGGCGTGAGGCTTCTTAGCGTGTAATAGTTTGAGGATCTTAGATTGGAATTGAGATTGGGCTTAAGGATGGATGTCCCCGTACAGAGATGGTAGGCCCAAACATGGGACCAAGTATATGTGGATAGGATCACTTTCCCACTCATCAAAGTTAATGTACTTTTGTAGTCCAAGCTTTACGCTTCCCCAGTATGTATAAAAAAAAAATAAAAATCAAAGGTGTTTGCTTATTTTGAACAAGGACGGTATCTAGTTCGCATATGATAAGCCTAATTTTTATTGTTATGATCGCTAACAAATTACAATTAAAAGCTATCTGTGACTGCTAAAGTTAAAGGCGGACGCTTGCTTCATCTGCAGTTATACTTGTGCACCCGTTTTTAGTTTTTCAGCGAAGCAACAACAAACATTTGTTGAAACGATAAACGAGTTGTGAACGTGAAGTACTCTTTCCGTTTCGAAATTGTTGACCAATTTAAATTTATTTTTCTAGTGCTGAAATTATTGTTCATTTAGAATTTTTATTTTTTGTATAAATTGAATTCAAAATGAAAATTCGAACTAGACGATAATTTTTTAGCGAGCGAGTATTCATTTTTTCGGTCCCAGTCTAATAGCCCAATTCGTTAAATGATAAATGAGTTTTTTATTTAAGTGAGTATTCACTTTTAAGGGTATTTGTTTCTTTCTTTCTTTCTTTTTTTTTTTTTTTTTTTACTTTCAAACGTGTAAGCAATTTCATTATTTATTGAAGGTGATGGGAAGATATACTTGTAGAAGAAGCTGGAAACTTAAAATCCATTAACTCATAAGACAAAAATAAATAATAGAAAAAGAGAAACGGAAGGACATTATGCATGCATGGTAGAGCGAAATAACACTAATGATATTATAGGGTTTGGATCCAGTGGCGGAGCCAAAGAAAGTTTTTAGTAGGGGCATAAGATAAGATGAATATATATCATTTAATTAATTTTTTTAACTTTATAAGTATATATACACGTAATTTGTACATGGTTTACACGTGATTTGAATATCAATTGTACATTACTAATGTCAATTATACATATTTATGCCAAAATTAAAATCACATATCATGATCAAATGGATACATTATAATTGTTAGTAGTGATATTCTAGTTTTAAACTACAAATGACACATAGTAACTTAAAATGATAAAAAAATTTATGTGACTAACAAAATATAAAATATCTAAGGAAATTTGATTAAATTGCGGATTAATTTTAAAGCTTTTAGAAACTATATACTACTTTTGCGATTTTTTAAATTCAGTGGGCGCACATGTCCCCGATGCCCCCATTGTAAATCTGCCACTGTTTGGACCCCTTATCAAAGAGGTATGGACATGAATAGAAAAAATAATGTTTGAATTATTCAATACAATTAAAGAAACAACATTAACATGACGAAACTAGAAACATTGGAATGTATACTCAGCCGCTAGATGGTGGCGATGGCTGCTCTGTAGTAGAAGTAATTTTTGAGTTGCTTAGTCTAGCTTTAACTATATTTCCATGTCCATCCGGACATGATCTTCCTATTGTTTGGAGAAACTTGTTTGGATCAACCTTTCCTGAAACCTTGACAATCCCATCGACAGCATTATAGTTCAAGTCAACGCCGAAATCACCTATCCAAAACACATGCAAACACATCAAAATAAAATAAAATTTATCAAAGGAATTTATCTAAAATTTACATGTGAGACTATTTTGGGACGAAATTAGTAGTGGACGAATTATTAACCCTAATTTTAATCTGAGTAGAGAAGAACTTACCAACAACAGAGGAGAGGCAGTCAATTATCTTTTTTTTTTGGTTAAAAATATACATAGCATGAGGCTATCTACTTTGATAATTACATAGCCTACTTTCTACGAAATCCTGCTCAAAGAACAGAGAGAGATAACTTGGGGCTACATCAAAAAAATATATGCCCCTACTGGAGTTTAAGGTCTCTTTTGCTAATGCATCCGCACAGAGGTTGTTGTTGTTGAAGGTATGAGAAAAACATATTTCCCATAATGGACTCCCATAACCCAACTCTACAAATTTAAGGCTTTATATCAAAACACGATTTAAAACTTAAAAAAGAATTTCATGAAGCAAAAGAATAACAATGTAAAAATAGTATCAATTATTTTCGAAGAAAAATTATGTACAGCATATGCAGAAGGGGCTGATTTATTATATCCAAAGAAATCTCGGAAAACTCGATCGGCATCTGCATTGCGGGTTTGGTGATTTTCCATTGCGATCGAACTAATTAATAGTAAAAGATTGGTGATTTTTTTTTCCCCCTTGATCCTTTTGCGCTATCCTTCGATTCCTGCAAACCAGATTACGAATTCATGGTGTATTCTTTTATTTATAGAGATGAAGAAATACATTACTTCTTCTCAAAGTCGGTGATTTTTTTTTTTTCCTTCTAATTTTACCTTCCAAGTTCCAACGGAATCGGGTAATTTCCAATTTATGTACTCGATTGATGCTACAAAAATATATATATATATATATATGTCTAAATTTTAATTTCCTTTCTTTTTTTTTGTGGCAGTACTCGATTAATAGATTTCCTATTTTATAGATTGTGTCTAAATTTTGTAAATCGATTATAGTTGCTTTCCTACTTCGTAAATCGAATCAAAATTTAGGCACGATTTTGTAGCATCAATTACAGTAATGTATATGGTGTCTAAATTTGACTTATTTTTCTGATACAGATGAAGTAGTACTTAACATGAAACACTATAGTACGTAAGACGCACAAAAAAATCAGTTACGATTCAAGATGAAACCTCACTGCAATTGTGCACCAGTTTCTTCCAGAATGGCAACTATACCGTTACGTAAGTTATAACTTTAAACCTGAGATGTCATTGGAAAACGTTGCAATAAGGCCTCGATTTGTGGGAAACAATTGAGCAATCAGAATAGATAGCCAGTAGACGGATGAACTAAAATTCCTAAAATTATGATCAACTTGTGTAACATGACACATGCTGAAATTGCACATTCAAATATCACACGTTTCTGCCATTTGAGACGGTATATATATTGTATAAATGTAAAACTTGAGGAGCAGGCAACAAATTAAGATACAGTAGTGTCTAGTGTGTGTGTGTGTTTTGGTTTGAAACGGAACAGATTAAGATAGTTGTGGAAGAAGAAAACTCAAAATTATCAACTGATATACATATACAAAAGGAAAAAGGAATTGCCCGTGAAACTCGACCATTTTTTTCTTTGTCATAACGTCTGGACCTCTCAATGACAAATAAACAATTTATATCCAACCAGCATTATTTAATTTGAATAAGGTCTGTTACGTTACGTCCTTACTGATACAATATGTGAAAAGAGAAAACTCAACAAAGTATAGCTAGTTTGAAATTTTTGATTTTATGGGTTCGAAAGAACACAGATTCAGAAAAAGAATTCAAAAATAGCTGGTGGCCTCGAGGAGGAGTATATACGATATAGATAGAGCCTAAAGACAAATTGAAGGATAGGTGGAGTGGGAGTTAAAAAGAATGAATGGGATATATATATATATCTGTGTCGACATTGATGGTGAAGTTTGTTGGGTTGTGTTTCTGTTGTTTTCGTGGCGGAACAAAATTCTAAATACCACACACAAAAAGACACGCATTTTATTATGGCATCCAACACTAACCACTTTGGACTGCTTTTTGTTTTGTCTTAATTCCCAAACTAATGTACTTACAAAATTAAAAAAATGGAAAAAATAAATAAATAAAAAACGCGGCGAACACCGTAAGCGGCGGTGATGGGAATGGAATGATAGCAAAAGTGTGGTCACCCACCTATGACTTCTGTCTTCTTCTCCCCTTTCACATTTCACACAGTCACACACTAATGACTAACCAGCAAGCTCTCTATATTAATGGTCTTTGGCTAACGCAATTTTCATTCAATTTCCAACGCATTTTTCCTACCTTCTTACAGTTTATTAGTAAGTTCTTTAAGTATATTTTAAGTTATACTACCTCCGTCCCAAAAAAAAAAAAAAAAAATCTATTAAGTTTTCAGATTTTTCAAAACTTAATGTGAATTATTTTTTTTAGGACTGAAATAGTACATTAAAACTTTAGTAAAAAATCATAAAATGTGGGAGGACTTTTGGACTCCACCAATCCAACTAGCTATCGACGGCAAATATTGATAAGAACACCAGGTTGCGTCGTGATCGAACAAATTCTCAATTAAAAAAAAAAAAAAAGAAGAAAAACTAGCAAAGCGAATGGAATAATAATATGTGAAGTATGTAGCTGGACTCAATCTAATTTCACGAGTCAAAATTTTAAATTATCATATTCGCGTCATGTTCAAGAAAATTTTGCAATATACTCATTCCGTCCGTCTTATGATGATCGTCAAGTTTAAATAATTATATATTTAGGTAATTATTTTAGAACGAAAAGAACATTATAATTTCATACTCCACAAGTATTTTGTGAGTTTTAACAAATTTAAAATTTTTCTTCGCTTATGCAATTGATCGATTAATAATACATTAGAATAAATAAGTCTTAGATGAATTATCACTTCAATAATAGTTTTTCTTTTCAGATTCCACAAAATCAATCTACAGTCGACAACCGGTAGAATTAGCAAATGATGAGTGTTGGTAGTATGTCTTAATTGATATCTGCAAAATAGAAAATCTATTTTAGGATTCTCCGAAGTTTTGCTTCTTTTTTTTTTTCAATGATAATTTTTAAATAATGTATCATCACCCCCATAATATAATCCACATGATGTCAAAGTAGTAGGCGAATATGGGACCTATGTAAATATTTAAGCTCGTATATTATGATTGATTACAATCTTGATTAGTTTTAGGAACCAAAGTTTGCACATGGTTTAGCTACATTGATTAGACACGTAATCAGAAATCTCATTTTTTAAATTTTCACCATCAAACACTCGTACGTTTATCATTTTTCTATCACATCAAAAACTAAACAAACACTCGTACCTAACAATAACTGAAGAAACACAAACAACAATGTCAATTAAGTTTGTTTTTATTTCTTACTCCCTTCTTCTCAATTTGTAGGTTGTTTTAGGTTTAAATTTTTTTTCAAAATGTAGGTCATTTTACAAATTCTAGACAAATTAATGATTATTTTTATAAATTTACTCTCAATAAATAATGCAAATATATTTTCATTTAGTCTTGTTTATAGTTTCAATGTAATTAATGAGGGATAAAACACATACTCCCTCCATTCCAAAATAAGTGTCGTTTTAGCAAAATGGAGAAATTCCAAAATAAGTGTCGTTCTCACATTTCAATGCACTTTTTGTCAAAAGTTTCTAAAATTACCCTCAAAAGAGTTGATGCTATTGGTGGACAATTTTATAATAGGGTTAGTTGAGGATATTCAAGTAATTTTATTACCCTATTTAAGAGTTTTTTAAACTATGTGCAAAGTGTAGGACGAAACTTATTTTGGAATGAAGGGAGTATTTAACACATAAATTAATTATTGGATAATTGTCTCTTTAGTTTACGTGCAAAGTCTAAAGTGACTTAGTGCATGTTTGGACAACGTTTTGTTTTAGTTTTTTATTTGGATTTTAGAGGAGATTTAAAAATGTAATTTAGGTTTTTATTTGAAAAAGTATTATAATATACGACTATTTATGAAAATAAAATAGTTTAGTGATCAAAATGAAAACTTGTGTAATGACCAAACGCAAGACTTTATAATAGTTCAGTGACCAAACATAATAAAGACTTACAATATTCAGTGACCAAAATGAAGAGTTTACAATAGTGTAATAACTAAACGCAACATTTTAAAAGGTAAATTAAAATATTGTTCGAATAGTGTATTAGGTTTTGTGTTTAAGAGATAGAATGAAACAAGAATTAAAATAAGAGTGTGAACAAACAAGGCCTTACGAAATTAAGAGAGCAGTAAGCTATTGCGACCCACACCAAAGTGACTGGTTTGATTTTCAATTGCATCAAATCGAAAGATGAAAGCAAAATTTTGATTTCATTTTCAAGAACTCGTAAATAGATGATGTTGCTATGTCGAAACCTCATTATGGTTGAGTAATGATTATTATTTGCTCGGAAACTTTCTCGTAGAAGAACATTAGTCTGTTTCTTTATCCAATTATCCCCAAAGGTGGTTTATTACCCTTCACCATTCAATTTCTTTATACAAGAGTCGCATGCATAGTTATTTTCATTGGATTCGGGTAGACCATTCCAGAAAATAAAAGCCTCCCGATGTTATATTTGTCCAAACTCAAACCTTAACATTAACCCGAATAAAACTGTTGTTCCACGCTCAAAATCCATCAGTAGGCTTGTAATCTTGGCAGTTTAGAACGCATTTATTTTGGTCCTATCTAAGTATCCATCTAATTAAATGTCATTATTTATTTTCACCTCATAAAAATGTCAAAAAGTTATTTTACCTTAAACGACACATGTACGGTTCGGGAGACTTCCCCAATCTGAATCTCCCACCGTAAACCTAAAATCTCACCTAAACCTCCATTTTTTGTCCCAAATTAGCTTCTTTTTTTTCTTCTGGTTTCCCTTCCGCTTCAGCCGCATCTTCTTGGTGTCTTCACTGATTTTATTACCCCAAAAAGTCAAAGCTGTTTCGCCATCACACCACATCCCCTAGGCGGTGCTGAAAGCCTTGAAAGCTCAGTGTGCAAAGAACCCAATAAATTTTTATACCTGAAAAGGCTGAAATTCCAACACCTCATCAACAGGACTCCCATAAAAAATTGATTCTTTTTTTCTCAAAACCATACTGAAGAATCATCTACAACCATCTGTCCTAAAGGAGTTATCAAGTTAGCAACAACTCTTTCCCATTTTTTCTTATAATTACTTTAAAAGTTGAATTCAACTTCAAAGTTGAAAAACCCCACATGGACATGCTCCGAAAATCCTTCAAATACAGCCCTACCAGTGACACTTCTGCTAATAAATCCCATCATAATCTACCTGGTGAAGACGAGCGATTAGGCCTTTTAGTTAGCCAAACCAATCAAGAAAATCTCAAATTTTCCGGTAACGGTAAGCCCAACGGCATGGCGGAATCAGCCGGTGCTCCGGTGGGTGGCGATTCATCTGGTCCGAGCGATGTTATCATTAAGATCAACCCCACCCGAGTGGAAAAAGAAACTGAACTTTCTACTTCTTCTTCTTCATCTTCTCCTTCTCCTGAAAACCAAGCCCAGTTGGCCAAAAATGGAAATGCTGGTAAAAATAGCATGTGGAGGGACTCAAGTTACGATTTTTCCAACGATGCCGCAATGAGGGCCATTGCCAATAACAATAAAGACTTCGACTTTGGGACGGAATCGCCGCCGTTATCGAGGATAGCGGAGAGTTCTCCTACTAATTACGGACAAGTAACTCCGAGGGATGTTCGGGTTTCGTTCAACGAGAACAATGCGCCGGAAAATGTCCGCCGCCGGTCTAATGCAAGCGGCGGCGTTAGGAATGGTGAACCGGAGGAGGTTTTGGTTTGCAGTGGGAACGCATCTTTCAAGAGAAAATCGAGTCTTTTGAGGACGAAGACAAAGTCGAGGTTGCAGGACCCGCCGGAGCAAGATCAGCGGTCCGGGAGGATGGGGATGAAATCTGGGGCATTGGGGAAGGCTAGTGAAATAGACGAAGATGACCCTTTTTTGGAGGACGATTTACCGGAAGAATACAAGAAGATGACATTTAGTCCTCTCACTGTACTTCAGCTGGTGAGTCTGATTTTGATTTTAGCAGCTTTAGTCTGTAGCCTTACTATTCGAGTACTGAAGAGAATTACGGTCTTTGACCTGGAATTGTGGAGATGGGAATTATTGGTTTTGGTTTTAATCTGTGGGAGGTTGGTTTCGGGGTGGGGCATTAGGGTGGTGGTGTTCTTTATAGAGAGGAATTTCCTGTTAAGGAAAAGGGTGTTGTATTTTGTGTATGGATTGAGGAATGCCGTACAGAATTGTGTCTGGTTGGCTCTGGTTTTGATTGCTTGGCAATTTATTTTTGACAAGAAGGTTGAGAGGATGACCAAAGGGAGGATCTTGCCATATGTGACTAGGATTTGGGTGTGTCTTTTGGTTGGCACATTGATTTGGCTTGTCAAGACATTGCTTGTTAAGGTTCTGGCTTCTTCGTTTCATGTTAGTACCTTTTTCGATCGGATTCAGGAGTCTCTGTTTAATCAGTATGTCATTGAGACATTGTCTGGCCCTCCATTGGTTGAGATTCAAATGGAGCAAGAAGAGGAGGAAAGGGTCATTGCTGAAGTACAGAATCTTCAAAATGCTGGTGCTAAATTACCTGCTGATTTGAAGGCAAATGTGTTGAAGAGTGGGAGAGTAATTGGGACTCCACGAAAAAGTCCTAGATCAGCCACCGCAATGTCTGCTGCAGGAAGAAGTCCCACATTCTCGACTGCTTCTGCCATGCTGATGAATAATAAGAAGGAAGAGGAAAAGGGTATACCGATTGACCATTTGCACCGGCTGAATCAGCAAAACATTTCGGCTTGGAATATGAAGAGGTTGATGAATATTGTGCGTAAAGGTGTACTATCGACTTTAGATGAGAAATTGCACGACTCAACAGCTGGAGAAGATGAGTCTGCTGTGCAGATCACTAGTGAAAACCAGGCCAAAATTGCTGCCAAAAAGATCTTCTGCAATGTTGCAAAGCGCGGCTCCAAGTAAGTTGTTTATTCATATCATTTCTGGTTGATATTTATGTTGTTGTATTAATAGATGTATCGTTTGCTCAAGATTTTTTACTTTTCTCTGTTTATTAGATATATCTACCTAGAGGATTTGATGCGTTTTATGAGAGAGGACGAGGCTCTGAAGACAATACGCCTTTTTGAAGGTGCCAATGAAGGCAAAGGGATCAGCAAGCGTGCCCTTAAGAATTGGGTGGTAAGTCATGGTTTCCAGTTATTTGAGACATGCATATTTTTGCTGACTGGACTTATTGTCCTGTTTCCTGTTGATTAAGGAGCAGATTATGTCAAAGATGTTGTTTCTTGGGTAGTTTCTGCCGATTAAGTGAAACTGTCCATAAAAAATTCCGTTTGATGTTAGCTGTTTTTGATTGGCTTTCCCAGTTTCTGATGGTATGCATAGTATAATTATTTGTGGTTTTGTGGATTTCTGGGATTGAGTTGTAAGTTTTCTTCCTACAGGTTAATGCATTTCGTGAAAGGAGAGCCCTTGCTTTATCTTTGAACGACACCAAAACTGCTGTGAACAAGCTTCACCAAATGTTGAATGTACTTGTGGGGATACTCGTCGTGGTCATCTGGCTCCTCATACTCAAAGTTGCATCTACACATTTTTTTATCTTCTTAAGTTCTCAGGTCCTTTTGGTGGTTTTCATGTTTGGTAATACAGTCAAGACAACATTTGAGGCGATCATCTTCTTATTTGTGATGCACCCCTTTGATGTGGGTGACCGTGTCGAAGTTGAGGGAGTTCAGGTTAGACTTCCGATCCTTGATTTTTCTGTATCAGTTGGTTAACTAATTAGTGTTTCTGAGCAATAAGTTATTGATTCCCAATTTTTTTTCAAAATTTCAGATGATAGTCGAAGAGATGAATATCCTAACTACAGTTTTCCTGAGGTTCGATAACCAAAAGATCATATATCCAAACAGTGTGCTGTCAACAAAGCCCATCAGTAACTACTACCGTAGTCCAGATATGGGAGATGCAATTGACTTTTGCATCCACATTTCGACTCCAATGGAAAAGATTGCTTTAATGAAGGAAAGAATAACAAGGTAATTTCTTGAGCTGGTTCTTTGTCTACATAATTAGCCAGTTTGCTTATATGCATAGATTATTTTCTATTCATGCTCAAGTCTTGATGATTCATATATGTGGTCACCGTACAAAAACTTCAGGCAATCAACTCTTGTTTGAGTGAGAATATTTAGTCTCTGTTATGATGCCTACCTTCATGCCTTAGTATGCACATCCCCCCTACCATAAGTTGACACTTCCTTTTTGTGGTCTCAGTTTGTTTGTTATACTCTATTCTTGAACCTTATGCTGTCAGAAGCAGATTTTTAGTAAATGTCTGTGCTTTTTGAGAACAATTGGGATAAGCTTAGCATTCTTTCATTCAGACAAATTTCACCAATAGGGTAACCCCTTTCCCTTTTTGCAGGTACATTGAGAACAAAAGCGAACACTGGTACCCAGCTCCAATGATAGTGATGCGAGATGTGGAAGATTTGAACAGGCTGAAATGGTCAATATGGCTATCACACACGATGAATCACCAAGACATGGGTGAAAGATGGGCAAGAAGAGCTCTTCTAGTTGAGGAGATGATCAGAGTCTTCAAGGACCTCGACATTGAATACAGGATGCTGCCACTTGATGTGAATGTACGCAACATGCCACATTCTAATTCAAGCAGAGTTCCTTCAAATTGGTCAGTGTTTTCTGGCTGATCGGTCTCAGTGTAAAGTGTAAAGTACATTAGATTTGAGAAAAGATAGCCGATTCGGCTGTACCCCCCCCCCGGTCTAGATTTTAGATAAAGGTTTGGTATTTGGTATTTACGAGAAAATAAACCTTGCGAGCAGTGACTTCTGCCTATGTATGTGCAGCTTCTGCAAAAATGAACGTTATTTCGACAAAGAGTATTATAGTTGCAATGTGTATTTTACAGCGGCAATTTATCTTAAAAAAAGGTTGTGTAAAGGGCTAAAAAATAATTATTCAATGCTGGCAAGCACAGACACCGTAAAAGGTTTTCAACGGATAGTTGTCACATGGACCCAAAGAGAGGTTAAAGCCACCAGAAAAAGAAAAGGAAGGACCAACATCAAACCAATACCAATAACATATTCTTCAACCGAGGAGGCAGCTCCCATGGCTACACTGCCCCTGCCGGTGAAGGTTTACGGCCCACCTTTATCTCCTGCAGTGTCCAGGGTCCTTGTTTGTCTTCTGGAGAAGAATGTACAATTTCAGCTCGTCCCTGTCAACATGGCCAAAGGCGAGCACAAAACTCCAGATTACCTCAAAATTCAGGTACCAATTTACTATAAGTGAACTTTTTTTCACCAAAGATTGATGCTTTATCTTTAAATCTAACGCTTGCTCTGCTCCCCCACTGGACACAGCCATTTGGCCAAGTCCCGGCTTTTCAAGATGATAGCATCAGTGTTTTCGGTAATTATTGACTACCCAAATTTTAATTTGCGTGAATTTCTTGTTTAAGATCTTGTTCTAGGCATGAAATGGTAATTCCAATGTGCTTTGTAAATCAAGAATCCAGAGCTATATGTCGGTACGTGTGCGATAAGTATGCAAATCAAGGAAACGAATCTATGTATTCCAACAACCCTTTAGTGAAGGCATCAATTGAGCAATGGATAGAATCCGAAGCACAGAATTTCAACCCACCAAGCTCAATCCTGGTTTTCCAGCTGCTTTTCGCCTCTCGAATGGGTATCAAACAAGACGAAAACGTGATCAAAACAAATAAAGAGAAGCTGTCAAAAGTGCTTGACGTTTATGAGAAGAGGCTTAGCGAGAGTCCGTACTTAGCTGGGGATGAGTTCACGCTGGCGGATCTTTTCCACTTGCCTAACACGCAGTTTTTGGCTGGTGAAGATGAGATGTTTAGTACGACGAGGAAGAATGTTGGCAGGTGGTGGGATGAGATCTCAAGCAGGGAGTCATGGAAGAAAGTTGTTGAGATGCAGAACCAAAATTTCCCAGCTCCTAAGGTTTAAACCAAGATTTCACCCTTAACGTTAAAGATTGATAGCTTGGGTTGTCTCTATTGTGTATGTTTTCGTTTTTTCACAATAGGTTGGAAGTCTAAATCTTTTAATTTTGTTGCATTGGAATTCAGATTGGATTCGTGAGATTCATTCTTTCTGTGTACTACCTTTCTTTGTCCTGCACCAAAAAAATTGATAAACAGAAATCTCCGCCCCCCAAAAGAAAATTCTGTGACTTCAAATATCCTCAGTGAAACCAGCCATCACCTCAACAGTCCTCACAGCTTCAAAGACAGAAAAAACAGCAGAAAAAGCACCGAAAATGCACTTCAATGACAAACAAAACGTCAAAAGATTGCTCCCCTTCATGAAAAAAAAAGGAACCTAAAAATTAAGTCACAATTTTACTTGGCCCTATATCGATTGCATTTGTGAACTTTGTGAAGATTAGTACTCGTTGGCCCAAGATGTTCTGTGACACTTTTTTGTGACACTATGACATAATTTAATTACTTATTATAAATTAATAAATGATTCGTGTTATTACATATATCATAATCACATATTTTCAATGTAGATAAATTTTCATATCCTTATTTTATTTTTTATATTAATGTTTTATTTTATTTTACTTTTTTAAATGAAATTTAACTATTTTTATTGAATTTTTTAACAGTAAAAATTAAAATAAATATAACATAACTCGAAAATAAGTGAACCCTTAGTCCTAAAATATATAAGTTCGAAAGTGATTGTGAATACTATATGTATTAATATAAATTATATAATTTATAAGAAGCACTCGGATTATATGTCACAAGAAAGTATCACAAAAGATCTTATACCTCTCGTTTCATGGTAAAACATGGATAATAATTACTCCTTCTATCCCCATATTATTGTCCTATTTGAATTTTCATTTTGGACGGAGGACCATTCGTCCTTGGTTAAGAGTGTTCACTGTTCACCCTTACGTAGTGAAGGTAAAATGAAAGGTTAGAAAGTGAGTGCTGGATAGGACTGGTTCACATGATTCATTACATGATTCAATTATTACAAATGTGGCTAACGGACAGTGGCTACCGACAAAATCATCGTACGGCATTAGGACCCATTGAGCAAAGATTTAAGCACGTTTTCAAAAGAAAAAGAATCAAAGCCACAACCATTAATAAATTAACATAAGATTCTTCAACTGAAGGCTGAAGCAGAAGAAGAAGCAGAAGCCCCAGCCATGGATATGCCGGTGAAGATTTACGGCCCAATTTCATCTCCTTCCGTCTGCAGGGTCGTTGTTTGTCTTCTGGAGAAAGATGTACATAACTTTCAGCTCGTCCCTGTTAACTTGGCCAAAGGCGAGAACAAAACTCCTCAATACCTCAAGATTCAGGTACAACAAAAATTCACATATCCAAACTTAAAAAAAGATTGATGCTCTGTATTTCATTGTAATGCTCTGTGTTTTCTTTTGTTCAGCCATTTGGCCAAGTCCCGGCTTTCCAAGACGAAAGCGTTGGTCTTTTCGGTAAGTACTGATTAAACTAACTACCCAAATCATTTTAATTTTGGTAGTGTGGAATTCTTGGTTTAAGATCTTGATCAACTTACTGATGCTGTTTTTGATGTGTCGAAGAAACCAGAGCCATTTGTAGGTACGTGGTGGATAAATATGCAAATCAAGGGAACAAAACTCTGCATTCCAACGACTTATTAGTGAAATCATCAATTGAGAAATGGATCGAAGCTGAAGCCCAAGACTTCAACCCACCGGCCTCGGCCCTGGTGAATCATCTCTTCTTCCGGGCCGCCGGAACCCCTCTGGACCCGAACTTGGTGAAAACCAACAAAGAGAAGCTGGCAAAAGTGCTTGATGTCTATGACACCAGGCTTGGGGAGAGTCAGTACTTGGCCGGGGGTGAGTTCACGCTGGCCGATCTTTTCCACTTGCCCTACTGTCAGTTGTTGGCGGGTGATGATGAGTCCATGTTTCGTTCCCGGAAGAACGTCGGCCGGTGGTGGGATGACGTCTCCGGCAGAGATTCATGGAAGAAAGTTCTTGAGATGCAGAAGCAAAATGCTTAATCATAATCAACATCCTGCCAACCTAGTTGCTTGTGGTTGTGCTTTGGATTAAGCTAAATGAGCCTTGATTGAGCATATTAATCTCGAGTGTGTGTACTATTATTGTTAAATAAAATTGCGAGGAGTTCTTGAGTGTTTGTATTATTAAATAAATTGTGAGGATCACATGGATATAATCCACCACAAACTCTTTCACTCATCAATCATCATTATGGAGTGAAAAAAATTATCAGTTGTATTGTTTGCAACATTTAGTTTTGGCTTAAAGGACATTACATATCACAGGTTTTCTGATTTTTTTTGTTTTTCTTTTTCTTTTCTATAACTCAATTAAATGTGTGTCTTTTCTAAGCTGGTAGAACCTCATTACAGCATCTTTAGTTAACCATGTCTAGACCTGACCAAGGTCCTGGTTCGAACCGGAACCAAACCGTCGGTTTTAATTCGAAACCGTAACTGCAATTTATGATTCGAAATTCGTAACTGTAACGATAATTATTTGGTTCAATTCTGATTCTCCATTTATAAGAACTAGAACCATAACTGGTGGTTCGGTTGTGGTTAGAACCGTAAAAAAATAATTATATTTAATTATTAAAAAATTAAAAATTATTGTCTAATTAATTTTTTTTTTACTATGTGACTTCTCCTAAACTTAGCAAGATTAATAAAAAAAATTAAATTAACCATTCCTCAGTCTTTATCAAGTTGAAATAACTTTCATGCACGACAAAAGAAAACTTTCGAAGAAGAAATAAAGTTAATAATACAACAAATATCAAAATTATAATTAGAATCGAATAAAAAAACCCTATGAAAAACCCTAACCATAACCAAAGACAAAATCATAACCAAAGTCATAACCGAAACAGTCTCAAGCTGTAACCGTTTGAAACCATCTCTTACATAGTTCGGTTATGGTTCCATCTATCTTAGAACCATGAACCGACGATTTTAGAACCGTAACCGATGGTTCTAGAATCGTGATCAGGGCTAACCATGTCTATTTTAATAAAAAAAAAATTAATAAATTTTATAAGCAAAAGTTGTTATAGCGCCTACAATTCAACTTGCTATGTGTCTCTTGACTTTTTCATTATGTTGTGATGATGTGAAATTGTGAATCATTTTTGTAACATCTAGATCAATTTGTATATGACATTTTTGTTTTGGCAAATGTCCACGAATTGGTGGTACATATAGATGAAGGTCACGAGTTTTGAAAATTAATTACCAATTTCTTAGAATGGAGAAAAAAGACACCGGATTAATACTCCCTTATCAGGCTAGAGGCCATTCTCTCTGTCGGAAAAAAAAAAAAAAAAACACTTCTTCCGTCTAATTTGGATTTTTATTTTTAGTACAAATAGAACAAAAAGTGAAAATTTAAATTGAACAGTAATTTTGGAAGGGAGTAATTTATAGTGAATTTTAGATTTTTACTATCTTTTTTTTTAGACAAAAATATTAAGGAGTACTTTGCTCTAAGTTAGTTTTATTTATACTTTTCTTTAAGCCGTTTTCCCCTGTTATTTTTTACAATATTTAAGGTTACGTTGACAAAACGATGTCAAGGATTTCCAGGCTAAAACTTCTGCTTGACACCAATAAAGGAGCAATTTCCTGAAACTCAAAGATCACATGGAATCCTCATCATTAATTCCAACAAGCGGAGATGATACGATAGAAGAGGTGGGCACCGGCGTCGTCAACAACGTCGCGGCGGCGCCACCTCCAGATTACACCAACAACAACAACGTAAGGAAAGCGAGGTTCCGATCCACACTGGCCGCTCTTCTGGACGATCCCATACTTGCCGATGTGCCCAAGAACCCAACATTCTCAGATGTTGACACCCTCATCAGCTTGGAGCTCGGCAGCGCCATGCGTATTTCCGTCCTTAAATTGGACGGAACAAGTATTGGTACGTCTCAGACATTTTCACAAGCAGTTTCAGTGCATAACGAAAGAAGTTAATATTTTACGATTCTTTTTGCTCTTACAGAGGTGGCCCTGATGAACTCTGCGACGGTGAAGAACTTGAGGTTGGCAATTCAGAAAAAAGTCGATGCAATTGAGCAGTCTCAGATGGGATATCGTCACATTTCATGGTATGTTCCATAAGTTGGACCGAGTAATGTGTGTTGATGGATTCTATTTTGCTTTAAGAATCAAGAGGACTTCCTTTTAATTATTTTTTAGGTTTTATGTTAGCTTTCTAACATGCTTGGAGTTCTTAAGCTCAAATTTTCCTTCTGTGGCTTGTTAATTGTAGGAAGCACGTCTGGGAAAACTTTTGTCTTTCATTTCACAATGAAAAATTGTTGGATGATAATGCTATCCTTGAGAGTTATGGCATTCGGAACAACTCCCAGGTAGGTAGTTAGTTTTATTATATATACCTTGTTCAACCTTGACTTTCTTGATCTCGCCATTGGAGTATAACATTTGCTGTATGTGGGAGTGTGTATTCTGTGATTTGTAAAGACCTAGAATGTGGCTCTGGATGTAAGCTTACACTTGTGGTTGTCACGAAGATTTTTAATTTGCGGTTTCATGTTCACACATACGAGTTTAAAGTTTTACTGAAGATGTCGAAATGTGTAAGAAATTGAACTTCTGTCATGATGTGGGAAACAAAAACTCAGAAAATGAAAATGCTGTCGATGTGAACCAGATCAAGTGGAAATCTATTTCTTTCTTTTTGTATTTGGTGTCCAATTGTCGGAAAACTTAATATGGATGCGTTTATGCTTCCATTATCAGTTATTTGGTATTTCATATTCTTTCCATCATCATAAGAAAGCATGTTCTACCTAATGCTCTGCAGGTACAATTTATTCCGTACGTAAAGGCAAGAGCTATTAAAAGGCATTCCAAGAGGAGAAAGCATCGCTTCCTTCATAGTCTTAAGAACGGCACTTAGCCCTTGCCTCGTACCATTAGATGTCGTCCAAAATTTATGTATTGCTGTCATTACTCAACACCTGGAGGTTAATCTCTGCACTGTCAAGATACTGGTGAAAAATGTCATTTGATATCTAGCTAAACTAGCGATCTTGTTACGCTTTCATTCAAAACTTGAAAAGTTTAGGCATATTCATTTAGAAAACAAGAGTTGGAGCTGCAGGTTGTAAGAAAAGCCTAGTGTATGGATCCTTTCAACAAGAAACTAGCAAGTTAATTCAAAGTTGTAAATGTCTACTCTTAATGTACATTCTGTTTTTAGATTTGCATGTTTGCGACAAAACTATTCTTTTTCACAAAAGCAAGTTCACTCTTCTGTTGCATACGCATTCAGGATGGACTCATGACGCTCATTCTTTCTTTGTACTCCTTCAATTCCCGCTGATATCTTTCTTTGTCCTGCACCCCGTAATTTTGATAAACCTGTGTGCAGGAAAAAACAGCATTCCCTCATAATGTTCATGATGATAAACAAATGCTTTTACTAGTTCACACTAGTGATTGAACTTACTATTCGTTCCTCGGGGGTAAGATTGTTCCAAGACTGGCCAATCATTTTCGTGAACTCCCTCTCTCGATTAGGATAAAGAGTCTTGAGCATGGAGTGCTTCTCTGCAAAGAAGAAGTTATAGCCGCTCCTGTTGGGTTTCGGCCGACCTGGATCACCTCTCCTTTTCCGTCTCCTCCTACCAGAATGAAGAGCTGTCCTAGGCTCAGGTACAGCTGCAGCGTATGGCACGATGTTCAAGGAGGGTTTTGGTGTCAATGAGGAGGAGGAAGAGCCTTCAGGAACAGGGTGGTAAAGTACTCCACTGAGAGTCTCCGATCCCAGCTTCACAGACACCAAATATCCGCAATCAAACTTGGCTTCAATTGTTCCCACAGCTTGAAAGCACATAGGACCTAGAATATACAAATCCCACACGAAAAAAAAAACAGAATGAGACTCCATATCAAAATGCACTTCAATGGCAAACAAAATGTCAACAGATTGCTCCCTTTTATGGACATAGGGTCGAGAAAAGACATTTTTATTAGTCCCTATATAGATAGCAGAGTGAACTTTGTGAAAATGATGAACGTATAGATAGGTGAAATGAGAGAGTTTTACCGGTGGGGTTGGTTGAAAGTAAAATGGACTCCATCATAAGATTTGTAAGTTTTGGTTTTTGTTTTGGAGGGATGGTCTAATCTCAAAATATAAGAGACAGGAAAATTAGAGAAATTTAGAAGGCACACTTTTCTTCGATCCACAAGGCATGCAACCCCTTATATTTCGTAAAATATGCAATGACTATGACTTTTATAAAATCATGGTGAAAAGAAAGAACGAAAAAAGTTCGGTGGGACAGTTATGAAGGTAATACCATCTAGAAAACTATGTAAAAAAGAAAATGGTGGATTTTGAAGTAAATAATATGGTGCTATATCACGAACCTGTGCTATTGTTTTGTACATTAATCTTATGGTCATTACTCTTCTTCATAAAATTACTTTTTTATATTTACTAAGTTGGAATGTTCAATTCTATTGACATTTGAATTCACAATTTTTAAATTTACTTCTTTTTTTTTTTTTTTGGTGCACACAATTTTTACATTTACCTCGACTCATTGTTTTATTAACCTATGTCACGCGTAAGGGTTTTTTTGAAATTAAATTAACTCCATTATCATCTTGGAACCGACCAATGGGGTTGTTCTAATTCCAAGTGCAACTGAAAATGCAAAATATTTGGGAACTTTATCACTAGGATAATTGAACAATTAAACCTGTGGCAGAGAAATTAGTGAGCGAATTTGTGGTTCCATTTCCACATTCAACTTTATCCCTTGTACTAACTAACAAAGCTACGGGTACAAGAAATCCACCCCTTTAAAAGCTTATTTATCTGACCACCAAAATATTAGTAAATTAAATTCATATTCCTTCATATGCGAAAATAATCGTCTGAGATATGCCAAAAAAAAAGTGCAGAAGATACCAAAAATACAGAAGATTACAAACACAAACAAAACAAGAAAACCCACTCAAAAAAAAAAATGAAGAAATTTAAAGCAACAAAAAATCACCTGGAGAATTGAGAACCATGGAAGACTTGAGCCTGAAGAAGTAAACCATTTCGTAGTGATGAAGCAGGTTAAAGTAATGCTTCCTCAAAGCATAAGAAGCGCTGGTCGTGGTCGGACCGAACTCAAACACACCCGAAACTTCCCTCCACTTCTTCTGCTCCACCACCTACACCATTTTCAAACCCTCCAATAAAATCAAACACAATTTTTCTCTTTTTTTTTCTCAAAAAAAAAATTTCATTTCCTTCTAAAATGTTTTTGATTTCCTACGAAAAGGCAAAAAAAAAAAAAAAAAAAAAAGAGGGACAAAAACCTTATCAAAGCCACCCCTCTTCGTAACCTCCGCGTAAAGAACATGCAAATTCAGCTCCTTTCCACCGATCACCGGAACCCTTCAAAAGTTATATTCCATATTAATGTTACACTCTCAAATAATAACATTAACGTAATGATCTGCTCATCATTAATGATTCCTTTTGAGTTTATTTAAAAAGAAAACAGTACAAAAATGGGGAAAAAAAAAAAAAAGCTTACATGTATTTTGTACCAAGAGTTTTGTGAAAGATTCGAAGAGTATCCCAGAAAACAGAAGGGTTGGCTACAACTTCTTCATGGGAGGCCAATGGCGCCGGATAAGAGCGAGGTGATTGATTTCCTTGGACCGGGTTATTTTTATGGCTTTTCTTCTTGAAAGGGGCTAAGGCCATTGAACACATTTTGAAATTCTGTCCGGCTGTTCGGTTTTTGTTGCCGGAAACTGTCCGGGGAAGTGAAGCCGTAAAATAATAATAATACAAACAAAAAGTGAAGCAGATTGTCCGGGGAAGTGTACTAAAGTAAACAAGCAGTTAATGCCAAGGTATCATAAATGAAGACGTGCTAATGATAAGAGTTTAATTTACAACATAACACCTTTAACTTTGTTTGGAGGTACCATTTTAACCTATAAATTGTGAATTGTAACCACTACTGCTCCGATCTTAAATTTGCTACGCTTCTATACAAAATTTGTCTCAATTTGCCAGCGTAAGCATGAAATGAGGCTGAATTCCTAGAATCAAATAAAAGCAAGCTATAACTGCTATGATTTGGTTGCAATGATACATATTTATTATATAAAGAAATTAATCACGAATGGTGAAAGAAAAAAATAAAAGAGTTCAATCACACTATGGTATAAAATTGGGGGAGTTATTCACCATATAACTAATTTGAAGGTGGTATTTCTGCAATTAACTCTCAGGAAGCCGGAAAAATCCAACCGAATAAAAAAGAAAAAAGAAGGAAATAAGAACGTTTGAAGTAATTATCACGCGTAAGAACAAAGTGGCAATGTGTTAGTTCTCTTAGCGCAAAGCAGGGATTAGTGACAAGTGGTGTTTACAACAGTTATGTATATCATTTTTGGTTTCTTTCTCAGTTTTAATGACCCTAGAGAAAAGCAGTATTGTCAGACTCGGCTCCGACTCGGTAAGGGTAGGGGTCAGGGGTTTTAGGGGTCGATTCGGGTTGACTCGGGGGGTCGACTCGAATGATGTCATTATAACGTAATAAAAAAATATATAATTATTATATATATTGATATTTAAAAAACTTAATATTTATGTATCCTTTTCTATGGTAATACTCAAAAATATTACTTTAAAGAGTTTAGTTATAGATTAAAATAAGTACTATTAGTTTAACAATTGATAAATTAATTATTCGTAATTAAAATTTATAAATTTATAAGATAATCAACTTTTAGTATTAATAAAATGTATAACATAAAAATCAATTTCAATATATTTAAGATATATTTTAAATTTTGAACAAAATAATGGAGGTTTATATGTGAGAAAAATAATAAAAAGATTTTTTTTAATAAAAATGGTGCGTCTTATAATTTGGAGTGAAAAGTTTGGGGCTAAAATGACAAATTAATTACTTGAAGAAAAGTTGTTGGGCCATTTAAGAATAAAAGACAAAGATTTGGACCAGAAAGATAAAGGAATACACGGAGTCCAAGGAAAAAAAGTCAAAAAACTGGTCAAAATATGCAAAAACCAAAAACTCCGAGTCGACCCGAATTTGACCGGTTTTTGGTTCGATCGGAGTCTTGACCGAGTCTCGGTTAAACCAGTTGACCCGACCGGTACGAGCCGAGCTTAACAACATTGGAGAAAAGTATCAAGAGCGAACTACATTTTACCACTCAAGTTTTAGCCCTTTAACAAAATCCCCCTCGATTTTTTATCATACTACAAATATTCCCCCCTGAGCTTTGATCTTTCTACCGTTTGAACACTTTCTCACCGGATAATGATGTCAGCATCTAACATCATCCAACTTTTAGCATGAACTGATGAAAATACCTAGCTATAAGCTCTTTTTTTAAAAAAATAAAAAATAAAATATAAGCCTCATATTTTTAAAAGTCAAAAAAATAAAAATAAAAAATTAAATCCAAAGGCCAAATGCAGTTCCCGTCCTCACGGCGTTCTTCATCACCATCCAAATAATATGCCTTCCTTTCATCCTCCCCTCCCCTACCACATGTGCCGCCTACAGATCCACATCCCTCTCTCCACCATCTAACCATAATCTCCTCCGCACATGAAATATATTCATAGTCACCACTTCCAAACTTGCTCGTTGCATTCGTCAGTCGCCGCTTTACAAATTTGGATTGAAAAATAGAACACCAGCATAGATTTGCCAAAACGAAAATCACTAGTTGAGTTTCAATCATATTCGAATGATCGAATCCATTCTGTCTTATTTTTCTCATCTCTTTTAACAATTGATCAAGGGACGGCATCACAGCTAGCTAAAACATCAGTAACAGTGGTAGATCAACATAGGCCTTCGAGCTGAGAGGGGCCGGTTTTAAATTTCCTTTGTTTTATGAAGTTGTATGATTTATTTGATTTTTTTACTCAATTCTGATGTGTTGCGGTTAAAAATTAGTTTAGATGATGGTGAAATTAGGTTTTCTTATCTCAAAATAGAGAAATAATGAAGAGGACAATGAAAACCAACATGGTATTAGAAAGGAGAAAGCAGGACAGTTTGTGTCAGTAAAAAATGGTGGTCGGAAAAGAATAACAGTAGTTTGGTTGGGTGGAAGACATGGGTAGTATAGTCTTTTTATTTAATCTTTAAAATATTTTTATTTGATTGATTGGTCTAACCGGAGGCTTTTTTGTCATTTCACAATTTTCCGACGTTGACTTAACGTTTCACCCAGTCAAAAGGGGGAAAATGTAGTAACACCAAAACTCGATGGGTATTTGGTTAAAGAACCAAAACTCGGGGGTAAAATGTAGTTTGCCTAAGTATCAAATTGCTCACAGTAATAATCAATGGCAAAACCAAACAAGCCATTAACCCACCCTGAGTTAGAGCAGCAGCTACCATTTTCTTAATAATAGCAATGCTCATTAAATTTCAATCGCTGACCTTAATATTTAATTATGATACTTTACTTCTTTTTTGTATAAGTTTGTTTTTTCTTTTTGGTTTATGGGTTTCTTGGGGTTGGGGGATATTTGCGTGCTGTCCAGTTCGAATATTGATCTTGGGAAGAAGATACTCCCACCATTCATTAGTCCTTTGTTCTCTAAAGAGGCTGACAAAGACATTCACTCGCTTAGAAACTTGTTTGACCAATGGTATTTTGAAGTCACTGGCAGCCTGCATACCCTGCATTATTGTGACAGCATAAAAGGGCATCTTCATCAGTCCTCACGTAGCATCTTAATAGGTACCTACAACTCTACGGTTTCAATCTGCAATTTACTACTACCTTGTTAACCATTTTAAGCTAAGCTATTGAATATCCACAATTGACAATGTTGATTAATCTTTTTACTGAAAAATATAAACACCTTATTTTTACTGAAAAATATAAACACCTTATCATAAGTGAAATGCTACGAATTTCAGTTTGCTCCATGATTTTGTAGTGAGATTCCAACACCTGACCAAGATCAATATAGAGGAGTCTTGTACTTGGCATTTATGTTAACTGCTAGCGTTATACTCCCTCCTGTCCTTAATATAAGATATTTTAATTTTGTTCTAAGTTTCACCTAATATGCAATTTTAATTGACAAAAAAATTCGATATATATTTTCTAACAATCAATAGAACACAACAAATGTGAAAAAATATTTTTAAATTTTTTTTCTGAATTAAAAATACATATTAGATAAAATATAGAACAAATTAAAATGTCTTATATTAAGTAGATGGAGTAACAGTTTTGCTATTTTGGGGCTATTATATGATGTGAATGAGAAGCTTGAGATCTTGTTCAAAGAAAAAAAGAAGCTTGAGATCCAACAGACTAGCAGGAATATAGAATCCAGAATCCAAAAGCCTTCACTTGTATCCATCTCTAGCTGGGTTCATACTTCATACTATGCATCAAGTGTATAGTGTATTTTAGCCCAAGGTTTTTTAACTACTTCTGGGAAGAAATTTCGCCACCTTTTTTTTTTTTTTTAAGTTTGTCTTCTAAAGTAATTGCTCCATCTTCGTTGAATCTTAAGGACAAAATAAGATATTAGAATGCTTATCCACAACGCAAATTTGCATATGTTAACCAAAGGCCTTTACAGATTTTTAGTATATGACAATAGGTTTGTTTTGTTTTTTGCATATTTAAATGTGACTATCATTCATAACAAAGTCTAAGTATCCACCATTACTATGATCACTGCAACTCTTTCCTTGTAAGATTTCACTTCATAGGGATGGATGATTTTTTTGTTGTAGATTTTAACACTAATAAATGAGTCTCCTTTTTTTTTTTTTTTTTCTCATTTCTTTGATTGTCCTTTATGGCTCCATACGAATTCCCCAGCATGGAGAAAGGAAATTTCGCTATCCAGAACCATTCAGTTGGTGGCCCAACAAGGCTATATCATTAGTTCATCATCATCATGATCAAAACCAAATCAACTTGGTTATCTTATCCACTGGCCCAGACCCACCGTCATGGCCTGACTGTCAACGCCAAAAAAAAAAAAAAAAATACTCTCTCTCCGTCCTATAATTATTCTCCGGTTTGAATTTTTATTTTTAGTTCAAATTGTATTAAAAGTGAAATTTAAATTGAACAATAATTTTGGGATGGAGTGAGTAAGAAGTATGATGAGATGTAAGGATGATGACTGAAAAACTGGAAGCAAAATTACAGTAAAGACCAGAGAAGCCAAAGTGAACTGATGACACACCGAGCTATATCAGTCAGATGCAAACAAATCAGTTGGAGGCTTGGAGCTAAGTTTTGCTCAGTTCAAGAAGTCTTGGACTCGAGTTCAAATGGAAGATCCTAAAGAATATACCTTTTCTCATCCTAACAAGACTCACCGTTTCATTGCACCAAACCGGCTAAAGCCCCCTTTTGGATAAGCCCCTCTTGCTAACCAACCTCCCTCCAAAATGAATACAGGCCAAAAAATCTGTCCTGTATATATATATATACGTAATCCAATTCAATTCAGTAAATCTACCAACGCCCCTCTTCCTCCACCACTTCAATTAATAGCCGTTTTCCCTCAACAAGCACAACAACTCTGCCCTGAAAATAGTATAAACTGATATTTCTAAAACATAATCACAGTTCCAAAAAGAAGAAATGACATTTGCTAGCAAGCCCTCTTCTTCAATACTACTCTCTCCTATTGAGCAAGAAAAGCTCATCGAAAAACTCCAGGTTTTCACCATCCAAGGCAGAGATAAACATGGCCTTGCCCTGCTCCGGGTTGTCGGCAAATTCTTCCCTGGTAAGACAGCCAATTCAAAGGACAGAACTTCCCATTGGTTTTTTATCTAGTGGTAATTTATTATGTATTGATTTGGAGTTTTGGACATTTTTATGCATGATGATCATTCAGCGAGGCTGGTGAGTGTGGCGGCCTGTGTGAAGTTCTTGGAGGAAAAAATCTTTCCAAAGCTGGGTGACAAGTCATTTTCAGTGTTGTATGTGCACACAGGAGTTGACAGAAACCAAAACTTTCCAGGCATATCAGCCTTAAGATCAATCTATGATGCGATTCCAGCCAGGATCAAAGATAATCTGCAGACTGTTTACTTCCTCCATCCAGGACTCCAGTCCCGACTTTTCCTCGCCACATTTGGCCGCCTCATCTTCACTGGAGGGTAGGGTACATGGTTTTAGTATTTTGTACTAATTTAGAACGTGCCCAAATTTCCATGTCATCTCTGAGTCTGACTGTTTGAAGTGGTGTTTTACACAGATTATACCGGAAGGTGAAGTATGTGAATAGGCTGGACATACTGTGGGACAACGTGAGGAGGAAAGAAGTGGACATACCTGAGTTTGTGTACGATGAAGATCAGAAACTGGACCACATCCCCGTGATGATTGATTTTGGAATGGAGAGTGATCATCCTAGAATTTATCAGCCTAATTATACATCATCGTCATCATCACCGTTTGACTCTGAACTGCGCCTGTATTCTCTGAGATGCATTGCTTAGAAGAAGCCTACAAATTAAGAACCTAGCTGCAGGTGTATAAAGTAGAATGGAGATAGAGAGCTTCTTCCTACAGGGGCTGAATCATGCATATCTAAAAAGCTCATGAATGTTATTCCAGCGACGAAAATGTGAATCAGTCACATGTTTTAGCTAATTAGATATATACACAATAATCGCATCAGTTAGCTAAAGAACATGAATTAGCCAACACAAAAGCAATGCGCAAGAAATTCTGTAGAAAAAATATACAAGGGGTAAAATCAGAATAAGATCAGGACTTTGTGCAAACTTTAATTCGTAACTGAACCTTCAAATCACAATACAAAGACGACCAGACAAAGGCCAATACATCACCAGAAGCCATACATATAACATATCTGCTGTCCAGACAGAGTCGAGAGAGTCTAATACAAAGCTTTCTATATAGTATGTACAATTTAAAAGACATTGGATTGATTCCTTAAACAATGTACAATTTCAAGAAGTTATTACAATAACTTAAACAAGGAAATGTTCCCCTGAATTCGTGAACATCCCATATAACCTCACCGCAGCAAAGCTTCCAATTCCATTTTCCAGCATGCCATATAGTAAGGTAAACAAGAATTAAGCAGATGGCCTCGACAAAGCTACAAACATTAGTAAAAAGAAGAAACTTTGAGCTGCATTCATTTCTTTATTAATGAATTTTTCAAATGCTTGACTGACTTAGCAGGGATTGGGAGTAATCCAGACAGGGCGAGAGATTGAATCACGAGCATAACATGGCAAACGCTCAATACTCCCATCTTCCAAGCTGAAAATCCCCAAATCATGATCCCCGCCACCAGTATGGTCTTCGTACACGCAATCATCATCATCAGTGAAATAAATCCGATTCCCTTTGCATCCCGCCGGGAAATCAGTGGACGACAAAGCCAACGAAGAGCTTCCACCGACAAACAAAGCAATATCCCCCAAATCCATCACTCTCTCCCACTTATTCCCACCTGAATCCAGCCTACAAACCCGAAACTTACGAGTTTCAAACGTATCATATTCATTTCCAAGATCGAAGTACCGCGTGACAAGTAACAATTCACCACGCGCCGCCACCAAATAGTGTGTGTCACCTCCCTCATTTGCGCCAGTGGCATCAACAAGACGAAGTACTCCGGGCGAATCGCCGTCGACGTCACATATTGCAATGCTGCCGTTTTTATTCAAGGCATAGACCAACCCATTAAGAAAAATTACATCCTCGCTGAAATTACGAATCCCTGGAATAACAGTCCACTGAGTTTGCCCGGCTTTGCAAAAAACAAGCTCACCGGTTCCATAAAGAATCGACACGGCTGTAAAATCAGGATCGCGAGATGGGCTATCAGAAAGAACGATTTTTTTGACAAATTCCCGCATTTGCTTCAGATTAAAAGTTACAGATAGGTTATCATCAAGGAGGAGAAGGTACTCGCGGCCGATTTGGGCATAGTCAAAGCGGGAAACGTGGGGGAAAGAGGAGAGAGGCGGGAGGTTGAGCTTGGTTCCGGTGAGGGGATTGAAGACGAAAACAGAGGGGGAGTCTTCGAGGATGACCAGCCAGCCGTGGGAGGAGCCGCGGCAGCGACGGTGGCGGTGGAAGGCAACCGGGAGGCGGAGGATATGGCGCTTGTAATTAACGAGGTTGAGAAAGGAGAGGTGATAATCGGGAAAGCGGTGGTGGTGGTGGTGTTGAGTGCCTCTGGGAAGCACGAGCCAGGGGAGTTGGCAGGGGAGGTGGGTTGGGGTCGCCGGAGTTGAGGATCGCCAGGCCACGCAGACTGCCCTGAATCGGATGTAATCGGAGTGGATTCTGATGTGGGTTGATATTTTCCAGATTAATTCCGGCAGAATCGACGACCAATCAAGGAAGTCAACGGGGGTGGACATTCTTCAAGCAAATCGGAAATGGTGGTGAAATCGGTGGAATTGAGGGAGTTTGGGAGATCAGAAATTCTGTTGTCGGTATTTATAAAGTAAACTGATGATTGATGAACGGAAAGAAGGAAGGAAACAAAAAGTTAATTAAATTTATTCATCCAATTAAGAGTGACCACGTTGCAAATCCGACGTCCCAGATTGAAAGTCAACCAAGATTTTTTTTTTTTTTTTTTTGGTTTTCTCTTTCCTTTCTTTCTTGATTTCTTCTCATATACTCCCTTGCTCCATTAATGCATTTTGATTTTGTCTTAAATTTTACCTAATACACATTTTTAATTGACGAAAAAATCTTAAAAACATATTTTAACGTTCGTTGTATTCTCTTGATTGTATGAAATATTTTTAAGATTTTTTTTTCAATTAAAAATACGTATAAGATAAATCAAAATGCCTTATATTAAGGATTGGATGGAGTATATACGACGACGCCGCGACTCTCCTCCAAAACATCTCCTCTTCGGCAGGGTTTTACTTGCTTTCGTTGAGCGAAAGAAATTTGTTCTTTCAATCCTCTCTTCCGAACAAAATTAAGGGGTGCCACCATAAGAGATAAATCCATTGGATGAACAAAGAGTCGTCCACCCTATTCGCCTCCTTCCGAGATACCCCATCAACTTGACCATCGTGAGAGTCCCCATTTGGATAAGTTGGACCATAGTTTTTAAAATCCCGATCTGGATCTTAGAATTCTACTATCTTACGATCTGGAATTAGGAAATTGATCATGGATATGGAATCCTTCTTTATAGTGGGATCTTATAAAATCCTTCAAAATCCCAATCTAAATCGTAAGATCTTACGATCCAGCTGTCATAGGCTAACTCTTTCATAAGTTAAAACCGTGCGGCACTAGCACTCTAGACCACTAACAACGAATGCTAGCTCAGCCTAACCATTAAAACCTTCAAAATTCTTGAAAAGAAAGTAGGAAAGTTGAAGGATAAAAGAAATGACGGAGGAAAGGATAAGGGCTCAAAAAGAGTTTGAGAGAACTTATAGAATTCAAACCTTAAATTCTTCATTATTAACAAAAAGGGGGCTTGGGGTATTTATAGTTGCCAACCTAAGCCCTCAAGGTTCTAGATATTCTAAATCTAAACTATTCTAGAACAATATCTCTTATTCTAATCAATTCTACAAACTTCTATTTAATTCTAAACTATTCTAGAGCCTCATAGACATTTCTACATTGATCCACACAATTTTACTCTAATTCCACAAGAATCTAGAAAATTCCAAGATATTCTAGAATCTTCCGGAACTCGGCTTGACCCAAAAAGTTTAATTGGGCCTAGATCCATCAAAATTATTGAGCCAAATTACTTACTTTAACTTAATAATATTTGGGCCGTGTCACAGCGATCCCATTAATTTTGTCGATATTTGTACAAATTGTTGATTTCGTATAAAAAAAAAAAGAAAAAAGAATAGAAAATATATAAAAGTTGAATTTTTGAGTTGATGATACATATGCGTGCACTAATCTACTCCTCCTCTGCGTCACTAATGTACTCCTCCTCTGTAAAATCAAACAAGAATTGAACTAACAAATTGAAACTCGCAATTTTAGAATTATTACTCCCTCGTCCCATAATTATTGTCCACTTTGCCCAAAAAATTTTGTCCCAAAATTATTGTCCAATTTGACTTTTTATGGATCAAGTTACACATTTGTCCTTAGTAAAAAATATTATCCATAAAATCTTAGTGGTTAAACAATTACTTATGTAGGGGTATATCCAGTTATTTAAGGTAAAATATAGTTAAGTTTGATCAAAAATAAAATCTTTCATTTTAGTAAAACTGGACAATAATTATGGGATGGAGGGAGTATAATATTTTAAATGGTTTCGATCCTGCCGATCCGATTCAGAATCCAATCTGATCTTGAGACGCCAAAACAATCCTATGTGAAATCCGATTTTGAAAACATTGGGCTGCACTGCTTATTTTTATTACAAATTCACCAAAAAAGCTGAACCAGAAAGTAAGAATTAAAGGTTGTGGATAGTCCCTTGTTCCACCTCCTCGTTTCCTGTTTCGGATGGTTTGTTGTTTGCTCCCTGCAACCGACTCTTTTCCTCCTCATTGTTCTGTCTTTAATCCTCCCGGAAAATTCCTCCTGCCCTTTCCTCCTCCTTTTTTTTGCCTTCGCGTTTCACAAATTCAACAAAGCATAAGGAAATTACTCTTGTAAGTAGTTTTTTTCTTCTTTTTTTTTTTTGAGTAAAGAAAAAGAAAGTTTTGTCTTTTCGCTTATTCTTCTGTATATATTGTCTATTCCAATGACTTGAGAATTTAGAAAATGTGCAAGGCTGCAATACACAGGACAGCCAAATGGGAAATTCTTTCTGTTCCATTCTGTTTTTTAATTAAGGTTACTTATCTCCTCCATTGTGTGTGTTTGAGAAGGCCTTGCTTTGATTGCAATCCTTCAGAGTATAACTATATTCTGTCCATTCAACTTGCAATGTTAGCTTTTTGAATGCTTTTCCAATTTGAATAACATATAATATGCTTGCATGATGATCATTACATTTTTTTTTTAAATTGTGAAAGAATTCTTTGGAGTTACATTTATTTTTAATTGGATCACCATTTGCTATATCCAAAGAGTTATGTTCATCAATATGCAGGGCCTCTCCTTCCTGAGAACTCTGTAGATATTTTTTATCTGTTCACTTGTTCCATGTCAAAGTAGGCTTTTGTTTCCATTTCGTGGGTGCTGGTTTGGAATTTTTCGTAGTTGTGAAAAAAGTGTTGTTCTTGTAGATGTTCTTTTCAAAAGATTTGCCTACTTAGGAGCATATATATGCAGTATTAATTTCCCTCTGCTTCTCAGGAAAGATGCTTTGGCAGTGTTATGTTTTGATCTGAATCTTGTCTTAATGAAACTTGCAGGATGTTGCTCTTGTTACAGCTGATGTCTTCTGCACCCTTTCACCACTGATCAGCTGAGGTCTCCCATCCTCTTGTTAGGGCCGATGGTCTTTTCTTTGTGAAATTTGAAGAATTCCTGATTTTACTCGTATCTTTGTTAGGGCTGATGGCTTCACTTTGACTGGTGGCTACTGTTGTTATTCTCCAGGACTTTATTTCATCATTACTTGGAAATAATTTCCAACATGTACCCACCAGCTTGTAGATTTTTTTGTTTTAACAATTTGTTGGAATGGTAGTACTGTTTTTGTGCCCTCAAGTGAGAGCTGTGCTTTTCTTTTATATCTGTTGTAGGGGAGCTGTGCTTTTTTAATCAATGATAAAAATGATGAGGTGTTTTGCTCTATTGGTTTTGGTATGATAGATGCTTAATTAGGTGAGGCTATAAACATGAGTAACAGACCAAATGCACTTGGATAGATGATCAATGAAAGCAGCAGGTGATGTGTTTTGATTTTAAATAGTTGTAGCCGGAGGTTGGTCCTCAGAGGTTCGCTGGTATACTTTGCCTGGTTGCTGTGCAAGCATGGTCTCGGCCTATGCAAGTTTATAGATCATCTGATTTATCCAAGTCTAAAATTTGCTTCATTGCCTCAAGTTACAACCTATGCTTGCCGGAAGTTCACAGATGTTGATATGCAAAGTAATTTTTCATCCCAACAGGAAAAATAAAATTGGGTTATAGTGTTAAGGGCTGTGGCAAGCCCAGAAATGAATAACTAAAGTAGGTTTGTTTTTTCCATCTCATATTTCTCCTTCAATAAAACTGAATAGGTGAATGGAAGTTGAACAATGATCTGTTAATAGTAAGGAAAACCATTTTTCAATTCTAGAACAAATTGCAGACCACTGCAAGCAGAAATACCGATGAGCCACGGCATCAGTGAGAAAACCCGTGGCACAGAAACCTCAGCGTCATCTTGAAACAGCAGGGCATTCCCCCAGGCTCAACGTCATACCATGCGCTGGTCTGTCAAAGTCGGAACTATGTTGAAAGCATACTAGACAGGCTTCTGCTCTTGTTGTCTCCAATTTAAAGAAGATTATACCATCCTTTCAAGTCATCATAGCATGGTTACACACTGTCACTGAAACAGATGAATGTTATTAATATGGTTCAAAGAATTCCTCCATCATAATATGCTTCCACGTTATAATGATCACAACCTATCCTGGATTTCGACTATGAAAAATCATCCTAACCATTCTCAATATCCAAACTGTAGAGTTTTAATGATTAGAATTTAAAGGTCGCTCCTTGCATCATCTCTTAGGAAATGCTTGTGCCTAATTGCCATGCCAACAAGCCAGTTTCAATTACAAAAAGATGGAAAAGACTCAATATGGCATCAACCTCCAAGCGGTCTACACACCATATAGCAAACTAGCAAGAATTTCAAAATTAAACTCTACTCTGTATTTTATTCAAGCTCAACATAACAGATGCAGTAAAAAAGGACCACATGCCAGAACAAGAAACACCAAAGTGCTACCAAATGCTAGAAAGATCAAGGATAAATAAACAGATTAGTGTGATTCCAACAGATATTAAGCCATTTCACGGGTGCTTTACAGTTCAATATGCATCTAATATATAAGTCTGGACATGTGTGTATCTTATGAAAGTTGGTATCGTTACAGGCTTTAACGGGAAATAAGCAACTGACAATTGAACTTGCAAAAAGCAGACGGTGTGTGTGTGTGTGTGTGTGTGTTGTTTGGGGGTGGGGGGGTGGGGGGGAAAGTAATATAATGTTTTTAACTTACCCAACCTTGCCCTCAACCTCAAGGCTTGCAACATCAGGTTTGATTTCATTGCTTCCATTGCGCAAATCAGAGTAGTTACGATAATTCAGTGAATGCAACCACAGTGCGACAACTCCTTCCTTGTGTTCTGTTGAGGCAATGTGCGTGTAGATAAACTTCATTTTAAAATCCTGTGCCTCCTCTTCATAAGCCTTCATGGACAACTCTTCATGAGTGTCCTTCCACTTCTTATTGTAAGATGAAAAGAAACACTCGTCCAGATAGAGTCCAACCTCAGGAGCCATGGGTACGTTTATGTCCACGTCCCTGAATTCAAATTCAAACATCACCACAGTTTTAGCGAGTAAAGATACAAAATGCAAAAGAAACATTAAAACGAAAATGCAGGGTAGGTTGCGAATGCACAAGAAAGTAACTTACTGCCTAAAAGCTGACTCAATCAATGATTCTGGAGCAATATTCCTCATAATGGCAACCGCAAGACCAATCATTTTTCGTATCTGATGAAGCATGAAGCTCTGCCCAACAACTTCGCACTTGACAAACTCAATACCTTCAACTGTTACAGTAGTGTTCGCTTCAAACGAGATGATGTATCTCTTAGCAGATGGGTCCTCAGCTTTCGTCCTAGTAGTGAAATTATGAAAATTGTGTGTACCCACGTAGTACTTTAAGATTCTATTAAACCTTTCCTTCTCCTCTTCGCCATAGCAGAATTCAGCCTTTTTCAAAACTTCCTCACTTTTTTCAACAGCAGGAGTAATACCATCCTTTAACAACTCCATACTGTCACCATTGCCATTGGCATCAGCAGAGGAATTCTTTACTTCCCCAGCATTTCCATCGTCCAATGAGATGTCCGACTGAACTACACAAACTTCCCCAGCATTTTCTAATTCCCCACTAACTTCTGCATTCCCACTGTTCGACGAAACGCCCGACTGAACAGCACAATCCAAAATGGCCTCACCGCCATTTTTCGATTCAAAGCTACGCTTCCCCATGATTCCAACAACCTTACGTCCTCTTTCGGAACACTCTAAGCACTTAACCAACTCATTTCCAGAACCTAAACTAGCTAAAACACTCTCCCGGTCACGGTGACAGCTAGGATCAAGAGCGAAAACAGGGATCAAATAAACATACCTCCGTTTATCACAGAATTTCTTGGCATTAAACGCCCCGGTCGCGCGCTTGTAGCCGAAAATCCGAATCTGGGGAGGCAGAATCGAATTCAAACGCTCGACTAAACCAGGCGGGTCGATGTAAAACCTGCCAGACACAACTTGGCCGACGGCGCTAACCCCCTTATCGGTCCGGGCAGACCTAGCAAAATCAAATCGCTTAGGACAACCCCGGTCTTGCTCCGGTACGGCTCCGGCGAGAAAAAGGGCTTCTTCAAGGTCACCTTCGATGGTTTTAGCTCCGGGGTTTTTCTGCATCCCTTGGTAGCCCACGCCACAGTAAGCGAAGAACATAGCGATTTTGCGGCGCTTGTATCTGGGTTTTTTCTGGGGCGTGTCGGCATTCCCTTCTTCTTGAGGATTTGAAGACGGGTCGATTTGTTCGTCGTCTGAAGTGGTGGTGGACATTTTGAGCTTCTTGGGGTTGGGCTGGTCTTCTTCTTCGGCCTGTGGAGGAGGAGGGGGAGGCGGGGGCAGGGGATTTGGGGAGGACGGATGAGTTTCAATTTCATTCTCCATTGTTAGCGATCACTAAAAATATCAAGTACAGTTTTTTGTTCGTAGTTTGTAAAGCAAAGATTTTTCAATTGACCTTTTTCGTTAAACCCTAAAAGGAGAGACAGTGTATGCAGTGAAGTCGTGATTTTTGGTGACTCAACTCTTGAAGCCGAAAATGAAGATGGTTAGAGTTGATCAATCACGCCTTCATTTTATGTTATTTTTCCGGAATATAGAATGTGGCTGCTTTTCCTAATTTAAAAATCTAACACAAAAATTATTGGAAATGTATTGAAAATGTAAAAAAGGTGTATTGGAAATGTAAAAGGGTGCATTGTGAATGTAAAAAAATATAACTGGATGGGATAGATATTAATAAAAAATTCTAAAAATATCATCTAAAAAGAAACCAAACAGTTAGCTTTCAGAGCAAATAATCTTTCTCTTTTTTTTTTCCCTCTTTAGTTGCCCTTCCATGAGTCATACACCTCATCTCTTTTTTTTTTTTTCTCTGAGATCATGTATTAGAAGTTTTGGATCGTGATGATCATTGTTTCCATCCCATGGTTGAACTTATTTGGATCAAGTATTGGAGAAAGAATAAGTTCCAAAATTGGTGGAAACCTCACATCTTTACACTTGAGCAAAGCAAACATGCCAAATTAGCGCTAGAAAATGACTTTTATATTGGCATATGATTTTGATGTAGTGTTGTTATAAACAATGATATCTACTAGGGTGCTAATCTAAACAAGTCAACCGATATTGATAAAAGGATTAAAGTTTTTTCCTTCCCCTAACATCCTCCTTCATGATAATATAGTTTAGTATTAGTTTCCATTAGCATGCTTATGGTGATGAAGTGTAGGAAATTCCTTCCACATTTATGGGAGACAAATGTACAATTAGAGATTTCCCTCTAATAATAATGTAAAGTGGGAGTAATTTTACACTTGTACAAATTGTAAAGGGATTACACTTGTAACTTTGCAATTTTACACTTGTAAAATTGGAATGATACAAATTATAAAGGGATTTTAGGATAGTGTAGATGAATCAAACAATTGGTGAGCATTCAATTATTCTCTCCGTTCCATAATTATTGTCCAGTTTGAATTTTCATTTTTAGTTCAAATTGTACTAAAAGTGAAATTTCAAACTGGACAATAATTTTGGGACAGAGAGAGTAATAACTTTCTTTTCAATTTGACTTACCAATCTACAATATGTTAAAATTTTTGGCATTTATCTCTTTCATTGTATTCCATTAAAAAAAAATAAATTCCCTACTTCCAATTAAATTTCAACAATAACACAGGGCAAAGAAATGCATTAAAAACTTGAAATAATTCCCAAAATAATATAAATCGGTAACGGGAAAATACAACGACAAAACGGGGAAAACACAGAGTGGGGGAACGCTGAAATAATTCAGAGACGACTACAACAATCAGAAGAAGGTTCCCGCTCAAAAGACGAAACGCTGAATCTTCTTCTTCCATCAACTAGCTTCCTTCCGCGCCAAACTAAAATCCAACCATGGAATTCTCCTCTTAGTATTTGCCTCCGAACCGATTCAGAATCGTCTCGTGTCCAATCTGACTAATTCATCGTCTCTCCTTCCTAACCGTCAACGCCAATCCCAAATGTTCTCCGAATCTCCCAAGCTGGTACGGCAGCAAGAAAGTGGACTCCCTTTTCTTTATCAGAGGCCACCGAATCTCATATTCCCATCTCCAATTCCAATTTTGCTAAACACCGCATGATTTTTTATTTTTTATTTTTGGTAAAAACCCCATGATTTTTTTTTCTTCAAATTGGGAACTTGTTCGGTGGTCGGTCCAGTTTTATTCTGACTTTCTTCAGTGCTCCCTTTTTCACCTCTTTTGTGGCTGGCAATTTTGTATTTCCAGTTCCCTGAAGAATCCGATCCCATTCCCAATTTCCGTCCTTTTCCTCTGTTTTTACTTGCAGCTGGAATTGGAAACCCCTAAGTTCTCGCTCTATAAATATGCACATGGAAATGGAAGAGTCATGTACCACAAATCACCTGCTATAGGCTGCTCCAAGAACCCATCTTTCTGGTATGTTACTTCTATTGCATCATTTTATCAAAAACGGGATCTTGGAAATTCGTATTGGTTTCATCGTTGATAGTGTTTTGCGAATTGAATTTGTAAAGTTTTATATGTTTTTGTCTTTTTGATAATGTAAATGCCTCTGTAATTGGGAGCTGGAGATTATACTTACTGATCATGATCAGTTTTTGTTGTTTTTTTAAAGATCATCCAGAAAAAAAATATCTTTAGTTGAAGTTCCACTACAAAGCTTACAAGTACCATGATAAGCCTTGAAAATACTGTATGTTCTTTGTACATTGGTGCACGTGTTGATGTTATTATGGTTTTGATGACTTCAATTTACATGCAGGGAAAGTTATTCTTCCTTCTCATTTGATCTAGAATCAAATCTTTCAAGTTTTCAGTTTATCAGATATGGGCTACCTGAGCAACGTAAGCCCTGATCTGTTTCCATCTTCGTTCCATTATTTTCCCCATGAATCTATTATGCTAAGTATATTAGTTTGGATCTTCATGCTTGTCAGTTTTACTATCTGATTTCATCTCGCACCAAAATGCAGGGATGGGATGAAAATGCTCAGCAGATGGATTCTGGTATGGCTTTCTGTTTAGTTTTCTAGTCAATTTTGTTGATTCTGGGATATGTAAGGAATTTATTTGGCTGGTTTAAGTTAAACCAGCCAAATAAATTCCTTACATATCCCGTTTATTGGATGCTTATGGATGTGGAGTGTGGCTTTTGTTTACTGATGTTTTTATTATATATACATGCAGTGGCTGTGCTACGCAATGGGAAAGAGATTTTGTTTCAGGTGATTAATTTATGCTAATTTGAGTTTCTTGAATTCCTATTGTTAGAAATTTGTCCCCTTTGTTCACTGGAAAATTTTCCATTAGCAAAGACTGAGACAGCATCTGTCTAGAACTAAGAAACATCAGGATACAATAATTACCTAAAATCTGACAGATCATTTTAACAGGCCTTCAATTGGGAGTCTCACAAGTATGATTGGTGGAAAAATCTAGAAGAAAAGGTTCCTGATATTGCAAAATCTGGCTTTACATCAGCCTGGTTGCCTCCACCAAGTCAGTCACTTGCACCTGAAGGTATAGAGAAAAGCATTCCAAAAACTTAAATCTGATTTCTTGTTGCTGGAACATCAAAATTTTGTTCTCCTTTCTGAAACAAATTTCTTTTATTGTCTTTTCTGACAGGTTATACTCCACAGAACCTTTACTCTCTGAATTCTGCATATGGTTCTGATTACCTCTTAAAAGCTTTACTCGGTAAGATGAAACAGTACAAAGTTAGATCGATGGCTGATATAGTAATAAATCATCGAGTTGGAACTACCAGAGGACATGGTGGAATGTATAATCGCTACGATGGGATTCCATTACCATGGAATGAACGCGCTGTTACATCTTGCACCGGTGGCCTGGTAAGCGTATTGTAAATATGAACTTTTATTTCTTTGACTTAAGCAAACAAGATATTTGCTTTAATGATTCATTGTCTTCTTAGTTTGCAAGAACTTAATAAGCATGCTTTTTCCTTTTTTGAAATTACAGCTTCCTGTCTTGTCTAAACCATATGTACTTTGCTAGGGTAATAGGAGCACTGGGGCCAACTTTAATGGTTTTCCAAATATTGATCACACTCAAGACTTCGTGCGGAAAGATCTAGTGGGTTGGCTAAGATGGCTTCGATATAATATTGGATTCCAAGATTTCCGTTTCGATTTTGCTAGAGGGTAATGCTATTAGTTCTGAAAGTCAATAGTTGCTTGCCGCTGCTTTCATTGTCTTCATTCCCTTTGGAGCTCATTCTTTGCTGATTGTCTTTATTCTTTGGATGCAGTTACGCGCCAAAATATGTGAAGGAATACATAGAGGGTGCAAGACCTATCTTTTCTGTTGGGGAATATTGGGATTCCTGTAAATACAATGGCTCTTATTTGGATTACAACCAAGGTACCATTATTTCTAAATGGTAACAATTATTTTGTGTCATTTTTCCTTTGACGCATTACTCAAACAGATCTATAATAGGTTCTACACTTATTTTGCATCTGTAATGCAGACAGCCATAGGCAAAGAATCATTAACTGGATTGATGGCACGGGGCAACTTTCAACTGCATTTGATTTTACGACAAAGGGAATTCTGCAGGTATTATTTTAAATATGATTGTAACATTCTGTTGCAATTTTCCAAAGTAACTATAGCCAACGCAAATGTGATTGGATTACATTTCATTCCGTAGCTTAAGAAATTCATTAATCCATTTTGAAATCTATGAACACGGATCAGTAATGATATCATTCCTTAGGTTTGATATCTGCTTAAAAGATTTTCTTTTTCAAACTCAGGCAGCCGTGAAAGGAGAATTTTGGCGCCTGCGCGATGCTCAAGGAAAACCACCTGGTGTAGTGGGATGGTGGCCGTCAAGGGCTGTCACGTTCCTTGATAACCACGACACGGGTTCAACTCAGGTTCTTGACTTAAGGCTTCTTAATACAGTTTTGTGTTTAGCTCAATAGTCTAGTCAGTCTCTAGAGTGGTCATGGTATGTTCTCAGAATCCGTAAGAGTATGTTTAAGAACTCATGACATCTCATTTACTTGTTTCCTATCATGCAGGCTCACTGGCCGTTCCCTGGAAATCACGTTATGGAGGTATTTTATGAGATATTTATAATTACTTTCAGGTTTTCCCTTTTGGCTTCTTAGTATAACTTTTTAGTTTGACATTGTGTAGTACATTTACGACCTATTTGACACGAATGGTGTATTCCAGGGTTATGCCTATATCCTTACTCATCCAGGGATCCCATGTGTATTCTATGACCATTTCTATGACTGGGGCAATGCCTATCATGACGAAATCGTTAAGCTGGTAAGTTGTTACTTGAATTATTTTGTCAAAAATCAAAATACATCTCAGGTCTGAAGTGGGTTATGAATAACAATGGCTCCAAATGCAAATGCAGATGGGAATCCGTCGGTCTCAAGGGATACATAGCAGGTCATCGATACAAATCATCAATGCGGAGCAAAATTTGTATGCTGCAATGATTGGGGATAGAATCTGCATGAAAATAGGCGATGGTTCGTGGTGTCCAGCCGGGAGGGAGTGGACACTGGCAACTAGTGGACACAGATATGCAGTTTGGAAGAAGTGAGTATAATTCCTTCCTTTTAATGACCGAGTTTGAGAGTTTGAAAACATCAGCTCCTCCCCCATCACAATGGAGTATAGGTTGCATTATTTTCTCGTATCCCTGATGTGATAGTGATATAAATATATAATAATATACTCTGTTCGTCTTATTTCAATAGTGCAGTTTTAAGTGAACGATTTAAGTGGGAGGGAGAATATGTAATAGAATTAGCCGTGCTAAACTAAATTAAAATAAACCATGTTAAATAAATGATTTTTTTTTCTTTTCGAGAGATTGAAATGATAATTTAAGCAATTTCTTCATCTTGCTGGATTTGGGCCTTCCATCTGCTTCTAGTCTAATAATCATCATGAGCCTACGTATACGCTTAGTCCTGTAAGCAATTTTGCCAAAGCCCAAACTCTAAAAGATTATCTTCATTTTTTTACTTTTTTTTTTTTCCCGTAAGTGATCTTCGTTCCTTATTATTTCACTCTTCTTTCTTTCTTTCTTTTTTTTTCTTTTTTTTTTTTTTAAAAAAAAACTTGAACTGAGGTAATTTAAGCACAAACAGACTAAGGTCAGTATGTCAGTATGCGACGCTATTTAGTACACAGTACATTACATAATATCATTGTTCAAAATAAGATGAAACGCCTTTATCCGAGTCGAGGGTAACAAGTCTAAAATAAAGATTACCATATACTTAAAAATGAAGTCTAATTGTAATCCAATGAATAAAGGGAGAGCGTTTTGGGAGTCAATCAATAATACTATGAATACAAATTATCTGTTGAAACGAAATGAAGTCCTAATTTTCAATATTTAAACGAAAGAAAAAAGAGATGTTAATTTAGAGGAGAATAAGGAAAGGCAAATCAAGCATCAGAAGGAGAGGTTCGTCATAAGACCTCATGATTTATGGTTTTGAAACGAAACTCCGATTCCATCATCCCCACCACCGCTCCATAATTCTCCCGTACTTCTTAATCTTTACACCACCCCCGGCCCCCTTTTGTTCGTCATCTCCTCCTCCTCCTTTTTTCTAATCACGTGACTCTCAGTGTCTCACTTATTTCAACATTTTTCATAATTTTAATACTGTTTTCGTTCTTTAAACAAAAAAAATAAATACTCTTTCCGTCTAATTTTAATAATCTACTTTATAAAATAATTATCAATACTAGTTACTTAATTCCTCCTCCATCGTGATAGTTAATAGTCTACGTCATGTTTCACCATGTTTGACTCGTTTTGGAAAGTAAATCATGGAATAAATTAAGTCTAGGCTATTATATACGGTTTTGCTTTTCTAAGTTCCTCGTCGACCCCATAGCCGTAGGCAATATAATATGGGGCTATTCTCATCATTCCATTTCCATCCTCTCAAATTGGACTGTTTGACCTCATTCAACGTTCGTAGGTTCATGATATTCATCACCGGGACCTGAAGTCAACTGTAACTATGCACCATTAATTTTTCATTAAGTATATGGTTTGTAGTTTATACCTTATCGCGCCCTCTTAAAAAAAAGGTACTACTTGCATATCATCCAATTTACTAATACTCTCTCAATCCTAAAATTATTATTTAATTTAAATTTTTATTTTTAATTCATATTATATTAAAAGTGAAAATTGACGATAAAAGTGACGGTAACTTAAAGGTATCACATAAATCTCGCAGATAAGATACACTGACCGTTTTGTGCTCTACTCACTGCTTTAAAGTTTGAAAACTTCGTCGTACTTATGTGTCGTCATTCGTAAGATTTTAAGTATATATTGCTACGTAGTGACGAGGATAATGTGTTTTTTAATACGTTACTTTTGAAAAAAAGAACAGGGATTAACAATAATTGCTAGCATTAACAATGTGCATGGGCATGGCAATCTGTACTGGGTATGGTTAATTTATGTCGACGTTTATTGCTGCAAAGCTTATGATGGAGCTGGAGAGGAATTACAATCATTACTGTTGATACGTTGCCATACTGCCACGACCAACACAGCTCTCTCTTCTTTTTTTTTCCCTCACTTTTTTCAACCCCCATGGTAACTAAAAAGTACTCCATGCAGTAATCAATTGATTGAGTTTCAAGACACATGATGAATGAATTAAAACTCCTGGATTCTCATGTCTCCCTCCAGGTTTACCCCATAATATATTTTACGTACATTATTAAAACACTCCTCCCGCTTTTTTTATTGATTACATTTCATTACATATATGTCAAAAATATAACAAAAGGATGTGAACGTACAATACCACAGTAAAAGGTGAAAAAAGGGTTGAACGGCTGTGTCTCTTCAATGCATGGAATTTGATGTTATAATTCAACAAACAAGTTTTTCTTCTTTTTTCCCTTTTCTTTTGGGTTTCGGACATAGAATATAATATTATTAACATTACGAGTAATCTTTATATGTAATATTATTACTACTTCCCAACTATGTTGTTTGGTGTTTGCTTGAGTTGTATACAGTCTAGCTAGAATGTATAAACGGACGGTGATGAAGAATAGAATAAAAAAAATCCGAAGCACTGACATGATGGAGCAATTAGCAAAAGCATCAAAACCTGGAGCTAAATAGCCAGAGGCAGAAGGAAACTATATATAATAGTAGTTAAAAAAAAAAAAAAGGTGGAAGGATCTGAGTGAAAGTTGAATGTATAAATTGAAAAGGTAGAAATGGATGGAAGGAAGGCGAAGCTTTTGAGACAGAGAGCATCTCCCACCTCACCTGCGACCCAAATACCTCACAATCATTACAAAGTTGGCCATATCAAACCTCATCGATATGTGCAGCCACGGTTTGCACTGTACTCTATATTAAGTACTACTACTATTTGATATCGAAGACGTTTTAGGAATTATAAACACTCCCATGTTTTCTAAAAACTTTGATGAGTGGTCTTACTTATGAGATACTATAAATTAATTTAAATTTATACTTTATGACCATGATCAGAGGACATACTCTTCTAAGTCCAAAAAAATAAATTCATCTTAAAACTTAATGTGAATTTTTTTTAAACGGGAGGAGTACATTAATTGTTACTTACTCAATTAACTATTAGTACAATTTTTTGGGTCTACCCTATATATTTGGCAAATGTACTACTACTATCTAATAAATCAAGCTGAAAAGGCATAAAAAAGAAAAAAGAAAAGTTACGAACTTGGGGACCTGATCTTGTCAATGGCGAGAAGGTTTCTTTGAATATACAATATGTATGTTGGTCACTTTAACAGTTGATTATTATTGGTTCCACTAGTTTTGCATGCATGGCTCTACAGAAAACATTTTAAAATTCTAACGTGAAGATATATATTTTATGTCTAAGGCGCGGAAAAGTAATATCCTTGCATTTGCATCTACAAGTTTCAGAAGACAAATACCAATGGAAAAACAATGAACAACAACCCACACCCCAAATCTACTAAAAGGCTTTACTTCAATTTGAAACTATATTTTGGATAATTGAATTCTCAGCTTAGCACCCCAATGATTCAATGATAGCAAAAGGCCAGCCTGACAAGGAAAAGGCCAGAAGTGACAACTGGGTAGGGGATCTGTAATCTGTACCTGGAGTAAGGAGATACTAAATGCATGAGGGTTTTAAGTTTTTTTTTTTTTCAAGGGTCTAGTTATTTTCCTAGAAAATTCATATTCTCCATGTTCGTTATTGTAACAAAGTGAACTATTACACTAGCATAGGAGGAAGAAAAAAAAATGTTTCACAATGAAGTAGCTTGGTAGATGGGGACTACTGTATATGGAGGGGATTCTGAAAATCATTTTCTGTTTGGTAAGTGTTTGAAATAAGTAGTAGGAGTAGAATTTAATGGGTGCGGTTGGGGTGGCAGTTCTAAGGCAATAAATATGATATAAGGGAGGATGGGAATGGAACAACAACATCAATGATACTTACATAAACTTACAGTCTGGAAGTTTTCCAATGGCATTATTGCACTTTAAAAAGAGATTCAAACTTTTTAACATTTCAGGAAGTTTTGCACTGCAAGTTTTTGAAGATGGATGTGGGCTGTTTTTAATACTTAACAAGGATAGGCTGATGGCAACACAAGAAAAAAAAAAAGGATATGGGGAAAAGAGAAATTGGAAGTAATGACTAATGATGTTTCTCACTAGTGAATTCATTTGCTCCACCTGTTTTTTTTTTTTTTTTATACTATGAAATAAAAATTGAAAACTACTGCTAATATATCAGTCTTTCATTTTTTTAAAGTTAAACCAAATAGAAGATTAATACTCCAGCTATTCCAAAATTATTATTCAGATTGTATTTTTATTTTTATTATAAATTAACTAGAAGATTCAGAATCCTTGTAAAATCAGTTTGCGCTTCACTATTTCGTTAAACCAATTTGTGTATCATTATTTCATTAACAAAATCATTAACTTTTAATCAAGAGAAAGTCTTCAATAGTAAATGGTAATAGTAGGTCAAAGTTGATCGGGGGATGGAGTATGGACTGCTGGACTACAATAGTGTGTTGGTAATGGGCGTGATGAGTGCGACATATCACTCGGCAAAAGGGTAGATTTCTTCTCTCTCTGTGGAATTCGTAAAAAAGAGAAGAAAATTCGATGATATGAAATGAAACAACTCAACCAAAGCAAGAGAGAAGATAGCTAGCTGGTTGCTGGGTGCACCATAATTTATTGTACTTAGTAATTAATTCTCAATACGTAGGATTTTGACCTACTGCACATTTCAACCTGTTCCCATATTGAAAGAAAAAAAAAAAAAAAAACCATCTTGCTTTTCTTTCTTAATCGAAAGTCAAAACTTTATAGGAACAATTTTACTGTGTTATCATTCAATATTTTCAAACTTTTCAACTCCAACATATATGGTGGATTAAATGTATAGACCTAGGATGCCAATTTTGGTGGAGGGTGAGCGTCCCCCACCATTAAGATTTAAGGGGTAGTAGTGCATGGTGGAGGCACGCTACTAATTAACTGTCAATAACCTCAAGAATGCATTAACATTCAACCATATAATATAATGAACAGAGTTTAAAACCTGATCTCCATTGTTTGACTTCAATGGTAAAAAGTGTTTTTTTTAGAGTTAACAGTAAAGTTTTTGAGGGTTTAATACTTTAATCTTTTTTCGATAGCTTTTATCCAATCTCTCATCTTAATCTGACTTTTGTTTTTATGTTGCGCTTTGTTTATGACTAACACATAATGTGTGTGGTCTAATTTTAATTCTCATAATTATGAACGAAATTCCAAATGGTCATCATTTTCGTTTAGAAAAAAGAAAAAAGAAAGTGTACGTCCAATCCATCTTTACTGCTGATTTACAAGACCCTTCATCATCATCAATTGGTTGAATATTTACAAAGGATTCGTTACGTTTTCATATTCTTTTTTCCAGTTTGTTTAAAAGATGTTTATACGGTTCTTTTTTCACATGAATTAGCAAAACACGAGATATCCCCCAAAGGCCGGTAAGGCTGAGGGGAGGGCTGACTAAAACCGACCCCTTTTTTCTGGTTCTTTTTTTCCCCACAAATTAACTTTATTTTTTAACCTTTTACTGATTGTGCACACGAGAGAAGTGAGAAGAGAAAGAGAGTATGTGCAATTTTTCATCAGAATCGAGGAAGCGAAGAAGAGAGCCTTCCAAAATTCTTTCTTCCCATACATTTTCTCCATTGAGGCTGAAAAACAGGCAAAAAGAAAGAAGAAAAAGTAAAGAGTCACGGTGATGAGTTTTTAGTATTGAGGGTTTTTGTTTTTTATTTTTATTTTTTATTTTTCGTTCATCAGACACGAGGAATTGAAGTTATATAGTCCTCCCTATGATGATTCTTGATTTCTTTCAAGTTTTCAATTCAACCCTTCATTTTTCATTTTATTTTCCTTCTTTAAAAAAAAAAAAAAACCCCTTCAAAGGGAAGAAAGAGAAGAAGAAGAAGGATCTATTTGCATATATGAACATATGATCCATCATTCCTATCAGTTTTCAATTCAACCCTTCATTTTTCATTTTATTTTCCTTCTTTAAAATAAAATAAAAAAAACCCTTCAAAGGGAAGAAAGAGAAGAAGAAGAAGGATCTATTTGCATATATGAACATATGATCCATCATTCCTATCCCATCTGATCCATCCCTCTTTTAATTATGTACAGCTTCTTCTTCTGATCAACTTGTTTTTTTTTTTTTTACTACTTTTCTGTATATACTCTTTCCTTATTTATTGTACTCAAAAAAAAAATTTCAAGCTCCTTTCAAACATCTTAAATACTGCCCAACTGCCTCCTGCGTTCTTCCAAAAAAAAATCATCTTTCAAAGCTGAGAAACCCTTTTGTCCCCCCACGGCCACCACTTTCACTCACCACAGCTGGCTCAGCCCGCCTCTCTGTGTGTGTTTTACCTTTCTTTTGTTCATATGTTCAAAACAAAAGTCTATATATGTTTATGTATCTGTAAATTATTCCCTCCTCCTTTGGGGGGTCAAAAGTTCAGCTGGTGTTTGTTGAACAGAAATAGTCATGGCGGTTTTGCAAAGGGTTTCATAACAGAGTTTATTGGCATTCTGTCCACCTCCCAAGCCCCTTTAAACTAAGATGAAAAACAAACGAAAAAAAAAAAATGAAAAGGCAAAGGGAGAAAAAGGAGAAGTCTTTGGAGGTGGGCATACTGCCAACTGAGCTCTGTTGGTTTCTCTTTGTTAAATCCTCTTGATGTAAACAAAAAATCAATCCGATATTCATTTCATCGTGGCGGAAGTATTGGGTTTTCTCTCATATCCAGCTAGCTAGCTAACTGTATATGTTCTTTGTTTGATCAAATCCCGGCCAGGTATTTGAAGATATAGCTTTTATATATAGTCCATTTGTGAAAAGTTTCAGTTTTTTTTTATCTAACTAGTGATCTATACATGCTTTGTGCCTTGGTTCTTGTAGTTCCAGAAACTTCTCAGGAATACTTGGGAGGATTTGATCTCTCAAGTCCTACTACTACTGAAGATACAAGTTTTATAAGCTAGGTTCACTTTTTGCAAGTCTTCTTCCTCCAAAATACAAGGTTGTGGATGATACTATGTTCACTCATCTTCTTCCCCTTGTACTAATCTGTCTATATTGTTCCCAAGGCTCGGAACAATCTTTTTCAGTGTGAGATCCAGACGGTAATCAGCTTTCTTATACTTTCCCTATTGAACAAATCTTTAAAAAGCGTTGGTTTTTCGTTAACTACCTTCATGTTTCATGTGAATCATGTAATCTTTATAGAGACCCTATACAAACATCAAAATGTCATTGCCTCATTTCTTTTCTTTTTTTCTGTTTTTTTCTTATTTGGTAATCTCATTGCCTCATTTCTACAAGTTGCATAAAGCTATGGTCTTGTACAATGCAATTGCCTCGTTCATCATTAAATCTTGCATTAGTGCCTATTGGTGTAGTTATCTAGATTCTTTTGGAGGGTGTTTTTGGGGGGTTCACAATGCTGCAAACATTGTATTAGCAATAGAGATGTAGGGGAGGGGCTAGGGATGTGGCTGCGGGCATTTGACAGCTTGCAGCCGGATTTTCTTTGAAGAGCCACCCCTTACTACGCTCTCCAATGTGTCTTTGGTTGTAAGCTCATGATTGAAAGGTCTGACATTTACCACTAAATTCTCGAAAGTTTGCTGTTGCTGAAAAGATGGTTGAATGTTGTTTTCTCAGTGGGGGGTTGAAATTGTGATTTTACATTTTTTTTTTGTTACTTTTACTTTTCTCACTTCTTTCTTCAGATTTTTTTTTTCCTTTTCTATAAAGAGACCGTACATGTATCTTTGCAGCCTGATCGATGATCATTTGCATTGTGCACATGAAATTAATTAGTTGGTATTCTGTGTGAAACTACATTGTTGATGATGGTTTAATTGTACTGTTTTCTTTCTTACTATTATTTCTCTCTGTGTGTACCGCGTTATTAACAGTCATGTTGGAACAGCGAGAGTGTTGGTTTTTGCTTCATTTATTAGCCTTTTAATTATTGCATGTTTGGATGTTTTCCATATATCTTTATCTTGTGAATTTCATTTTCGAAAAAAAAAAAATCTTGTGAATTTGCAAGTGTGTATGTCCTAAAGTTCAACTCACTGATCTGGATCCTAGGATGGTTTCTGTTCATTTCCTATTGAATGGACTTGATGGTGATTCATGCTGTTTGTGCAGTTATGCAATGTGGTTTACTAAATATGACATTGTCACTTGTTAATTTCATCTTGGAATGCCTGTTTTTCACAATTTTTCTACTTTCAATTTTGTACTCTCCCTTCCAACCGGCGGGGGGGGGGGTGTTCAAAGTTGATAAGAGTGCATGTGTTCTTGTAATTCAGAAAGTTTCGGTAGAATGTTTTAAGTAATGTAGAAGATACTATATATACTCTATATATATAGCTGTTGACGCCCAAATGAACTTTTTCCCTTGAAATTAGACAAAGATAACATGAGATTTACCTTTTCCTTTGAAATTTGTAGGGAGATTTGTGGTAGTGATGATTAGGGTGCTAATCTAGGATTCTTTAAATTAGCGGGGCATAAAACGACCGCAAGTTCTATTTTTCATCCTTCCCTTTGTTCTTGTAATCTGTGATTAAAAAGGGAGTCAACGTTGAAAGTAGGGAGACACAAATGCTTGCATGTTAATGCAATCAATGATTTTTTAAGTTCTTTCCAGAGATTATTACAAAGAGTTGAAAATTGTAGGAATGAGAAAGCAGTCTGGAGAGAAATGATGCTTGTATATTTGCCTCTCCTGATGCTGAAACAGTAAATCCCAACAGGCCTAAATCATCGTTTCGGTGCCTTTATCGAATCTACTGTGTTTCACCTAGGAGCGTGGGTTTTTTTACTACCGTATTCCTTTCTCTTTTTTACTATGTTAATTATTGTGTAATGCTTTCTGTTACCAAGTAATGCAACAATGTTCGAAATCTTTCATAATTGCAATTGTCATTGCTCCACATTGAAAATTACTGTTGAGATTTTCCCGGTGACTTTTTTTTTTCTACGAGTGAATAAGATGTTTGAGAATGAAGATTCTAGAGAAATGTATTGGATATCATCATATTTTGTACGAGCGAGGCAATTTGGGAATGAAGATTATGCTCTTTTGTTATACAAAAAGAGGCCTACCACCGTAAGGCTACTCACACTACCACATTCGGGGAGTGTACACCTATAACACAATTTTACACAATTTATAATCTATGGAGGCAACACTACAAAGGCTTTGAGATTAACTCTCTTCATTGTTCATATATATTTGGATTTAGCAATTGAAGGCAAACTTAATATAAAAGATTACTCCTTACAACGTACTCTCTTTCCCGAAAGATAGTTGTCATTGAATTCAATTTTGAACTAAAATTAGTATAAATTTTAAAATTCAATATAGATTATTTTCTTTGGACAGAGGTAGTATATATTTAAACAATCCCAATTCAAAACTTCACATTATAAATCGGACCTGAGTAAGCACTGATTTGGGATACTTCTACATTTATTGGTGGTTCCTACCTATGAATTGTTTGTAGGGAACCTTAGTATATTTCGTGTAGAGAGATACATTTTCATGGTATATGTGTCTTTATTATGTATAATACTTCTATCTTATAGTGAAAAAAAAAACCCAGTAATTTTGAAAATAAAGAAGTGAAAATGTTCTTAGATGGATTACGATTAATAGATCATAGCTGACTGCATTAATCATGGTGCCTTAACAACAGAAATGGCTTAATCTTGATTACCTCACTAGCTAGTTGATTAAGAAGTTTAACTGAATCTAATTCTGAGAGACTTAAAAATGTCAACTATTTCTAACTCTCCCTCAGGTTTGTGAGTTAAAGTGCCCGAAGCATAGGAGGGCAGGATGTCGCAGGTTTCTTTAATGAATCGGCAAAAGAATTACCCCGGAGCACTGAGACTGGAACACGACGATGATCCTGAAAGTTAAAAGCACTTGTCAACTCTTTGTGGCGCCCGATTTGGAGGTTAGCAGACATTGATTCTTCTTCTGCAGCTCGTAGTTTTGTAGCATCATCTATGTACAGAAGATCTTCGATCCTGCCCATCATGTTACTAGCTAAGCTCTCTATCACCCTTGAATAGCCCTCTAGGATTGCTTGTCCCACATCCTGCTCATATTAAGTTTTAGAGCTTGTTAGTTTTAGTTTAGATGACACATTGAAGCAGATAGGGTTTATAGATCCATGGACTGAGTTGTGTTGTTTCTTCAGCAAACCTTGTTGAATCAAACCAATGCTTACCATCTAACCCTTAATCATTTGAAGTACTTAATCTTTAGCATTTTACCTTGTTAAACTGTATCTTAGTCTTGTCTAATGTGGTTTGTGGGAGGCCAGGGAATTGAAACTTCAAGTTCCTCAACAGTGTTTCAGCTCGCCGGGCTAAGACTCTGGACTTCTCACCCTCATCAATGCCCTTAAGTGATCCACTCCAAAGCGATCTTCCAGTTCTTTTGTTGCTGAAGTACTCCTCTTTGTTGTGGTACTTCTGCCTCCAACACTGTATGGCAGCCTCAAGTTTATTGGCAATTTCCAAAGTTGAATGTTCTGATGATGTGTCTAAATTATCAACAAGATCTTCGGTAGGGAGCTGGCTAGCTGTTACATGACGATTAAGCGTCTCTCCTAAACAAGCCTTCACTCTCTGCAACAAAGGAAAAATATATTTAGCCATGTAGAATGTATAGCAGAAAGAAATTACCTTGCCTGAAAATTGAGCATTTTACCTTAGGCAAGTTATCCAGATAAACTTGTGGCACTTCCATCTCTGATAACACAGCATTGTTGATTGCCAAAGCAGCTCCGTAGACATGATTTGTGCACTTCCAGCACTGTTCCAAATGCTTCCTTCCTTTTCGTGACAAACCATTCTTGGGTACTCTTGGAAATGGCAACCACCACTTCTTTTCTAGCCTAATTGTTGAAGACCTTCTTTGATGATCAGGCGGATAGCGAGACTGTATCCTCGCTGCGATATATTCTCCATCCTTAACGGCAACCTCTCTATCAACATAATAAAATTCTCTATCACCAAATCCATCCAAGATGCTGATCAGCATTGCGTCTAATCTTTTCAGCACCGGGAGATTCAGCGACAAATCCGGACGTGATTTAGGGACCATAACTTCCACAGTCTTACCAGCATTTCCAGGGATTTCTTGCACTGATGGAACAAGCTCCACAACAAAATCACACACGCAGAGAAGCCATTCCATCTCACGAGCCCACGTTGATTTTTTCGAGAGCGGTAAGGGCTCCAATTTCCAGAGCTCCCCAAAAACAGTGGCTGTTCATCATGATGAAATTCATTCAATTAATGTTAAGAAGAGTTTCTGGTAGTAAGTACTTCAGTATAAATGTCTGATTAAATGAGTAAGCCACATGAACTGACCAGCTAGATTTGTAATGGCATTGGATATTGCTAGAGCTGTACATACTCCATTCCCTCCACCCGACATGTCTTCTCCCAGCAATAGCTTTGCAAAACGCTGTTTCATCAGTTCAACTTCTGCACCTCAACAAATCACAACAAAAATTACCAACTAAAATTGCAAAACTCACCTAAAATAACATATTATACGCTATTTTATTTGAACTAAAATTAGATAATAATTTTGAGACGGAGGGAGTAAAAAAAAACCGGTGCCTTTTAAACTCAAATAACCAAAAGGCCGATAAAGGTGTATTGATGAGAAGTAAAAGGTACAGTTATAGTGTGTCCTAGCTAGTAGTAATTAAGTTTGCATTAATAACGTTATCTGCAATTACCAGTACTATGTATCAGTGTGACATTTATTAAAAAGAGCAAAACTAATCCACAAACTGAGTACGTTTAGTTGGGGAAAAGTAGCGTATAGTTATAGTTTTGAAGCAATGGTTGTTAAGGTCTGTTGGCGTTATTTAATTTGTAGTATATTCTTACTGTTGGGGGAGTATCAGGGCATCAGGTGGAAGATGATGTTTGACCCTACAGTAATGAATAAGGTTTATGCAACTTGTTCTTCTTAATTAATTAAAGTAGACACTCCAACAACCAATCGAATATCCCTATCAACATTTTGATTTTTCCGGTTGGTCCAATTAATAATTGGTAATCAATCACAAGAAGATTCATCATAGTGCACTCTTCAAATGAGACGATCTCATTAATTTTATGTATAGAGTGACACTAAATTCCTCCCAAAAGTTTGTTTTATGAGTGATAGAGATGAAATTTATTATATTTACATTTGGTTTTCTTAAATATGAGTATTCAATTTTTTTTTCCTGTCTAAAGAACATTCATCTTCAAGTTTGACAGAAATGTCACCTTCTTAAAAAGTTGAAAGAAGAAAAAAGACATGAGGATGGGCAGTCTTATAAATTAGTTTGCCTTTCTTTTGTTTCTCCATTTTCTGCTTTCACTTTTTTAGGACATTAAAGCTACGTAAAAAAATTCATATATACTTTTTTACGTATAAAAACCATAGTCACATTGTGGAGTATTTTAAAACCTGTATAAGTATTATGAAATGCAAAACTAAATGATGATAAATCTACTCCATCGACTTATATTTAATTTAATCCACAAACCCAAAAAAAAAAAAACAAAAACAAAAAAGAACTCTGCATTATGCGTATCCTGCACGAAGAGAGTATGTTTATTTCGTTCATTGTGTACTCGTTTTTTTTTTTTTTTCTTCAGACGAATTAAGTGAATATTGTGTGTAATAATTTAGTACAGTATATATTTCAAAAGGCTACTTTATTTTTTAGAATAAAGATGAAACACTAATCGCATAATAATTTTATCAATTTTCGGAAAAGAAAGGCAAACATAAAGCATTATTATATCGCAGGGGACAAAAGTCTAAAAAGATAATAACCATAATGACACGTAAAAAAGGCCTCACCGGTGGTTATTTCCGGCGGGTTCTTCGCCACCGGCTTCTTATCAACCGGAATGACAACGTGTCTGTCACCAACGACCGGTAGCATCAGAGTAGGCCTCGCGTCGTCCGCCAGAGTCTCACCACAATGGAAATCCAGAAGTAATTCATCCGAGGACGATGGTTGACGACGAGAGCCGGAGGAATTAGAAGAGGAGCAACAACTCGTCCCCTCGGATTCGCTGACGTCAGCGCTCAGGCTGTAAAAACCGTCGACGAAATGATCTCCGTACTCGCCGGCTTCCTCCTCGCTGCTGATGCTGCTGCGGCGGCGGCGCTGATCAAAGTCGTGGTCCTCCGCCGAAGAGTGTGAAACCAGGGAAAAAGTACCAGAGGAGGAGTTCTGCTGGTTAATAATAATAGTATCATCAGGATTTAGGGAAGCCATTGTTGATATGTAAAAGATGGGGAAAGAAGAAGGGTTACATGTGTTATGTGTTAGTGTGTGAGTGTGTGTTAGCCCACGTCTTCTTCAACGGCTCAATGTGAAAAAGGGGGAAATGAATTGGATGAAATTAACGATCGAACAAAGCAAAAAAGAAGCCAAAGCATTTCAAAAGGCAGTGGCGCTACGTATGCTGTCTCTAAATCGTGTATAGTTTGTGCATGAAGGCCCCACTTTCACATGTCTTGTTCACCTCTCCTCCTTTTTCGGCTTCACTACGTTTCTTCTGTTTTATGAGTTTGCCTTTTCTTCATACTTTGTAAGCTTTTTTTTTTTTTTTTCCCCCTTAAGATACATATCATTATGATTGTTTATTTGTGTGTACGGAAGCTGTTTCCTTAAGATACGAGATAGAAGAAACCGTTGGTAAACGTATCAATGGGATATGTTTTAGAAGTCACCCTAATATTAGTTTTGGTTAAGTGGGCTAATACGTTCAGAATATAACACCTAGAAACCAAATATTAGTCACAGAATATTTTTAATTTAATTTTTGTGAGACTTTAACCTTCCTTTTGTACCCCCAAAAAGGAAATATTTCACTTTAACGACATAGAAATATATGTGTAATAGGTGTATCTCTTTGGCTTCTAGTAGCATAACTATTACTGTTTAAGAAAAAAATAGTCCATATTTTAAATTGTCATGAATGATGGTATCATTTACAATTTTCAATATAAACCATTTCTAAGTGATTGAGAAAATACAACAATTACTCTACCATGTTTCCAAATTTCCTTTGTACTTTTTCCTAATATTTTTATCTTTTCCAAACAATTACATACAACCGTAAATATTAAAAATCACTTTGTAAGGGTTAATGCAGGATTGTGATGGAAGATGGATGGGTGATTTTACAACGAATGTAGGTTTCCGTATGATTGTGGGAGGGATCTTTTTCAGGTCTTGACGGCATTGTGGAATATCAGCGGTAAGAAGTTACGGACCAAAATTAATAATAAAAATATTTCAGTGATAGTAAAAGGGGGTCAAAATTAATAATAAAAGTATTTCAGTAATAGTAAAAGGGGAAGATGAGATTTTTGGGATGAATGCTGACATACTTCATGTGGGATTTGAGAGCTTCTGAAGAGAGAATGGATAATGGAGGTTGATCATATATACCATGAAGCCAATTTTACGGCAGATTTTATGGCTTCGTTAGTGGCTAAAGGTCCAGGAGGTTTGCAATGTTTCCAGACTCCGCCTTTGTGGGTTAAACTATGGTTGCAACACAGTGTAATAAGGACTTCATACCCTAGAAATGTTATATTATATGCGTTAGGCTCCTTCTTATGTCAAAAAAAATAAAATAAATAAAAATCACTTTGCACAATCTAGACGACTACGGCTGGGCTAGTTCTGTTATAATTTCAGGCCCAATCACGTTAACATTCAAGGCCTGAACTATATAGTAGTAAGCCAGGCTAAGTCCCAGAATTTGGCCCAATTGATGGGTTGATCTCAATAATGAAAACAATAAGGTAATTGGTAAAAATGAGTTTGTTTTCCTTCCTTTGTCTTTTGAAAAGATTAATAAAATTGAAACTATAAACAGTATAAGGTGGTTATACATTTCTTATATCTGACGATTGGAGGATCAAGACTGACGATCTACTTGTAAAAAGCATGCACTAGCTATTTTTTTCTCTTTTCTCTCTCTCGCCACTGTGGGCGAAAACACCGCCACTATGCGCAATTGTCTTCGATTCTTTCGGCCTCTCCGAGTGCCCGTGATGACAAGAAACACGAAACAAAGGGAGAAAGGAGTAATAGGAGATCAACGAAGAAAGCAAGATGAAGAACAGAATCAGCAATTGGGGAGTTCGCAAGCAGATCTGAAATCGAGAGAAGCAAACCCTAGATCGAAAGGTGTATCTTCAATTGGTAAGATGTCCTCAAATCCTCTGAATTTGTTGAGCAATTGAGTAAGAATAGGATTGTAGAAATTGGGGAGAGCTCTGAAACGGGTAATCTAGGGCAAAGGAATTTGGTTATGGAAATTGGGGAAAATGAAGCTAATAATGTCTGCAAAAATTTTGATCCGAAGAATCTGTTAGGAGAAGAGAAGAAGTTGGAATTCATTGAACCAAATGTGATTACTAGTCGAAAAGTAGCAAAGGTCACCACTGATGAAGTGAAAGAAGCAATAGAATACTGGAAACCTTCACTCATTTGCTATATCTCAGGGGCTAATCCTCCATTTCAGGTGGTAAACGGTTTCCTAAGGAGGAAATGGGGAAAGCTAGGCATTGACAAGGTTTTATTGCTTGAAAATGGTGTTTATGTGATACGGTTTAATACTGTAACTGCTAAAGAAGAAGTGCTGCAACAGAGAGTACCTCTGAGATACTGGAGTGGGAAAATACTGAGTAAGATGATCAGTATTATAGGTAGGCCTATAGAGATGGACGACATGACTGTGCAACAACTCAGGACAGGATATGCTAGAGTCATGGTGGAGATGGAAATTAAAGAGGAAATGCCAAGTGAATTATGGTATGAAAACGAGAATGGACAGTTGAGAGAACAAAAGATAAAATACGAATGGAAGCCGGTGAAGTGCAAGACGTGTAAAGGGTATGGACATGAAACAGCACAATGTAGGACCCCTGTTATAATAGAAAGGCAGTAGAAAGGTACTTCTGTTATGAGAAATAATGAGAAGGTGATGGAAAGCAATAGAATAGAAATGCTTGGACTGATGAAAAGTTGTCAAGTACAGTTAAAGGGAAAGAAAGCTTAGCAGAGGGAAGCAATGCATGAAAATCAAAAGAGCCTAATTCAGCACAGCAGAGGCAGAAGCAGAAGGGAGAAAGTATAAAGCAGGATGAAATACTGAAAACTAATCAGAAAGGGGTAAAGGTGACAGAAGGAAGGACCAGTGATAAAATAAAGTCGATAAACGGAATATGTCATAGTGAAGCTAGTAGCCTGAAAGGGACCAGTCACCGTGAGTAATCTGTTAAGTTGGAATATAAGGGGACTTAATAGTCCCCTGAAATACAGAGAGGTAGCTAATAGCCTCTCTGTTAATAATGTTGGATTAGTGGGATTACTGGAAACGAAACTTACAGAAGAAAAGGTGATAGAACTAATGACAAGGAAGTGGAGTCAATTCGAATATGTCAACAATCACAGGGGGATGGAAAAAGGTAGAATTAGTAATGTGGATAAAAGGCAGATATAGAGTGATACCAGTTCAGATTACAGAAATAATGGATACATTGCAAAGTAGAGGATTTGGATAGAAGGCAAGCATTTCAATTAACAATTGTGTATGCAGAAAACCAATCAGCTGGTAGGAAGAAGCTGTGGGATGGATTAACAGTTTTAGCAAATACAATTCAAGATGCCTGGTTAATTATCGGGGATTTTAATTGTATCTTGAAACCAGCGGATAAAAAGGGAGGAATTGATGGTATAAGTCCAGACATAGAGATGTTTAAGGAAATGATCATAAATTGTGAACTAAATGAAATGCCAACACATAGATCAAAGTTCACCTGGACAAATAAATAGACTGGAGGGAATCGAATCATGTCAAGGCTTGATCGGGTACTGGTCAATGAACAATGGATACAAGAGTTTGAAGAGGCATACACAACAGTATTATCAGAAGGGGTTTCTGATCACACTCCTCTGGTGGTTAAGTGGGGCACTGAAGTGATACAAGGCAAAAGAAGTTTCAAATTTTTTAATATGTGGGCCCTGTATAAAGAGTATGAACAAAAGGTAGCTCAAAGTTGAGAAGAGGAAGTACGGGGCAGCAAGCAGTACTCATTAGTTAAGAAGCAAAAGTGACTGAAAAGTGTATTAAAGGAGCTCAACAGGAAAAATTTTGACAGTATAAAATATCAAGCACAGGAGGCACAATAGGAAATGGAACGAGTGCAGCAAGAACTGGTAAAGGACCCTCAAAATATAGATTTGCAGAATCTAGAAAGAGAAGTGGTGCAGACACACATCCTCAAAAGCAAAGCTGCCATGAGCTTACGGACTCAGAAGTTAAAGGTTCAATGGATTCAAGAGAGTGACTTGAATACCAGGTACTTTCATAACTCTCTCAAACAGAAAAGTATGAGAAATAGAATTTGTTCTTTTTAGGATATGAATGGTACTCTAGTAGAACAGTGGGATAGAGTAGAAAAACATTTTGTTGAATATTTTGAAAATTTGCTTGGGAAGGGACAAACTAGGAAACCAGCCAGAAGTGACGTCTTTGATTCAGGGTTTAAACTGAATGTATATCATCAGACACTCCTGATTAAAGATTTCACCAAAGCTGAGGTTAAGAAAGCCATGTTTAGTATAGATGAAAACAAAAGTCCGGATCCTGATGGGTATGGTAGCGGGTTTTATAAGAGAACTTGGGATATAGTGGGGGAAGATGTTTGTGAGGCTATTTTAGAATTTTCCAAAACAGGGAAGATGTTAAAACAAATAAATACCACCATTATATCCTTAATCCCTGAGAATGATAGGCCAACGAATGCAGCAGAATACCGTCCCATTTCTTGTTGTAATTCTCTATATAAATGTATAACGGAAATGCTATGTAATAGACTAAGTCAAGTGCTGCCAGACTTAATTGATCCAAGTCAGGGGGCTTTCATGAAGCAGAAGCAAATAATTCATAATGTACTATTGATTCAGGAGCTAATCAGGTTATATGATCGGAATAATACCAAGCCCGGCTGTGTAATGAAAATTGATCTCCGAAAAGCTTTTGATTCAGTACATTGGAATTTTGTCGAAGAAATGCTGATTAGTTATGGTTTTCCTATGAGATTTGTATGTTGGGTGATGAGCTGTGTGAAAACATTCTTTTATAGTCTGAACTTGAATGGTAGTATTACTGGCTTTTTTTCTAGGAAAAAGAGGATTACGCCATGGTGATCCACTGTCTCCCCTTCTGTTTGTATTAGTCATGGAGTATTTGACCAGGGTTTTAAAAATTGAAAGCCGGGATGAAAAATTTCATTTCCACCCGCACTGTAAGAAGCTAGGCTTAACAAGCTTAAGTTTTGCTGATGACCTAGTTATTTTGTGTGGGGCTGAAAAGACCACAGTTGAACGAATAAAGCATAGTTTAAATTATTTTGAAGAAGTTACTGGGCTGGCAGTTAATATTCAAAAGTCTAGCTTGTATTTTAGTAAATGTGGAGAAACAGTCAAGATGGAAATTCAAGAAACAATGGGGTTTAGAGTTGAAAAAGTTTCCGATGAAATATTTGGGAGTGGCTCTTACTCCAATTGCATGGTCTCAGAAAGATTGTCAGATGATGGCTGAGAAAATTACAGCTAAATTAAAATGTTGGACTTCTCGTAATCTGTTATATGCGGGTAGAACCCTGTTGGTCAACACTGTTCTGTTAAATCTACGCAGTTACTGAGTTGGCATGTTTATCATTCCATTCAAGGTGATTTAACAGATCATCAGCAGGTGTAAAGATTTTATATGGGGGAGCAAAGAATCTGGGAGGAAAGTAGCTTTGGTAGCCTGGGAAGACTTGTGCTGTAAAAAAGCAGAAGGTGGCGCAAATCTTAAAGAACCAAGGGTTTGGAACAAATCCCTGGTTGGAAAGTAAGTTTGGGACGTAACAAAAAGGAAGGAAAACCTTTGGATTCAATGGGTATACACGTATTATATAAAAGGAAAAGAATTCTGGAAATATGAAGCGCCTCAAAACAGCAGTTGGCATTGGAAAAGGATTGTGCAAATAAAAGAAGAGCTAGAAGGAGGTGTAATCAATGGGTTGTGGCAGCAAAACCAGAAACAGCAATATACTACTAACAGTGGCTATGAATGGTTCATTGGTATCAAGGAGAAGAAAAGGGAGACAAAAATCATTTGGAACTCTTAATGTATTCCAAAGTTGAGCTTCATCTGCTGGCTTGCTTGGAAGAATCGACTCCTAACAAAAGACAAGCTGAGGAAATTGGGTCTTCTACAGGCTGATCAGACTTGCACTGTGTGGAAGAGCAGATAAGACATCAGACCACTTATTCTTTGAATGTGAATTTGCCTCAAAGCCATTAGAAGCACTTATGCAATGGCTGGGAATAACAATGAATTGCAGGAAGTTGAAGAATAGTACTACCAGATTGCTCAGACGGTGGAGATTCCAAGCAGTCAAGCAGAGACTATTATATATTTACCATTGTAGCATGTGTATATCATATTTGGCGAGAAAGGAATGATAGGATTTTTGGTGCAACAAAGATGACAGCTAGCCAAAGAATTGAGATTGTAAAGCAGGAAATAGTATGGTTTGTACAGATACATTGTCGGAAGGGTAGTAACGACGACATTCGATACTTATCACCACTTGGTATAGAGACCAAATTTTGAAATAGCAGAAGTTAAGTGTTTTGTACAGTGATGGTTTTGGAATGAATGAAAATTTACATGTTACCAAAAAAAAAAAAACTGACGATTTATATACAGCATCGAAAATCAAATTTTCAATTATCTACTTGCTAACATAATAATAACATATCACATATTATTTCCCTAAAAAAGGGTAGAAAACTTGTTTAATGCTAGTCTCAAATATTCCTGTTTTTTATATTTATAATAAAGGGTAAATTACAGTACCTAATTAAAATGTAAAGCGCCAATTGAGATTTTTTTTTTCTCCGTATACCAAAAAAATAAAGTAAACATTTACGGAATTAAGTCAAAAATATTCGATGGACCTCACATCGTACTATCATCTTTTAGCTTCCCAGAATGATTTGCACTTTTTATCTTTATTAAGCTTCCCACAATGATTTTGGGACAGAATCTGTTCAAGAACATCGTATGATTCGAATCAGGAATTGAAACTAAAGTAGAAAAAACAATGTGTACCAAAATCCGAATCAAAAGAAAATATAGTATGATAAAAAAAAATGAATGACGACATGAACTACAAAACATGGCAACATATTTTTCCCGCGTCCAAAAAAGAAATCCCAATCTTCTCAATCCCAGGCATCGAAATAATCTCCACTCTGTTTAAAACCCAAACTTAAAAAAGCCCAAGAAAAAAAAATGTTGTTGTCATCAGCCTCCCATCATCACCACCTCACCACCCACCTTCCTAATTTTATTCGTATTGGAATTTGCATCCGCTTTGTTTCTTCCTCTACTGGTTTTTCTTCCCCTTATAAAATTCAATCTCCTCGTTGCTTCTCCTTCAAACAAAACCTTGTTCACAGCAACGCCAAGAATCCCTTTTGCGTGTTTTCCACCAGAGCAATAATGGGTTCCCTCTCTGTTCTTGACGAGCCTTTGAAGTACCCAACAGCAAGGCGGGACGATTCTGTGGTTGATAATTATCATGGGGTTCTGGTGCCTGATCCATACAGATGGTAATTTCTGGTTAAAAAAATCTTATCTTTACTTTTGTTTATTTGTTTATAGGTTGTGATTTAAAGACTTTTTTTAAGGCTCGAGGACCCGGATTCTGAGGAGACGAAGGAGTTTGTGGAGAAGCAAGTCCAATTAACTGATTCTGTGCTTAAGAAATGCGATACTAGGGAAAAGCTTCGCGAAAAGATTACGGAGTTGTATGATTTTCCTCGTTATGACGCTCCTTTTAGGGCTGCCAATAAGTATTTTTACTTCCATAACACGGGTCTTCAACCCCAGAGTGTTCTCTATGTTCAGGTTGGTTAATTGTTTCTTTCAGGATTATTATGCTTCCATTATCCCCCAATTGAGTAAAGTTTTGTTTTTCTTTTTATTCTGTTTGATGAATAGTTGGCTTTTTAGATGTAATGCAGCCATAGCATCTTTCTTATTTGTGCTTCTTATTGCCTCTTTTGGGAGCTTGATTAGTTGGGAATGTAGGTATCTCTAATTTGACTTGAATAGCTGGTGGGACATAATGACATTGTGTTCTTCAGGATGGCTTAGATGGGGAGCCAGAGGTGTTGCTTGATCCAAATGGGCTGAGTGAGGATGGTACTGTGGCGTTGAGTACATATTCTGTCAGTGAGGATGCAAAATACTTGGCATATGCAATCAGTTCCAGTGGAAGTGACTGGGTCACCGTTAAAGTCATGCGGATCGAAGATAAACACGTGGAGCCCGATACTGTATCATGGGTAAGAATTTGAGTTCGCATTGACTTGTTTCAGTGTTTTGATTGGTGGTTAATTCAGTAGTAATAGTCTTGCGTATTGATAGTCATCAAATTTGTTCAATCCAGGTGAAGTTTTCTAGTATCAGTTGGACCCATGACAGTAAAGGCTTTTTCTACAGTCGGTATCCAACACCCAAGTAAGTTCAAGATTCTTGTGAATTAATGCCAATGTTAAACTGCCAGTAAGTTCTAGATTGTATGAATGGTTGCATTTTATTATTGATGTGGAACATTGCCACGAGTTATCATTTTGAACTGGGCTTTAGATTGATGAAAATACTGATGAACATGATACATGTGAAAAGTGGATATAAGGAATCTGAATGTACATGCCGAGGTTGCATTGTTTTTATGAAGACAACCATAATGAATTTCAAAGGCTTAATGTCTGTTTCTTAATTAAGAATTAATAGTGTCACTACTTTAATTATATGCTCCTGTTGTGGTTTCAAGGGAGGGAGATAACTTGGATGCTGGGACTGAGACCAATGCTAACTTACATCACGAGCTATATTATCATTTCTTGGGGACTGATCAGTCTGAAGATCTTTTATGTTGGAATGATCCTGACAATCCGAAGCATACACGAGGTGCTTCTGTAACCGAAGATGGGAAGGTATATTAGACAGTCTTTTCTGATTCTGATAATCACTGCATGTATTACTTTTTTAGCCATAGCAGTGCAAATTGATTTTAATTGGTGTAGGATGTTCAGCCACAGCTGTGCCATTTAGTTGATCCATTGATCACCATTCTTCTTATAGCTTTTTATGTAACTGGTGTAGATCTTTGACATTTTGTGCATCTGAATCATCGTGATTCTTTCTATTTTCCTTGCATGACTTGACTCTTTGTAAGTTATGGCAGCGGAGGTGTTAACTTATTCATGCTCTTGTGTCTTATTTGCAGTATGTTCTCCAATATATCCACGAGAACTGTGATCCAGTGAATAAACTGTATTATTGTGATTTATCTGCCCTGCCTGATGGGCTTGAAGGTTATAGAGGGAAGAACAGTCTTCTTCCCTTTGTAAAGCTTGTTGATAGTTTTGAGGCTTCTTATGAATGTGTTGCCAATGATGGTTCCGTTTTTACCTTTCGGACTAACAAAGATGCTCCAAGATACAAGCTTGTCAGAGTTGACTCAAATGAACCGACTTCTTGGACAGAAGTCCTGCCAGAATCTGAGAAGGATGTGCTTGAAACAGCAGTTTCTGTGAGTGGAAATCAACTTATAGTGAGCTACTTAAGAGATGTAAAAAATGTTCTGCAGTTGAGGGATTTGAAAACAGGAGCTCTTCTTCATGACATACCGTTTGATATAGGGACGGTGTCTGACATTTCCTCTCGACGAAAAGACAGCACCATCTTTATTAAGTTTACCAGCTTTCTAGTCCCTGGAATTATTTATCAATGCAACTTAGATTCCCAGGTCCCGGAAATGAAAATTTTCAGAGAAATCATAGTTCCTGGCTTTGATCGAACTCAATTCAAAGTGGATCAGGCAAGTTTGTCGGCTTTGAATTTTAGTTAGCTTCTCTTATGATTGACTTTTTTTTCCCCTCTAATGATAAGGTCTTTTAAATGCAGGTTTTCGTTCCTAGTAAAGATGGTACTCTTATCCCTATGTTTGTGGTGTCTAAAAAGGATATAACCTTGGATGGATCACACCCTTGTTTATTATACAGCTATGGCGGTTTTAATATTAGTCTTACGCCGTATTTCAGTGTTGCTCGTATTGTGATCGCAAAACATCTGGGTGCTGTATTTTGTATTGCGAATATTCGTGGAGGTGGTGAGTACGGAGAAGAATGGCATAAAGATGGAGCCCTTGGAAAAAAGCAGAACTGTTTTGATGACTTCATTTCTTGTGCTGAGTATGTTATATCTGCTGGTTACACACAACCTGCAAAGTTGTGCATTGAAGGTGGAAGTAATGGTGGCCTTTTAATTGGGGCTTGCATCAATCAGGTGTATATCTTACCTTTAGCATCCCGTTTGAGGGTTGATTCATTATTTTTTTATTTTTCTGTTTTATTTGTTGTTTGCTTTTATTTTATTTTATTTTTTGATTTCTGAAACTACCTGGTTGCAGAGACCTGATCTTTTTGGTTGTGCTCTTGCCCATGTTGGTGTGATGGACATGCTTAGATTTCATAAGTTCACTATAGGTGAGAAAAAGTCTTTTGTTAATGATTGCTTGACCTGTAGAGTTATCTGATTTTAAATATGTAACATTTGGTTTTGGGGCTTTTATCTTATTTTATGCAGGCCATGCATGGACCTCTGATTATGGTTGTTCTGAGAAAGAAGAAGAATTCCATTGGCTTTTCAAGTGAGTTAGTCTGATGATTTTAAACTTGTGGACACTGATAATTAGCATTGGGTTTTGATTTTTTGTTGGTTAACTAAAATGAAACATGTTCATTCCTGCCATGCACGTGCTAGACACGGACAGTTAGATGAAATAAGCAATTCAATTCACATCTGAGCACATATATTGTGCTCCTTACTTTTTGGCATATGGAAAAGCTGTTATTCCTCAATGAATTTCTTTTCAATTCTCAGAGGTAATTCTGTGAAGCACTTTTAGCTGTAATTCATCTAATTTTAACTTCAATTCTCTAGGTACTCTCCACTTCACAATGTCAGGAGACCATGGGAACAATCTTCTGATAAGTCCTGTCAGTATCCCTCTACAATGCTGTTGACAGCTGACCACGATGACCGGGTTGTGCCATTGCACTCGCTGAAACTTTTGGCGGTGCGTCCTACAGAAATTGCTACTGATCTTCTATTCTACTTGTTCTCCTTTTTACAATTTCACAATTTTAATGATATTACCATGTATGGTTTCCATTTCAAACTAACACAAAGATGAACAGAGTTAGTTGTTGACGTAAACTATTGAGATTATACTGGACTGTATCTCTAGGTTGTGACTGAGCTTGTACTTTGTTTTCTAGTTTCTGCCATATAACTGAAAGCTGTTTCTCCTTTCCTTTGTAGACCTTGCAATATGTTCTGTGCACAAGCTTAGAGAACAGCCCCCAAACCAACCCAATAATCGGTCGCATAGACACCAAGGCGGGGCATGGAGCTGGTCGACCAACAAAGAAAATGGTATATCATAAACATTCTAGTTCTTACTTTCCGATGTATGGCCTGATAGATTCTTTTCCATAGAGATATTGACCCTATTCTGCCTTTCGGACAGATTGATTCGGCTGCAGATACATTTAGTTTCATGGCAAAGGTTGTAGGTGCATCCTGGGTGGATTAGTTGGTTGATGCTCTAGAAGAATCCCAATTCCACCGAAAGTGGAATATGGTATTAATTTTCATCAATGTTGTATCTAGACCATTTATTAGGTTTGTTTGCATGAAGCCATAAAAACTTAATGGTCATTTTAGTTATGATTTTCTGCAAATTATCAAAAGCATGGCAGAAATATGAGAGGAAAGTGAATTTGTAGCAGTTTCAGTTATAAATACAATCGGAAGTTTCATACAATGCCCAGAACTGTTTGTATTGGCAGTACCTTTTTTTGTTTCCATTTTGTACAGCGTTTACGAATACAGTGTTAACTTCATAGTTCATACCATGAAATGATCTTCTTTCATGGAAGAAGATACTCCCTTTTCATTTCAGGGGTTTATTCATTACGGACTAATTTATGAGAATATCTCTTTGGGATACTGTAGTTTGTTTCACCTTAAACTAGGATTCAAGGGGTGGAATGCTAAGCTCGTATCTGAAGAAATTTGTGGGATCAACAGCAGCCTTGTCTCGAGCCAACCTATAGAAATTGTTCTTGAAATACTTAAATCCCCAAGCACTATCTTCAAAGCTGATATTCTCTTCCTCATTAAATCCCAAATCCAAATCTCTATAATTATAGTAAGCAAGTCTGGGAGATTTAGACACAAATGAAGCCATATATTCATAAGCCTCTCTAATCCAGTCAATGTGATTATGAGAATCTGCATTTTCCTCTGCATCCCAAGACACCAGATACTGTATTTGGAACAAGTTTCCAGCTCTATGCGGGAATGGAATTTCAGACTCGGAAATCTCAGCCATTCTTCCACCATAAGGGGCGAAGATCAGCTGAGGTCTTGGAGCTGGAGAAGCCATAAATCTTTTCCACAACCCTTCAAATGCAGCCTCAGGAATGGGCTCAATGACATAGTCAGATTTTGCCTTGTAATAATCGTTGGGATAAGGAGTTGTTCTGGCCAAATCCTTCACAGTTGATCCACTTGGAAGGTCAGAGAAATAAAGTGCAGATTCAATCCATGTCATCTCTTTGCAATCACTCCTTTTCAATCCTAACTCAGGGAAGCTTTCTTTCATCACTAACAAAAGCTTGTCAGCCCTTCCAAGGAAAATGGAATTGAACTTGATTTCCACTGTGGTTTTCCCGTTTTTCGTTGTCCCCGGATCTACTCGGATTCTGATGAACAAATCCCTATTCAATTTTGGGGCAATGGTTTGCCAGAGATGAACAAGTTTAGTGGCATTTTGTTCTAGAGTTTTGTTCACTGTAAAAACAGTGACTACAGAAGGAACATGGACCAAACTGATCTTGTATGCAAGAATTACACCAAAACTGGCTCCTCCACCACCTCTAATAGCCCAGAACAAATCTTCTCTCATTGATTTCCTGTCAAGAATTTCACCATTTGCATTGACAACTTTAGCATCAATAATATGGTCAGCTGCTATGCCATATTTCCTTGACAATGTGCCTTCCCCTCCTGCACTTAAATGTCCACCAACCCCAACAGTAGGACAAAGACCAGCTGGAAACCCAAGATTTTGGCTTTTTTGGGAAATTTTGTAGTAAAGTTGTCCAAGAGTACCACCCCCTTCAACCCAAGCTGTCTTTGCCTTTGTGTTGATGGAAATTGATCTCAGTTTCTTCAAATCAATAAGAACAAAAGGGCTGTTCTTGTAGTAGGAAATTGATGACAAACCTTCATAATCATGGCCTCCACCTCTAGTTCTAACTCGCATTTTGTTAACTTTCGCACAAGTAACCACTGATTGAACCTGAAGGTAATTTATTGGGGTGACTATAACCAAAGGCTTCTGCTCAAGAGGTGATCTGAGCCTGAGGTTCTGAACTGATGACAGAAAGATGGAATTGTAAGAAGAATCATTTGGTGTAAAGACGAGTTTGGTATTGCTTTGATGATAATCATGAAGACATTGAAGAAACCTTTCCTCCTGGCTTCCACTTTCAGCCCAAATGTTTCTCCAGGAAACAGAGGAAAAGAACAGAAAGCAGTAACAAAGAAAATAAGAGGTCGGAAAATTAACATTTGAAGTCCTCATTTTTCTTTTTCCTTGCATGGTTTGGAGAGTTTAAGCATGGTCTATTTATAGTTTTAGAGTCGCTTTCTTAAACGTTCCAGTCTTTTTGTATCCTTCCAAATTTCTGGTCAAGATTTGATTGAACTGTTTAAGGACAGGAGCAGTGGATGGATTTCAGTAATGGATTATGGAGAGTTTGGTTTTATTTCTTTTCTTGCTGCCGCATTATTGCGTATACGTTATTTATTATTATTTGTTTTTTCTGTGAGAAAGAAATTCATCTGGCATGAAACATGAAGCAATTACAGAATCGTAACACGCGTAAACTTCAAGGACATGTTGAATGACAAGTTTGACAGCAACTGAGGAGGCAGAAACACAGTATTTATCACTGCATTTGGAAGTATTGTTGCTGATTCAAATAATTTCTGCTAACTTGTAGGTGTTAATTTCTTTCCTTTCCACAACTAAAGGCACGTGTTGAAATTGAGGTTCATGCAAATGTTCTTGGTTGAAATTAAGGTATCAATTCTGAATCCAGAGTACTTCTGCCATTAATCACTTGGGCAGCTGAGTAGGGAGATTTTTCTTTAGAAGCTATTTCTTGTGTTCTACTCCCTCCGGTCCTTAATATAAGACATTTTGATTCGTCCTATGTTTCACCTAATATGTATTTTTAATTGACAGAAAAATCTTAAAAATATATTTTCACATTCCTAATATTTTCTTGATTGTTATGAAATATTTTTAAGATTTTTTTGTCAATTAGAAATGCGTACTAGGTGAAACCTAGGACAAATCAAAATGTCTTATATTAAGGACCAGAGCAGTGCTATTTGACTTACTACACCAAGTAGTAATAGAATAGACAAATAGTAAGCAACCTTTTGTATTTGACACTAGATAGGAGTTTTAAGAGTGAAGAACTTAAAGACGGAAAATGCTTATATGCAAGAGGAGATTGATTGAAACATCTTCCTAAAATGAAAGCCTATACAGATGCCAGATGCCAAAAGAATAACTCTCCACTTCCCAGTTCAGTAATCCAAGATCAAATTCAGCCACCAAAAGTTCAGTAAACTGTCATAATGGGGAACTATGAAACAGGAGAAGTGCTGCTAGCTAGTTTAATTTAATCTGTACATATGCAGAGAGTGTGGAAGTTTAGTGAATCTCAGGAATTGACATTAGGATACTGAATCTGGTACATGACCTCTGATCTCATCGAATCCGAACATCAAATTCCCAAATTAAGCAGGATTTTGGAATTTTGGAGTCATAAGATATGATACTGTTTACAACAAAATGAGGACTAGATCAGAAAAGAAATAGCCAAATAGGGCCTCTGCTTTCATTGTCTCATAATCAAATGTTGGTTCAGGGATTTGGCCTGAATCAAAGAGCTTTGATGACAAGAATATCGGTTCCAGTTCCATCAAAATGGAAGGGTAACTGCATGGAAGGCCCTGATTTCACTTCAGCCAACTGTAACAGGTACTCAATCAACATTTTTTGTTTTTTTCAAAAAAAGTTAACTTAAGCTTCTAGGCTGTTTCATCAAAATTATACTCAATTAATTGGCTTCTCAGTTAATACTGTAATGCCCTGCCCCCCCCTCCCCCCCAAGAGCAGGCCAAAATGTAAACCAAAATAGCTGGAAAAGAGATTCTCTGTGATCATATTTTAGTTTAATCCGAAATAAACAAGACGAATAACAACCACGAGGGGCCTTGATCCACGTAAAAGTATTCATTCTTTACTTATTTATCAATAATATCCTGTCAGCTTCTTCCTGTTCAAATAATTCATCCTCTAAGCTTTCTTAATAATCTTATAATCTTTCCTCCTGAAAAGGCAGTAGAGGCTTTGATAAAGTGATTATTAAAGATGTTTAAAAGTATTTCCATATGCATTCAAGTGCGTACCAACTACAAATATCCTTCTTCTTTTTTACACTCCATATTTGACTATAGTTTTCTACTTGGCCTATTTCCTTAAAGCAGAGAATCTTAAACTCTTCCATGCATCCATATTTCAATTAATTTATTCAACGTCTCACATGCATGATTACTTACTTTTTGATTTGAAAAGATTAGACGTTTAGGTTCTTGATGCTTATATAAGCATCGATAGGAATGTCGGTCCATGCACTCCAAAAGCTACTGATTAGGCAAAGTACAGAGTTTTGGTTCAGTCATAATATGAATAATTTTTCTGTTTTCCTCTGTTTGGTTTCAGTAGCTTTAGTAGTAAAAGATGCAGCAGCTCAAGCACAAAACGATGGCGTATACATCGTGTATACCGGAGCAGCTGCATCTTCATCAACTGGTTTTGGCCCAGACCATATACTGAGTTCCTCCTTCCTGGAAAGGTCAGATTAATCAACAAGAACCGAACTAATCCAGGCACTTTATTTATTTATTTATTTATTTGTTGTTGATATTATGGCCTTTTTTTGTTGTTGTTGTTGTGTTGACATGCTTTATTTCTGTCTCAGTAAGAGAGATAGAGTCATACACACCTACAAGAAAAGTTTCTCAGGATTTGCAGCAAGATTATCAGAAGAGGAGGCCAGATCCATTGCACAAAGGCCTGAAGTTGTATCAGTTTTCCCGGATCCAATCTTGCAACTCCATACTACCCGTTCGTGGGATTTCTTGAATGCACAAAGTAAAGTATTCAAACCACCAACTCACCAAACTGGGAGTGGGAATTCAAAATCTCACTCTCCAAGTGGTGAAGATACCATAATTGGCATCGTTGATACAGGGATTTGGCCTGAAGCAAAGAGTTTTAGTGATGAAGGTTTGGGTCCAATTCCCAAGCGATGGAAGGGAACTTGCTCCAATGGACCTGATTTTAGCTCTGCTTTGTGTAACAGGTATTATATATATCTAATCAGAACTCCTGAAAGTCGCATGCCTTCATATTACAAGCAGAATTAGGTTTACTTAATCCATTGCAACTTACCAAATATGGCGTTGATCACTTGCATCAGGAAGTTGATTGGCGCAAATAATTACGTCTTGGATGATAACTTCTCTTCACCGAGGGACCGGGTTGGTCACGGCACTCATGTTGCCGGGATTGCAGCTGGGAGAGTAGTCCAGGGGGCATCCTACAATGGCCTGGCTAACGGCACGGCCAGGGGTGGGTCTCCGGGGTCTAGAATTGCCGTATATCGGGCTTGTGGTCCTCAGGGCTGTCCAGGATCCAGCATTTTAAAAGCAATGGACGATGCAATAGCCGATGGGGTTGATGTCTTGTCTTTATCAATTGGTTTAAGCCCTCTTATTAATTTCTCAACCGACCCAACTGCGATTGGTGCATTTCATGCCATTGAAAAAGATGTTATTGTAGTATGCGCCTCAGGGAACGATGGACCTAAGCCGAGTTCGGTCTTAAATCCAGCTCCCTGGATTTTAACAGTAGGCGCCACCACCATAGACAGGTTTTTTGAATCCGATGTTGTTTTGGGCGGAAACAGAGTGATCAAGGTAATTGAAGTAACATTATTTCGAAGTTGAATTCGTATCTGTTTATATCTACAAAACAGCACTATTTTAAGTAAAAAATGGTGATTGAGGAGGATCCATGTTTCGAAAAACAGGGAGGAGGTGTTCATTTTGCAGAGCATCTCCGAAAAACTCCAGTCTATCCCTTGATTAGAGGCATCTCGGCTAGGACTCGTGAAACTACTAAACATAACGCAAGGTACTCAGAAGGGCACATTTCTCCTCTTCTTCAAAAGCAGTTGGCTGCTTTTTACTGTCAAGAAGCAACCTGATCCCTGTGGGCATGCATTTGTTTCAGTAATTGTTTTCCAGGTTCATTAGATAGGAAAAAAGTCGAAGGGAAGATTGTTCTTTGTGAATCTAATGATGAGGAACAGCATCGACGAAGAGATCGGGTTGCAGAAGTAATGAGCCGAGGTGGAATCGGAATGATATACGTTAATCAGTACGGACAATTGGTAGGCTCAGTTTACAGTGCTTTTCCGGTGGTTCTTGTCACCACAGAGGATGGCAAAAAGATCCGGTCATATATCAAATCAAACAGGTAGGAGTTATGATCCTTAAATTAATCAATGTAAAAACTATACAAAATTTGAAGATCTCATTTTTTCTCTTTTGCCAAAATTCAAGGCATACGGTGGCTACAATCTTACCAACAGAAGTTGTATCAAAACACAAGCCAGCTCCATCTGTAGCATACATCTCCGGGAGAGGCCCTATATACGATAACGATTATTTGATCAAGGTAAAACCAATAGTATCTCTGTATTTCGTTCTTCGTATGTCAAAAATGTAATGCCATTAACATATGAAACGGTATACTTTGTCATGGTTACAGCCTGATGTTGCCGCTCCAGGAGTTGACATTCTATCAACCTGGCCTTCCAATGCCACAAATGAAGCCTTCTTCTTACAATCAGGTACTTCAATGGCCTGCCCCCATGTCAGCGGAATCGCGGCGCTAGTCAAATCCCATTATCCTTCTTGGAGTCACTCTGCAATCAAATCAGCTATTATGACCACGGGTTAGTAGTTTTAAAGATGTCATCATACCACTCTCTTTCACTTGGAACGTGATCTCAAATTTTACCACCTGTGTTTTTGACCTTCATATCTTAACAGCAATCCAGACCAACAATTTGAAAGCACCAATCACAAATCATTTAGGGAATCCAGCCACACCAGATGAATATGGTGCTGGGGAAGCAACATTGTTTGGTCCATTGCAACCAGGACTAGTTTACGAAACCGAAATTTCTGATTATTTACTATTTCTCTGCAACATGGGGTACGATGTTGACCAGATAAAACTCATCCCAAAACATCTTCCAGCTAACTTTTCCTGCCCAAGTGATGCCAAGGAAGACTTGATCTCCAACATGAACTACCCATCAATTGCTATTGCTCGTTTCAATGACTCCAAAAGGAAAAAGGTTAAAAGGACTGTGACAAATGTCGGCAGCGAAGAAGAATCCGTTTACATAGCAAGCGTAGAAATGAGCACTGACGACTTGAAAGTCCAAGTGAATCCTACGAAGTTGCATTTTACGAAGAAGAAGAAGAAGCTGAGCTATGAAGTGACTTTCAAACACCAGAATTCGTCTTCATCATTAAGTGGATTGGCATATGGATCAATCACCTGGACCAACGAAAAATATACAGTTCGCATTCCTTTCGTTGTAAGAGAGTAGTGACAGAGACAGTCAATTAACAACATGTATAAGATGTTATACATGTCGAAGTTTCTTGATTCTCAATTTGCTATAAAAAAAAAAAAAAAAAAAGACCCTGTATGAATTCAGCAATCTTATTGCGATAATAACAACAAATTTCAGGGTTTCTTTATCCTTAGTTCTTCAATTAAAGCTTGGAGGTAGCAAGCTTGATTAGGTCCTTCCTAAGGATTTTGCCTGAAGGATTCTTAGGAATTGAGGACACGAATTCCACCCGCCGTATCCGCTTATAAGGAGCAACCTGCATACAACAAGGACATGGAAAGATTTTAGATCAAGTTCCAGTACAACTTTTACAGTCTGAAAACATCTGAATTTTGTCTGTTCGGGCAGCTCTAAATTAGAGATTCCTAAGTTCACCTGCTTCTTGATGAAGTCCATAATCGCAGAAGCTGAAATTGTACTACCAGTGGTTCTTACAACATAAGCCATAGGGAACTGACCAACTTCCTTGTCAGGAAACCTGAAGAGTATGAATTAATAAGTAACAATGTACCGATTCTGCCAGAATCATTCTGGGTTCAATAAGATGCAAGAAACTGAGGTAACATGCTTACGGAATTACAGCGGCATCGGTTATATCTGGGTGACCAAGTAACAAGGCTTCAAGTTCAGCTGGAGCAACCTTCAAAAAAAAAAAAAAGAGGACACAAATTGATTATATGAAAGTTACAGATATTCTTAACCAATTAATGAAACAGAAACACAATAATTGATCGACACATAATTGAAATGAGTACAATTTCGCAAAGTTTGGCTTCAATGCGATGTGTTTGTTCAAGTTAGCTGTGAAGATAGATTGTCACGATGATCGCAATTTATAATCAACCTGATAGCCTTTGTATTTGATGAGTTCCTTAAGCCTGTCGACGATGAAAAGGAAACCATCATCATCTATATAACACAAATCTCCCGTTCTTAACCATCCTTCTGAAGTTAGAGTTGATGCTGTTGCTTCTTCATTCCCCAAATAACCTGCACCAATCTCATCCATCCATATCTCACACCCATCATCCTCGTATCAATGTATAAGCCAATCAGAATTCAGAACCTACTAATTTTATTTGTTTCTCTGCTAACGTGCAAAATGTGGACAATCCATCCGACCCAAAAAAAAAAAAAAAATATATATATATATATATATATATATCCGACCCCAAAGAACAAACGTGGACTAACCTTTCATGATAGTGGGTCCTCTGATCCACAGTTCACCGGTCTGATTCACTCCAAGTGCCTTCCCGCTTTCCGGGTCAACGACCTTCGCTTCAATCCCCGGCGACAGAAGCCCAGCCGTGCCGTACCTCCGGCTCTCCTCCATGGTGTCCGTGGAAGACCCAGCGCCGTTTGACTCCGTCAACGCGTACCCTTGCATGATTGTCACGCCGGGAAACTTCTCGGCGAACCCCTCAACCGTGTCCCAACTCATCGGGGCCCCGCCGCATAAAACCGTCCTCAAGCTCCTGACGTCGTATTTCGCCTTGATCTCGTCGGCCTTGTTGATCATTCCGATCAAAATCGGCGGCACCAGTGGCAAATACGTGGCCTTATACTTCTCCACGGCCCAAAGCATCTCGTCCATGTCGAATTTAGACAGGACCACCACGGTGGACCCAATCGTTCCTGACCCGAATCTCTCTTCTTCCTCATCATGCTCTTCAGGTCTCCAATGATTCTCAAGTTGGGTTTACTCGAAACCGGATTTTCCACATTGTCGCTGGCCATCAGGACGACACGAGATCGCCGGAGATGGCTTGGGCAAGCTTTGGGAGGAGCTCCGGGACGGTGAAGGCTAGGACGGGTCTGGATTCGGATAGTTGTTTGGATATTTCGCCGCCGGTGTTGAGTGGGTTAGTGGTGGTCATGATAGCCCCGAGGGAAAGAACGGATTGGCAAACTACCGGGAAGAGAATGGAGTTTGGGGAGAGGATGAGCACCACGTGACCTTTCCGGATGCCCATTTTGTGTAGACAATAGCTGACCGAGTCAACGGCTTTCCAGAACTGGGAGAAAGTAAGTTGGCGGCCGGTGGCGGCGTCGATGAATGCAACTTTACCACTGTGAGGACGGGATGAAATGAAAGTTGTCAAGTCCAGAGAAGGGTTATGGGGAAGTGCGACCCCCGGCCGCTTGCTGTAGAAAGTAGAGTTTGATTTGCAGAATCCACTTCTTGGGTCGATCGCCGGCTGATGTTGGGAATCACCGGATTCATCCATTGCCGCCGGTATTTTTTTGATTAGTGATTTTGTGAATTTGGGGTGGTTGTTTATTATGCGGTGTATTTGGTAAATTTGATTGCTGATACGATCAGGTGAGTTATAGATATTCTTAACCAACTAATGAAACGGAAACACAATAATGGATCAACTCATAATTGAAATTGAGTACAATTTGGCAAAGTTTGGCTTCAATGTGAAGTGTTTGTTCAAGTTAGGTGTGAAGCTAGAGATTATCCCGAATGATCGCAATTTATAATCAACCAAGATTAAAAAAAATCACCTGATAGCCTTTGTATTTGATGATTTCCTTGAGCCTATCCACGATAAACAGGAAACCATCTTCATCAATGTAGCAAACATCCCCTGTTCTTAGCCATCCATCTGAACTCAGAGTTGATGCAGTTGCTTCTTCATTTCTGAAATAACCTGCATCCCACCATTTTATTATAATACCACTCATATTCCTTTAAATTAATCTATTTTTAACTCCTACATTACTGGGGCAATGAGTTGGACAGCACCCACGTGACAACAGATAATGTCTGTCACTTCTGTCTCTGTCTCTGCAGTGGCCAACTAACCTTTCATGATGGTAGGCCCTCTAAGCCAGAGCTCTCCGGATTGATTCACCGTCAGCACCTTCATACTTTCCGGGTCGACGATCCTCGCCTCCAGGCTCGGAGACAGAAGCCCGGCGGCGCCGTACTTTCTGCTCTCCTTCATCGTGTCCGTCGACGCCCCGGCACCGTTTGATTCTGTCATCGCATACCCCTGCATGATTGTCACTCCCGGAAACTTCTCCACGAACCCCTCGATCACATCCTTACTCAGCGGAGCGCCGCCGCAGAGGACGGTCCTCAGGCTGGAGAGATCGTACTTCCCCTGTATCTCATCTGCCCTGTTAATCAGACTGATTAAAATCGGCGGCACCAGCGGCAAATACGTTGCCCTGTATTTCTCCACCGCCCGGAGCATTTCGTCCAGGTCGAATTTGGATAAAACCACCACCGTCGAGCCCAATGCCAGGAGGCCCATGGCGAAAACTTCCATGCCGTAGATGTGAAACATCGGAACAGTAGCCACGTAAATCTCTTGCTCATTAGGATTCGATCTCAAACGCACCTCCATCATCTGGATAAAAGCTATGAAATTTGCATGCGATGAAATCACGCCTTTGCTAACGCCGGTAGTCCCGGACGAGTACAGTAGAGATGCGGTGTCGGTTTGGGACACCCGGTCTCTGACCCGAATTTCTCCGGGTTGCTTCTTCATCATGTCGTTCAGGTGGCCAATGATTCTCAAGTTGGGAGGATGAGTAATGGTATTATAAATCGTTGAATTGTCATCCATCAGGATGACCTGGAGGAGGCCATCGACGGCGGCGGCGAGCTTGGGGAGGAGGTTCCGGTTGGTGAATGCGAGAACGGGTTTGGATTCGGATACTTGTTTGGAGATTTCGGGGGAGGTGTTAAGTGGGTTGGTGGTGGTGATGACGGCGCCGAGGGAGATAACGGAGAGGCAAACGACGGGGAAGAAGATGGAATTCGGGGAGAGGATGAGAACCACGTCACCTTTTCGGATGCCAATGTCGTCGTGAAGACAGGAGCTGAGGGAGTCAACGGCTTCCCAGAAGTGGGAGAACGTGAGTTGGCGGCCGGTGGCGGCGTCGATGAATGCGAGTTTTCCATGGTGAGGAAGGGAGGAGATGAAAGTGGTTAAATCTAGAGAGTGGTGGTGGGGAATCTGGATGGGAGGGCGCTTGCTGTAGAATGTGGAGTTGGATTTGCAGAACCCACTTCTTGGGTCGATTATTGTATCTCCTGATTTCGCCATGAATTTCACACAAGAACAAAAGATCCAAAGCTACTCTAGTTCAGATGGCCGGGTGCCAAATTTGCATTACCTCAGTCTCCAAAAATGATTATTCAATATTTCAAATTTATGTTAAAACTCAAAACATGTTGAAATGGACATATTACATTCAGACTACTTTGTTATACTAGTATTTGGTCACATGTCCTGCAACAATGATTGATTAGTAATGATGATGATGGCAGAAAGTCCCGTCCCACCTGTCGTCTTGTGATCAGAAGGTTGTGTAGAGCATTGTATGTTTATATTTATTTTTTTTTTCTTTTTTGGTATTTTTGGTAAATGGTAAATAAATATATTGCATTAAAAAAAAAAAAACCAACATCACAAAAATTTACAACGGAACATTCCCAAATGATGATTGTGGGATGCGATGATCATTATATAATATAGAAATCACATAATGATTGTGGGAAACGTCAAAGGACGATGAATTATAAAAGTCAAATTACTAAATCTTTCTTTTTTCTTTCATATTATTCTTTTTTTTTTATTCACATAGTATATTTTTTCTGTGCCAAAAAATAATATAAATCTCAAAAATTCAATGTGAATTTTGTTACAATGAAACGGAGGTAGTATATTAGCACATTTATGCATAACGACTTCCCTACTAATCTTAAGAAATCAGATTCAGAAGTAGGATAAGTCAACGTCGACTCTGGATCTACTATCTAGTACTTATTGGATACTGAAAAGTGAAAACTAGCAACTAGAGAACATATACATATATATAATTCCCCAAGACTGTATATACAAATACAGAAACAAAGATGTTTCGTTCCAAATACAGTAGCTTGCTTTTGGGAGAGTCGTCGTAGCTTGTTTCCACTTTCAACAAGGACCACAACCAGTGCGGCGGTTCCAGAAACCAGATCCATATTCGTCGCAGTCATATTCGATTCTTGCGGATTGTTTTTTTAAACAAAATTTCTGAGGGAGTTTTGAGAGATGAACAGAAATATACATAAATAAATCATGTACTGATACAATGTGACACTGTGACCATGTTGGTACTTCGTACGTACGTAAAATCACATGTAAGAATGTACGACAAATTTTTGTAAATTCGCAGTGCCTTAATTTCCTTCTGATCACCTGACCGTTCCAATATACTGTCACCACTCTCTTTAAGTGACATACCCCAAAAAAAAAAAAAAATTAAAAAATTAGGACAATCCAAAAAGAAAATAACAAAGACATGAAACAGAAAACATATAAAAAAACACAACAAAAGATTTACGTGAATGGATCCATGGACTTACTTCTACGGGTAAATTTTATTATGACCAGCCAAAACACAAATACCGAAAATACCTAGTGAAACCTAAATTACTGCAAAGGTAAGAGTGAATATGACAACAGAGAAAAGAGAATAAAACTGTGGAAATGTTCTTCAAGAAATTAACTGAAAGTATTTGGTGGTGATATATAATTAATAATAATTAAAACATGCAGAAAAGAAGATAGAAATTTGGTGTGCCTTCTGATTTCGTACTTAAATAGGCAAAACTCACATACGAATTGTAGAGAATAAGAAAAGCAATTCTTCAACAAAGGCTGCACCCATGCATCTAACAATAATGGTGCTCAACTAAAAAAAAATGATGGTGCAAAACAGCAGAAATCCTAGGTCAACTCATATATGTCTGGCTGACTTGCATGTAATTTAGTCAACAAATACAAAATCGATCCAAAAACTTGGCTAGGCACATAGAATTGCCACACCCCCACCCACTAGCCTTTATTTACTCACTCCACTGGAATTATAACGCGGTTTAAAAAATCAGTGTTGATGCTTTTATAAGCAGCAGCTGGGTGTCGGCTAGCTTCTTTCTTCTAAGTGTAGATATGAAGAGCTTTATTAGTGGTTTTTCCAGCTTTATTCCTCTGCTCCTCGTTTTAACACTTCAGTTATATCATGTATTTGCGGCAGCTGGTGGAGCAGAAAGCTATGGAGTTTACATTGTGTACACAGGCGGCGCGGCTGCAGGTTCTTCATCCTCTGGTTTTCCTTCCGACCATATTTTGAGCTCTTCCTCCATGGAACGGTCAGATTACCTTCTTCTTTTTCTTCTTTTTTTTTTTTTGGAAGCATTTTCAATTCAATAGCTGGTAGAATTAGTTTTTAATGAATCCAGCTATGTAGATATTCTTGTGCTTTCTACAATTGATGATGATAGTAACTAAAAATCTGGATTATAAATAATGAATAAGGTATTGGAAAAATCGGAATCCGATACAATTTGCTTCCCTGAAGACATTGTTTTTTACTTTTTTTTTCGATGCAGATGGAAAGATAGAGTTATACACACGTACAACTATGGTTTCTCAGGATTTGCAGCCCAATTGACCAAAGAAGAAGCCGAATCCATTGCTCAAAGACCTGAAGTTATATCAGTTATTCCTGATCGGGTCCACCAACTCCACACCACACATTCATGGGACTTCTTGAAGGATCTAAGCAGTGTTAAGTCAAGGCCCCGGTTTACTTCCAAGTCAAAGGCTTCTTCCTTTGGTGAAGATACCATTATTGGCATATTTGATACAGGTTGAGGTTACTAACATAACATACTACTTTGATTCCATCCTATGAAGAACAACGGAACAGTTTACTGAAACGAACTAAACTGTTTGTTCCTCGCTTCCTCTCAGGGATTTGGCCAGAATCAAAAAGCTTTAATGATGTGGGAATGGGGCCTGTCCCCAAGCGATGGAAGGGAAAATGCATCCAAGGGCGTGATCTTAAGCCTTTCAACTGCAACAGGTATCTTCCAATGTGCTTAATTTTCACCTATAATTATTCCAATATGTTGTCCAGGCTGACCCCTGTTAAAATGACTTGTTTCACTTGAAGCAGGAAATTGATTGGAGCCCGGAATTACGCGACAAATGGTAACTTCACATCACCAAGGGACCGCGACGGACATGGCACCCATGTTGCCGGGATTGCAGCCGGAAGGCGTGTTGGCGGGGCATCCTATCATGGCCTGGCTCAGGGCATCGCTCAGGGCGGATCTCCAAACTCTAGGATTGCCCTGTACCGTGTTTGTGATTACCAAAATTGCTATGGTTATGCAGCTCTAAAAGCGTTTGACGACGCAATAGCCGACGGCGTGGACGTCATATCCTTATCATTCGGTTCTATTTTTGCTGATTTGACAAGAGATCCGGTTGCTATTGGATCGTTTCATGCTACTGAAAAGGGAATTCTTGTGACAGCCTCTGCAGGAAATGGCGGCGATTCCGAAACCATTTCTTCAGTCGACAATGTTGCTCCCTGGATTCTAACTGTGGGTGCAACCACCATGGACAGGTTCTTCGAGTCAGATGTTGTCTTGGGAGGAAACCAAGTGATTAAGGTATCTTTTTATTCACATTATTACCAGCCAATTCATCTTATTACCTAATTTCTTAATCACTTCATTTTTAATTCAGACATTCAAACATTGTGATTAAGCAATGAGTACTGTTCTCTATATTTCAGGGTGCGGGTATTCATTTTGCCAAGATCCAAAAAACTCCAGTTTACCCATTGATTACTGGTGCTGCAGCTAACAATTCGGACAGGACTGCTGATCTAGCGAGGTACCCATCAAACACACACACACACATAGGAAATTAAACACTGCCATCAGTCTGTCTTAATTAGAAGGAGCGAAACTGAACCAATGGTATTTGCATCCAGATTTTGTTCCTATTCTGAATTAGATGCAAACAAAGTGAAAGGGAAGATTGTTCTATGCGAAACCCTTAGCGTATATGATTCGGCACAAATGACACGCGAAACAATAAAAAGTATGGGTGGAATTGGAGTGATATATGTTGATTACTTCTCAAAGCTGGTGGACTCAATTTCTGATTCTATACCATTGGTTCCTGTTAACCGGCAAGATGCACTTCAGATTCTCTCTTACATTAACTCAACCAGGTAACTCTTGACTTTATATGATTGATTAGTACAGCAACAGGGTGAAAGGATGAATTCATTACTAGTGATCATGCATTTCACTATAAATTGGAAGCAGGAATCCCGTGGCAACAATTTTACCCACAGAAGCTATAACACCATACAAGCCAGCACCATCTGTAGCATCATTCTCAGGGAAAGGCCCAGTATTTGGCAATGATTACCTAATCAAGGTAACAATACTTGTTTCTTTCTTGTTTCACGATGATTAGAAGTAATTTTATTTACAGTACAGGTATAATGTTACTAATGATGAAGAACTGAAAATTCAAAATCGGATAACCATCACAAATTTGATTTGTTCTTCAATGCTTATGTTGCATTTTCATGCAGCCTGATGTTGCCGCACCAGGAGTTGACATAATCTCTGCATGGCCTTCCAATGACACAGATAGAGCCTTCAATATTCTCTCGGGTACTTCAGTGGCCACCCCCCATGTTAGCGGAATTGCTGCCCTAGTCAAATCCCGATATCCCTCCTGGAGCCCTTCCGCTATTAAATCAGCTATTATGACCACAGGTTAGTCGTTGAAAATCAGTAACATGCCTTACAATATACTACCTCTGTTCCTCTATCCCAGTACAAATTTGAAAATTCAATGTGGACTATTTTGTCGGGACAAAGGGAGGACAACAGTTGCGTATCCGTGATTTTACAAAATGTTGATGAGTTTCTAACTTCACCTGCAGCAATCCAGAGCAACAATATGGGGACACTGATAAAAAACAAGTATGGGAATCCGGCAACTCCATATTATTTTGGGGCTGGAGAAGTAACAATGTTTGATCCATTAGAACCTGGGTTAGTTTACGAGACAGAAGTGACCGATTATTTGGAATTCCTCTGCAACCTGGGCTACAACGCACCAACAATAAAACTCATCTCATCAAACCTTCCAGCAAACTTTTCTTGCCCAACTAACTCCTCTAAGAAAGAACTCATCTCTAACATGAACTACCCATCCATAGTCATCATTCAATCCAAAGATGGTAAGTACCAGACGGTTAAAAGGACAGTGACAAATGTTGGAGACGAAGAATCGGTTTATTCAGTAAGCGTAGAAGCAAATGAGCAGCTGGAAGTCCGAGTGAATCCAACAAAGTTAAATTTCACGAGAAATATGAAGAAGCTCAGCTACGAAGTGACTTTCACATACACTAATGGAACATTCAACATTGATTGGGAATTTACGCATGGGTCCATCATTTGGAGCAACCAGAAGCATAGAGTTCGCATCCCTTTTGTTGTCAGATTATTCCCAACTGAATATTAGTAATTTGACCTGCCTGATTCTGAATTTGCATCGTTATAATAAAGCAAATAATGGGTGCGTAAGCGTAATCTTCCATTCAATTACACAGGAAATTGAGTTTGGTGTTTAAACATACAAAAAAAAAAAAAAAAACGATCAGAAATTTCTAAAAAGCGTCCCTTACATTTTTTTTTTAAAACAAATGTTAAAAAGGAAAGAACACAATTTTATTTGCGCTACAAATGCTGGAAGGGAGTTTCAAGTTTCAACTGGTGCACACTGATTTTTTTTCTTCTATATATTGAAAAAAAAAAAGTTGGTCTCCTATCTCTCTTACCAAATTTTTAGGACACGCTACTTCTTTTTTTTTTTTTTTTTGTGGATCAATTATAGATTTTACACACAAATTTATAAATCAATAATAATACACTATTCCCTCTATCTTAAAATTATTATCCAGTTTCAAATTTCACTTTTAGTACAATTTGTACTAAAAATAAAAATCCAAAGTAGAGAATAATTTGATTTGAGGGTGGGAGGAGTAAAATTTTTATGAAAACATGCAAATGTTCAATAATAATGAACATGTACATTCATTTATTTGCTGGACCAGTCCACATATATATATATATATATATATTATACTATGATAATGAATAAAATTATGAAAATGTATATATTATCCTCGTTGCTAGTTTCCAGAACCAATGAATTCCAGATCCAGATTTGTCGCAGCCTTATTCGATTATTGCTGGTTTCGATTATGCATACACAAAACATGCATGATCAATTTTCATTAATTTCCTTATTGGAGAGATACAATGTTAGTACGTAAATCACATGATAAAATGCCCAAATAAATCCTTTAAATCATAGATTTCCGAAACAAAAACTTGCAAATTGTAGTGCTCCATCTTTGACCAGAAACCTGGCAGTAGGAAGAGATACTAAGTACCTTTTTCCTGTCTTTATTTCAATATTTTTAAAATGTATATACCCACATTTTACAAAATATGAAGGCTCAACCACAATGGTAATCTCAATTAAAAAAAAAAAGATCAAGTGTTGATGCCTTTATAGCTAAACATGAGCGGGTGATTGATTCTTGTGTGGACACTTCAACAGCCAAATAGTAGTAATAATGTAAGTAGTATGAAGAGCTTTATTGTTTTCTTCTGCCGCTTCATTCCTTTTTTCTTCATTTCATTGCTCCATGGAAAGGTCAGGTTACCTGCTTCTTTTTTTCGAAAACCTTTTCAGATTTAGCTGACTTAACATTGATTTACTCCAGGTTCACATTCTTCCGTTTCTGTCAATGTATCCTTTGAGGAAACATTCAAAAAAAATTTCCCCTGTTTATGCGACTATGAAAAGTCAATATGTTTTGCCACGTGGCCAAGTCTTTTTTTTTTTTCTTTCTTTCATGTCTTCCTTAAATTTAGACTTACTTGAACTATTTATAAAGGTAGTGATGGAAATTCAATTAAGTGAATGTACATTGACTTTATATTCCTTCTTTCTCAGTTGGAAAGATAGAGTTGTACACCGATACAGCAGGGGATTCTCTGGATTTGCAGCGCGATTTAACCAAAGAAGAGGCCGAATCAATTGCTAAAAGGCCTGAAGTTGTATCAGTTTTCCCTGATCGAAGTGACGGAAACAATTTACTTTGTGTGCCTCTGCTACACGGAAACAGTTTACTTTGTGTGCCTCTGGTCAAGAACTGATTTCTACCATCAATTGTCCATCAATTTTTATCATTCAACCGGAAGACCCTAAGTATCGGACAGTTAAAAGGACAGTGACAAAGGTTGGTGACGAAGAATCGATCTATACAGTTAGTGTGGAAGCAAATGAGCAGCTGAAGGTTCAGGTGAATCCTACAAAGTTGAAGTTCACGAGAAATATGAAGAAACTCATGGTTCATTTTGTTGATCCGAAAATCACACATGGTTTAAATCACGGGGAGCAATGAAAAGTATAGAGTCCGTATCCCTTTTGTTGTTAGATTATTCCCAACCACTTTATTTCTAATTAGGCTTTTTACATATGGGTACTAGGGCCAAAAATAGTGGAGATTATGATGAAGGACCATCGTTTTTAACAACAAGAATGACAAAAACATTAATAAAGGAAACACGTAAGAGTGTAATTTAAAAAAACTCAGAAAAGATATTAATTAAAGGGTGATGATACACAACTCACCTAATTTATCTCACCTTACATGACATTTAGTTATTGGATGAAATTTAATAAGTTAATTAATTATTAGATAAAATATAATAAGTTAATTTAATTATTTTTTTTGTTAGATTTATTTACTTTTTGAATACTTCTATATCTAAAATTTTAAGATAAATAGACTCTAACCCCTAAAAAAGTAAACCCTTTAGGGTAAAATTATAACTAAACAAAATATTATGAGTAGGCCGAATATTAATAAGAAATATAATAATATTTTAATTTAATTTTTTAAGATTTAAATAACAAATACATTGCCCAATCAATAAATGACATTTAAGGTGAGATGATCCGGTAAGTTATTTAGGTGAGCTACTTATCATTATTCTTAATCAAATTCTAAGGAGATAACTGCAGCCCAAGTTGTAATTAATTAAATTCTAATAAGGAGATAACAACAGCCTAAGTTGTTATTAATTACTCCATCTGTCCCAAAATTATTGTTCAGTTTGAAATTTTACTTTTAGTACAATTTGAACTATAAATAAAAACCCAAATTGGATAATAATTATGGGACGGAAAGAGTAAATTCTAAATAATGAGGGAATAGTCCCAAAGTTTTAGAAATTGAAGATATCCCAATTATTCAATAAAAAGTTATACAATTTTCTTAATTTTTTAAACTTGGTTTGGAAATGTGTTGACGACGAAAATATACTCTCCAGTGTCAAGAAAAAAAAAAGAAGAGAGTCCACAATATAGTATAAATTTCAAAATTTAACATAGATTATTTTTTTGGAACAAATATAATCACATTCAATTTTGACTTCCATCTTCTTGAGAGTTGGCGAAAATGAGTAGTCCATTTGTTGTCAATCCTACAAATTTGGTTGTCTAGTTTAGTTCTTCAACTGTCCAAAAATTACCCATCCTTTGGAATTTGAAGAATGGTGGAAGATCTATGTATAATTTTGGGAACCTTGGTATTGATTCAAGGCAAATGTCTTGAGAATGGTGGGCTATTAAAAAAATTGCGTCTGAATGTGAGACACAATCATGTTTCCACATTATCTTATAGATTCGGACTCATTTCACCAAAAGAATCAAATCCTGTTTTGTAGTACTGCCAGTTTTGTTTTTGGTGTTGAGTTCACGACTTCACGAGTTGGAATGTGCCATCATGATTTGCCTTTTAGTTTTGCTGTTGGAAGCGACATTTCCATTCTGCTATGCGGAAGCTGCGATCCATAGTCATGGAGTCGAATCTTGTGGTAACCAGAGAAGTCAAAGCTGAACATAGTCACCAATTTATCATCGACCGACATAGACCATCCCCGGCCATGACCAAAATGATTTCATATTTTATTTTTATTTTTCTTAGACTTTCATAATTTTCCAAAAATGTGGAATTACGTAAGAACCAACCGAAATTTTTTTAATTTAAAAACAAAACTCAAAAACTCGAATTTTTTTGAGCGACTTTGTTCTCGACTTAGACATGATGACCACAAGTTACTGCTAATAGAGTTAGCAAACAAAATTTGGTTCTATTGATACGCCCATCAATCTAATAATAATATCTGCTGTAGATTGTCTGAAATCATTTATGATTTTCAATGGAGCTCAGTTAAACCTTTGTGCACATGATTACTATTTTGAGGGTATGTAGACATTCAACTACTTGCAAGGGCCTTTTACAAAAAAAATAAATAAAAAAAATTGCAAGTGTCTACATGAAGGACCGTATTTTGTCTTATTTCGGGGAATCACTCCATTTCTGACCTGTTGAACCATTTCTGTCCATTTGGGCCTTGTTCATTTTAATAATCTACCTCTTCTAAACTGATTGTAAAATTAGTTACTCCCTCCCCCACTCCTCTGAAAAATAGTCTAATTTTAAAATATACAACTTTTTTAATTTAGTGAACATATCAAATATATAAATCATTTTATGCCCCTAACTTCCACTAATGCTCTTTCTAGTTATTTCTATAAAAGTTAACTACATATGCATTTATTTTACAACTTAAATTTAATCAAAATTTTTATCTCAAAAAATATTGACAATCGATTTTGATGGAATGATCTTGTTATGTAGATTAATTTGATATATAGCACATTTTTTAATTATTCATGTATTAAAATATATAATCATTTGAAAAAATGAGAGAAAATTAAGAAAAAATAAAAATCAAAGGAATTGGACATTGTTTTCCTTACCACTACTCTTTTGGATATTTAAGTCATTTAAATTCAATTAATTTTGACTTTTGTGAAATTGAACTATTTTTTTGGGACAAATTTTTTTATTAAACTAGATTATTTTTGTGGGACGGAAGGAGTACATTATTATTATTATTATTATTATTATTATTATTATTATTATTATTATTATTTCCTTTGGTAATACACTCCACTCCCACGTTATAAAAAAAGTCGAGCCTCCTTAATTTGTGAGCATTGTGTGAGAAGAACTTACTACCCCCAAAAAACTGTAGCCAGTTAGAAACCAAAAATTGGTCATGAGTGCTTTCGCTGTGTTTTGCTTCATTTCCCTCTTCCTCGCTTCAATCCAGTTGGCGGTGTTAGTAAAAGCAGCTGAAAAAACACAAAGCAATGGAGGAGTCTACATCGTGTACACAGGAGCAGCTTCAAATGAGTTCCACTCTGATCATATTATGAGCTCCTCCTCCATTGAAAGGTCAGACGAACGACATACATTTTGTCTTGTTTTGAAGCTTGTATAGTTTCTGATAGTAATTGCCATTGAATTTATTTCCGAAAAATGATAGAATGTTATTAAACAATTATGTACTGCATTTTATTCATTACGCCCCCCAGCTTGAAAGATGGGATCATACACAAGTACAGCCATGCTTTTTCGGGATTTGCTGTAAGATTATCAGAAGAAGAGGCTAAACTAATAGCCCAAAGGCCTGAAGTTGTATCAGTTTTTCCGGATCCTGTCCTCCATCTCCACACAACACGTTCCTGGGAATTTCTAAAAGAACAGAGTGTTATCGGATTAACTCCCCGCCGCCGTCGGGTTGCCAAACAATCAAATACTTCCTCTGTTTCTGGTGAAGATGTCATAATAGGCATATTTGACACAGGTTAGTTTTATAGAGACATTAGTATAAAATTTTCATTTTTTGGGGGTCGAAATGCACTTTGCGATTAATTACAATTTACTTTTGACTATGTTAGGGATTTGGCCAGAAGTAAAGAGTTTCAATGACGAAGGTTTGGGTCCTATCCCCAAGAAATGGATGGGCAAATGCATTCGGGGGCGGGACTTTAAGCCTTTTAACTGCAACAGGCATATATATATATATATATATATATATATGTACAGTTAAAGAGATTTGCATTTTGCCATAATTCTTAATAACTTGAGATATACTACTGCCCTGTTTCACTTGCTCCAGAAAATTGATTGGAGCAAGGAATTATTATACGTTTGATAACTCTACTTCACCGAAGGACCAAAATGGTCATGGCACTCACGTTGCAGCAATTGCAGCCGGAAGGCCCGTGCCTGGAGCATCCTATCGCGGCCTGGCTGGTGGCACGGCTCGGGGTGGAGCTCCGGGTGCTAGGATCGCCGTGTACCGTATTTGTCAGGATGAATATGAATGCCAGGGTTCTGCAACATTAAAAGCATTTGATGATGCCATAGCAGATGGGGTTGATGTTATCAATTTGTCCTTTGTACTATCCATTGCGAGCAGGTTCCTCGACGATCCAATTTCTATTGGAGCATTTCATGCTGTTGAGAACGGAATTCTGGTCGTCGGCTCTGCCGGAAATGGTGGCACCGACCCGGAGCCTCCAACCATCCAGAACGTTGCTCCTTGGATTCTAACAGTCGGTGCCACCACCATCGACAGGTTTTTCGAGTCGGATGTTGTCTTGGGAAACAACAAAGTAATCAAGGTAAAATCAATTTAATTAAGAAGTTCAAGTTTCTTTTTTGTGATTTTGACGAATGAGATCAATTTGTTTGAAATAATATCAGGGAGGGGGTGTTCATTCTGCTAATCTTCAGAAGACTCCAATCTATCCATTGACTGACGGCCTTTCAGCCATGAAACCCGATGCTGATATTGCTGAAGCAAGGTACTGGAAATGATAGTAAAGCAAATTTTTTACTAGTTTAAGAAGAAAACAAAAACAAAAACCAAACTAATTTGAGTTCTGGGTGTTCAGGAGTTGTTACGGAAATGCATTAGATAACCAAAAAGTGAAGGGGAAGATTGTTCTTTGCGAAGACAGCCTTGAAGATGCTACACCAGATGGGCAGTATGAAGACATTAAATCTCTGGGGGGAATCGGAATGCTGTATAAGGACAGCCAGTTAGTAGACTCTGTTTCTGATTCTATGCCCAGGATCCCAATCAGCTCGGAGGATGGAGATCAGATTCCATCCTATCTCAACTCAACCAGGTACGTACAGTAATCAATTAAAATATTAGAATAATGTTAAAATAGATGAATAATCACTTTCGACATCTCTAATTAATGAAAAAGTGGAGTTCATTGCATTGTTGGTTGTTTCTAAAGGAAGCCCGTGGCGACTATTTTACCGACAAAAGTTGTAGCGAACAATACACCAGCTCCGGTTGTAGCATTGTTCTCAGGGAACGGCCCTGTATATGGCAACGATTACCTAATCAAGGTACAACAACCGTTTCGCCTTGTTGCGGATACGATGAACGAATTCATCACAAAATCGCAATGAAAAATGTTGAATTTGTTTTGGACATGTTTGACGAAGCATGGAACTTCACCGACGTCCCCGGTTGGTTACTCCGGCGGCCAAGGCGGTATTGAAACCCTAAAACCTGCAAAAGAGGGTCGGGGTCTCTCGAGGGTAGACACTCCGATGCTTAAGTCAGTAAGGGTATTCGTAATTAGGGTATAAACCGGGTGCATAAAGCGTACCTCTAATCGTGAGGGGTTAATCTCTATTTATAGAAATAGGTTATGGAACCCTTTCTTGGTAGAAAAGTAATTAAGAACCGACCTAGAAGCTTCCGAAAGCCGGTTGGACTTTTCACCGAACTTGGACAGGCTTAGTCACGGGCCATACTAATTTGGACTCGTCAAGTGCCCCTTATCAAGCCTATACTTCGAAGTCTGGAGATAGGGTAGGCTTGATAACATGAACTATATAATTTCTCTAAGTTCAGAAAAAAACTGACTAGGATCGAGAACCTGCGACAGATTAGCATCGAGGAGAGATTAAAGCATAAAAGCACTAGCGCGTACCTTTCTCGATGTGCATGTCACTTATAATAATTGACTTTAAAGTCTGAGGAAGATAAAGTCACTAGTCCAAACTTTTAATCGAGAAAGCATCATGTGATGATCTTCACAATCTGCACCAGAGAAATATCGAGGCGAGTGCCCCACTCTTTGAGAGGATTATAGAAGAAGAAGTAGTGGAGATTCCCACTATTTCATATATAATGGTGTGTTGTCAATAACCGGTAGAACAAGGGATAAGCTCGAAGACTATAACTGAGAGGTGATAACAAATAGCGTCGTGAATAGAGGCAAGAGATATGCCTAAATGAGGTCGAACACATGAATCTCGAGGACTTCGGGAAGATAATCTCGAGAAGGAGATGTCTGGTAATACTATGTTGAGAACCAAGAGAGAAGATATAATAGACTGTGATTATTGACATTTGTTGTCGAAAACATAAGTTCAGGAATAAATATTGGATGATACGATATTTCGATCCAAGAAAGTATACTCGAGAATAAGTCTAGTTCTCATTGAGGTATAAAACATGTGTTTAGGATGAGGGATAGTCCACCCATTTTTCATGAACATGAAAATTTAGGCCGTTTTCGATATCGGATGTCGAGTACACGGCTTATAAGTTATTTGTAAAACGCTTATAATGGCTAGATGTTAGTTACACGGCTCTTTTGCAGGCGATCCTGAAGAGGATACCTTTGTACAGACGATTCTGAAGAGAATGTCTTTTTAAGGACGATCCTGAAGAGGATATCCTCGAGGAAACTGGGTACGAGTTCCTTGAATACAGACGATTCTGAAGAGAATGTCTTTTTAAGGATGATCCTGAAAAGGATATCCGTTCAAGTGACTAGCCATGCTTATCTGGGTGTAACTGCGTATATGAGATATAACAGCTCCCATGAGTACTCGAGTGGGCTACCACTATATGCATTAAACTGACAGTCTATATCCCGGGTTTAAAACATAAACGCTCTAAGGTCATATCGAACTTGACGATGCCGCTATCCTTGAGGGATCAGCCGCGAGAGTTACGTATCTCTGCTTATTTTGCCCCAGAGTTCTCGGGGTATACTTGTCCTGCAGCTTAGTCCAAGACATGTATTGCAAGTATAATAATAATGACATGTCGACCGAAAGATAGTGAGAAGTTCAACTAATAAGCGCATAAAGGTTCTCGGACCTTGATAGTGTATATATGGGCTCCTCGATCGAGGACTTGTATTCGAAGAGATCATTCTAGTGTACCTTAGTTTCGAGGAAGTATTCGCTTGAATCCTTTCATGGCATTGTCAAGGATAGATCATTCTGATGGTGATGGCTCTCGAGCGCAGACACCATTAGAAGCCCAGATGGTTCTCTGATCCTGACAAAACAACTACTCATGCACTTGTAAATTTATTAGTGAGTAATAAATTATCATAGCACGAGAAATGACGTGGAATACAATATACTATTGAGGGACTCTGCCCCCTCCAAAAATCTCACATTTTGAGATATAAAATGTGAGAAGCGGAAAGATCTCACCATGATATATGCAAAGCTATTGAAGCCATGGTTTGGTTAGCTCACAACATCTATGAAAGAATGTTGTAGATCCCTGAAGAGTTGTAGAGATTTGTCATGGAGCTTGACCATCAGATGTGAAAGTTTTTGCGGCTTCGCGATAGCAAGTTCGAGCTAGTTGTTCGGTAGAGTATGTACAACGATACACTACGACCCAGGGCTTAAGGAAGAGGAACCATCCTGCACTATGACTTTTAGAGGATATTACCGAAAATTGTAAGCAAGAGAGGGGGGTCTTTCCCCTTTCAAAAGAAAGGGAAGGAACATGAGTTCGTGGAAAGTAAACAAAGCCAGATATTGATAAAAGCTGTGGCATCAGGCTTCATGACTAATATGCGATGATGCAAGTAATAAGTCATGCATCTGAGAAAGAATTATCGTGCAAGCAGTTTGCATGTGAAAGTTCGAGGACACTGAAGAGGTCCAAGAAACACATATGTGTAATGCGTCATAATATGAGCGCAAGAATAATTATTTCATGCTTATGAACTATCGTAACATTTATGTTATAATGCAAATATTCATATACTGAAGCAATTATAAGGAGATCATATCACTTATCTGTTGGAAATCTTCCAGGGGTATCCACAAGTCAGAGTAACAATACCCACTTGTCAATGAACTCCTCATCATTGTTGTCGGAGCTCATTCTTGACGTGCACCGTATATTGGTCTTTTGTTTGTTCGAGGCTACTATGGCCTGATTACAATTTCGCATCATAAAGGGGCTATCTCCGTTCTCATATTTCTGCAAGTTCTGCAAAAATAGGAAGAAGTTCTTCCCAAATCTCGAGCATGCCTTTATGATGAAAGGTCTTGCAATGCTATTCTCAAGATCATACAATAAAAGCTTTTCGAGAAAGATGGAAACAATCAACATAAAGTGCTATGGTTAGAATTTAGATCGTCGATAGCAATGAAACTCTACTCGAGAAAGCATAGATGGCACGATTCTGTGATTACGCGTGTGAATGCTAGGTAGTGGCTGATCATGAATGTAATGATACCAGAACTAGCAAATTCACACATGTAAACAGTTCTCATGGATAGATCTCATGGAAAAAACCGAAGATATGCAAACAACTTAGATTCACACATGTTTAATTTATCATGGTAAGAATCAAACTGTAATGATCCTTTGATTGTAAACTAACTTAACTATTGTACACAGACAACCCAAAAGTCTTAATTGAAATAGACTAATTTCACTTATCTGTTTCCACCATTTCGGTAAAACACGTGCATTGTAGCAAACGCAGCCTGTCTAAAAGTTCCGCCTCATTGCCCCTTTGTTTTTCGAGACTATAAAGGTCAAGTACCCTTGTACCTTAGAGGGGAAAGCTTTGTTTCATGCGGTTGCAAGTCCTGCAAAACTAAGTAGGTCTTTGTAATTGCATTCTGAGAGATTTAGAGGCGAATAAACATAATTCTCTATGTCAAGACCTCATACCAGATACAACAATAATGCTCTATTTGAGAAAGCAGGTGTCATATTTCTGTACCCTGTTTTGTAAAATTGGGTGCGTATAAAGACACATTATGGATAGTCATGGATATAGTGACACAAAAATAGTACATTTATGCATTACGTACATTGAAGATCACTGATTAATTAGCAAGCAAATCTATTGTGTTGCCTACATGACATGCACGTAAAGTTTCATGTATAGATGAAAAATCTCTCTTGATTTGTGAATCAACTTTAGTCGCTAGACGACTAAATAATGACACGATAACAACATGTATGTGAGGGATGATTATAAATGCTCCTGATTGGAAAGATCTCACCGAATCTTGGAGACTCGTGGATGTTCTCAGGCCATGTGCGACCTGGTTGTCGCCCCTTCCTGGCCTCGCCGATATGTTTGCTTTTGTCAGAAGGGGATCTGCACATAGCTCGAGGCCAAATTGATCCACTAGCGCTCCTTAACGAAAGGATTTGTGCAAAAGAAACTGCACTACACAATTGAGATTACGAAATCATGGTAATATTTGTTCATAATCGTCTGAGGACCTCATAATAGGAACTAAGTTAATTCTCGATAATGAGTCATAAAGCCGAAACATATTTAGCCAAGTAGAAAAGATGAGATCTACTGAGATGGCAAATATTTCATGAGAAAACTCAATCTGACTCTTAGTGAAAGTAGGGAAGCATCAGATACAATGCCAAATGAGATATGGATTTATGAGAAATTTTACAAATCAACCATTTAGTGTTTGTTCATTATGGCCCATGTATGGCGATACACCCCCCAAAATAACGAAAGCACAAACTATTTTCAAGGTTGAAGAGTTTATGTATCGGCATCATGTCAATTTATTCAACCTAAATAGAGAAGTTGAATGTGCTATCAAATTGTTAGAGGAGGTCTTAACAGTATTTCAAGCCTGCATGTTAGGTGAATTGTCAAACTACCTAATATTAACATTATAAATACTCATCTGTGCGCTTGAATGAGCCCTTATGAGATGGCTCCGATGTGGTAAGCACCTCCTCGATGCAGAAGCACAATGGAGACTAGCAAATCGAAACTTTTAGCTCTAATGCGTTTCTGGTTTGGTTGGCGTCTGATTGATTTAACTGAACTAGGCATTCCTAAGAATATATTTCATGTAAACACAGAGACAAAGAAGTCAAAAAGCTCCGATGAACTTGAGTTTGTGCTGTAAAGATTATACCGTGTGTTTTGATAGAGAAGTAGTATAACAACTATCAAGGTATTTCAGATAAGAATCGAGCTGACTCTCAGATAAGAATTGATTATTGCATGTAACCAAATATATTCAAGTAAAGCAGGAAAGCACCAGATCTATTTGAAACTCCTAATGTGCATTAGAAGTCAATCGCCAACCTTTAATGCGTGTTATGTAAATTCTCGAGTAAGCATGCTAAACAAATGCAAAGATGTAAGACTTAGTCTTATTATAAAATTAAGTCATGGAAAAAGGTTATGACACTTATCTGCTTGTTCAGACGAGCCGAGAATACAACTACACGAGACAAGTGGTCATGAAGCTGTTTCCCAAAATAATAGGCCGATTTATTCACCAGGTGGGGGCTGCCCTTTGATAAGAAACCGTCCAATCTCGATCATGCAATTGTGCCTTGTTCTGTTCAAGCTCCGCTATTTTATGTGTTGTGCAGTTGATCTAATCGTGGACAATTCATCATTGAGCTGTTTTATCCCTCGGGGATTGAAGATTGATACTGTCTTCTGTCAAGGAGCTCAAATAAGGAATAAGTAACATGTTGATACATAAATTTTTTCGGTTGGGAATTGTCTATCTCGTCCATCCGACCAATCAATTATGCAGTTAAAAAACAATCATGGCAAATTAGTAACGCCATAGATCATGCAAAGTCCGCACCAGATTTAAACAATACATGTGTTTAGGGAATTTTTCGAGCATGAGTCATCGTGAACAAGCAAGGACCAATAATCTCAATTTATTTTTCACAACAAATAGTCATAAAAGTATTTGATGGTCAGGCCACGTAATTGATTAAGCATGCATTCTTGCACTATAATGACATGGGTGCTTTTGATTAATCAATTATTAGGAGTTGTCTAATTTTTAATAAATAACACTTGCACTGTGTTTCCAGTACGCAATGGTAATAAAAACCCTTGACATCAATATAAATGTAAATTAGATTGAAGAACCCGGCGGCCATAAAAATTCAGCCATGTGCGTTCGGGGAACCATGACTCGGTTCGCTTCCCTTGGAGTACCCTGTTTGCCCGAATTCCTGCTTGCTATGATGGCATGTCCTTCACCAATCAACGAGCTGAATCTTGCTGTAGAAAGCAAAAGATACTTCGGCCGCTCTTGACCCCCCAAAGCAAATTTGTTCGGACGTGGTGATTAATTAAAGAATTAAAGGATAACAATCATGTCTATTACCACTAATATTGTAACCTTTTTCGCACGTGTTATCACGTTGATTAGTCGTATAATGTGCTTCGGCTAAGCTAATACCACATTATTTCCACCATGATACTAAGCAAATTTCACCAGGCTAATCATATTATGACTAATATTAATTAAAAATATAGAACCTGGATGGACGCTTTGGCTTGGCAAAGCTTGTGTGTGTGATCATGGCCGCGTGCCTTGAGCTTGATCATCAATGATTGAACGGAGACGTTCTACGTCGTTCATCTTCTTGAGAAAATATGTTTTCAGGGAAACTCTACGGGTCCCACTGGGCGTGCCACTTGACGAAGCATGGAACTTCACTGACGTCTCCGGTGGTTACTCCGGCGGCCAAGACGGTATTGAAACCCTAAAACCTGCAAAAGAGGGTCGGGGTCTCTCGAGGGTAGACACTCCGATGCTTAAGTCAATAAGGATATTCGTAATTATGGTATAAACCGGGTGCATAAAGCGTACCTCTAATCGTGAGGCGTTGATCTCTATTTATAGAGCTAGGTTATGGAACCCTTTCTTGGTAGAAAAGTAATTAAGAACCGACCTAGAAGCTTCCGAAGGCCGGTTGGACCTTTCACCGAACTTGGACCGGCTTAGTCACGGGCCGTACTAATTTGGACTCGTCAATGTTGCAGCCTGATGTTGTAGCACCAGGAGTTGACATTTTATCAGCTTGGCCTTCCACTGAAACGAATGAAGCCTTCAATATACTCTCGGGTACTTCCATGGCTTGCCCACATGTGAGTGGAGTTGCCGCACTAGTCAAATCCCGATATCCATCCTGGGGTCCTTCCGCAATTAAATCGGCTATTATGACTACAGGTAACTACTAATACTTAAGGGAAAAAAAAAAAAAAAAAGAGAGTGCTACTTGATCACTGTTTTGTCCAATTGCACTACGCGGTTATCAGTCTTGATTAACTTTAACTATGTTATGTTAATCTGCAGCAAATCCGAATAACAATTTGAAGGAACCCATAGGAACCATTTTTGGGGATACCGACCCGATTTCATTGGGGCTGGAGAAGTAACGGTGACAGGTCCATTACAACCCGGGTTAGTTTACGAGACGGAAATTACATGGAGCAATGCAAAGTACAACGTCCGAATTCCATTCATTGTTGTATCTTAGAGGCTAGCGGTAAGAAGAGATTGTCGGGGAATGTGGTCAAAACTTCAGCAATTCCACTTAAACGTTCAATGCTAGTAGTACAATTAGAACTACCCTTGTAACTTTTACATTTGTGTACTCCTATAAAGACATGAACTAGTGCTGCTGCTTGAGTTCTAATTTTAAAGTTCCTCTTGTTGAGTCTGGTGACTACGATAGATGCCGAGGTTGACTTTCCTTATCAGGTAGGTACTTTAAATTAATCCATGAATTTCAGTCAGCAAGGGATCAGTCAATGGAGACCGTGGAATAAGTAGCAACTAAATTAATAAATACTACTCCATTCATCCCACAAAAATAGTCTACATTGAGTTTTGAATTCTGTACTAATTTTAGTACATTTGTGTACTACTATTCAAGATTTTTACCTGTACATCTGAACGACAAATTTAGAAACAAAGTTGTATGCATCTTTTTTTTTTTTCTATTTTAGCAATAACCACGAATGCATCTGTTGTGGATTGCATCCCCTCTTTTCTGCGCGTTTGTCTGAAATCATTCATGATTCAATGGAGTTCATTAATGATTTCTGCGCGTCACATGATTATTTTTTGATTTTGCGGACATATAGACTTTCAACTTGCAAGTGTGCACATGAATGAGTACTATAGGTCGATTTTCGGGAAAAAAAAAAGTACCAAAGGACCATTTCTTTTTATTGTCATTGTTTGCGGGGAACTCCATTAAAGTCCAGTTGAGGCCGACATATTTCATTTTTGTATTCTAACTATGATAAAGTTATTGTGTATGGGAGGGATGAAGTATGAAAATCCTATAATACTTGAATATTCGATCATCAGATCTGTTGGGATGGGCTCCCAACTATGTGGGTCAAAGTCTAAGTAATTAAGTAAGTTTGGCCTAACTTGTATTATGTCATCAGCCCAAGATTTGAGTTTATTAAGTAGTAGTAAAATGCAGCTAAAAATCAGAATGAGGAAGGTATGTCATTTATCGAAAAAAAATAGAACCAAAAGAAAGAAAGGGAGCTGAAATTTCCAGCAAGGGTTCCACTGCAGCAGCGTCTGAAAACTTCAAGTTTGGAGGGGCAATCTTTGTTCGTTGGTCCTGAAATTTGGACTGGGGTTACAAGACTCATCGATCTTCATTTCCACCGAAGGGTTTTGGTGTTCATCGGCTAGATTGTAAGTATTGTACATTTGAATTTTCTACTAGTTTTGTGGATGTTTAGTTGATCTTTTGATCTTGTATTAATATTTTAGTGTCTTTGTAGCTTGATTTAGCTTGGGTAAAGACTAGATATCTTTGTTGTATTGTTGTATCGGTGTACTCCTACTCTTATTTGGTGTTGGTGGATTGGATAGGCCTTTTAGTCTCGAGATTTTTATTCCTTCACACCGAAGGGGGTTTTCCACGTAAATTGGTGTTGTGTGTTACTTTTGCTTTCTTGTTGTTTCATTGGTAGCTTTACTTCCACTTGGTGTAGCTGGTATTTTCGCTCCTACTAGATTCTTACAAATTGAGGAGACTTTGGATTGTTTCCGCTGTGCTTAAGCTAGTTCGTGTTTGAGTAACTACTCTGTTTGGTTGGCCATATATGGTCCTCGCCTCCCAACAAGATTTGGGCTAGATTTTAACACTAAAATATTTCATCAAGTCAAGTATAAACAAATCACTCCACTCTACCTTTAGTTATAAAAAGTCAACCTTGATATTGTGAGCTTTTTGTGTGAGAATACTATGAGTGCTTTCGCTCTGGGTGTGTTCTGCTTTATTTCTCTCTTCCTATCTTCATCCCACTTGGTGGTGTCAGTAAAAGCAGCTGAAAAAACACAAAGCAATGGAGGAGTGTACATCGTGTACACAGGAGCACCTTCAAATGGATTCCACTCTGATCATATTATGAGTTCCTCCTCCATTGAAAGGTCTAATATACTCCTTCCGTCCCAAAATTATTGTCCAGTTTGAGATTTCACTTTAAGTACAATTTGAATTAAAAATGAAAACTCAAACTGGACAATAATTATGGGACGGAGGGAGTACATTATGTCCAAATTTGAAGCTTTGTAGTATCTATTTTTCCATTGAGTTGATTTCCTGAAAATTCCTAAAAATGGTAAGTGGTCTAAAGTTATTATGTACTGCATTTTATTCATTTCCGCTCCAGCTGGAAGGATAGGATCATACACAAGTACACCTATGCTTTTTTGGGATTTGCCGTAAGATTATCTGATGCAGAGGCCGAATTAATTGCCCGAAGGCCTGAGGTTATATCGGTTTTTCCTGATCGAGTCCATCGACTCCACACAACACGTTCATGGGACTTCTTGAGGAGCCAAAGTACTTTGGTTGGATCATCACCAGCTCAGATTCCCAAATCAAATAATGTCTCCTCTGTTTCGGGTGAAGATGTAATTATTAGCATATTTGATACAGGTAATTAACTACATTATTATGTACGCCGACTAAATCTATAACATAACTCCTGTATGCTTTAAGAATATACAGAGTTCTGATTATTAAAATTGAAAAGTAATGTTATGATTTAATTGATCAGGGATTTGGCCGGAAGCAAAGAGTTTCAGTAACGAAGGTATGGGTCCTATCCCCAAGAAATGGAAGGGAAAATGCATTCGGGGACTTGATTTTAAGCCTTTTACCTGCAAGAGGTAACATGTAGAATTTGGAATCGTGATGCAATATGTGAACACACACACACACACACACGAGTTATATAAAGATTTATTTACGGAAAGTTAAAAATAAAAAAAAAGTTAATGATATGATATTTTGGTCATTTTTAATTTCTTGTAAAACTCTCTCTATTTACATTCTTGAACTTTTATCAATTAGTTTGTAGTTTATTAATTAATTTTTAGATCTTAAATAATTCTAAAAGAACTCTAAAATAAATCCTTGTACTCTCTCTGTTCTAAAAAGAAATAATTTATATTAAAATTTAAAATTTTTACTATTTTAGTAAAAATTATAAAGTAATTTTTTATAAAAAAAATTAGGAGAGAGATAATATGGAAAACTAATGTAAAGGGAAAAAAACAATTGAGAATATCAAAAAAGAAATTGAGAATGTCATCTTAAAGTTGACCTAATGAGTAATGAGGTGTTCCCGTGGAGGGCCTAGACAGGAGAATACATTAACAATTTAACATGCACTCACACTATTGTTTGATATATTAGAATAACTATGTTACTATGTAAAAATGTTAGTTTCGAACATGTTAGTAGGACGATAGTATCTGAAGCACATGCTCTAGCTAGTAGGGTTGTCTCGTCCATGGTCGTAAGTTCGTAACCTTTTGATGTAATAATAGGGTTGGGTTTGAAGAAACAAAGGGAAATGAATAGAGCTTTCCTAATGAAACTGGGTTGGCAACTTTTAGTGGGCTCTAAGGCCCTTTGAGTTGAGATCTTGACTGCGACGTATGGGTTGAAACTCCATAATGGGCTTGAACAACCACAGAAGCCCATCAATTCCACATGTTATAAGGGGATATATAAAACTTGGGGCCAGGTGAAGGAAGGGCTGAGATGGGCTGTAGGCGATGGTTCACGGGCTAAATTCTGGGCTGACAGGTGGGTAGTGGGCCTACCACCACTACACACCACTGCAATCAAGCCAGTAAGGGGGGACCAAATGCATAGGACGGTAGGAGAATACTCAGACGAAAGGGGACAGTGGCGGTGGGAGCTTTTCTCGGCGATGCTGCCGGCGACGGCCTTGCTCCGAATTGCAGCAATCCTTCCACCCAGTTCATCTATGGGGAAGGACGCTCCTTTCTGGGCATACGACCCGAGAGGAATGTTCTCCGTCATAACGGTGTATAATGCCCTCACGGGGGAAACGCAAGGGGGAGGGGAAATCCGGTGGAGGGAGGTATGGCGATGGGAGGGACCACAAAGAATCAGAACCTTTCTGTGGCTTTTTGCAAAGGAGAGGATTCTAACAAACACAGAGCGGGGAAGAAGGCATCTCACCATTGACTTGTCCTGTCCGATTTGTGGAGGACCCGAGGAAACGTCGATGCATGCAATCCGAGATTGCCTGGCGACAAGAGCAGTGTGGAATAATCTCCTTCCAACACACTTGCGATCAAATTTCTTTTGGATATGACCATGGAGAGTGGCTAATTGCGAATTTACAAAACAGGATGGTGGTCTTCCAAGAGCCTGGGAGATATGGCAAGGGCGAAACCTGGTGGTCTTTCAAGAGGAGGATACACCGGTGGTTAGGAAAATGGAGGACATATGGAAGAAGGTGAGGGAAGTTAAGGATACCGCCACCTATGCACCCCGGATGGGAGCAGAGCAGCCGAGGAAAGAAGTCAGGTGGTTGTGTTGGAAGCCACCAACAGAGGAAAGGGTGAAATTGAATTCTGATGGTGGGTCAATGGGGACATAAGTCTGGCCACATCCGGGGGACTAATCAGAGACCAGAATGGAGCGTGGAAAGGAGGGTTTACCATGAAGATAGGTTTTTGCTCAATCACAGGGGTTGAATTGTGGGGATTATACCAAGGACTGCTATTGGCGTGGGATTTGGGATACCGAAGAATAGAGGCAGAGGTGGAGAATCAGAGCATTGTTAGCATGATCCGGCACAACAACCGACCGCCTTGCGCGCATGAAGGTTTATTGCGAGCGATTAGGGTGCTTCTGGATAGAGATTGGT